TTACGGGTCGGCCGAGAATCTCGACATTTCTGTCCATACTGCCTCACGACCTATTAAAACCAGCTGGTGTATATACTTAATCGACAAACATTGTTAACCTGACTCTTGGAATGAATACATTGATACTGGAAACGCCAAAAGCAATTGTAGGAGCTGTGTATTCCCTAGGAATTCCTCTTTAGCTCCTAGGGCTATGTTCTGTTTCTAGGAAACCGAGGTCTACGCCTGGGATTTTCACTCTACGATCCTGGCTGAATACGAACTGGTTGTGGGAACACATTAGCGAGACTTGGGAGCTATTACACTCCTGGGACCCTAAATTTGGATCTAGAGTCAATTTATTCTCCCTTCTAAGGTCGCGGCAAGCCCTCACTATTGTAGTTCAGAGGTATGGATTTAGTTGTTATTTCAGAGTGATACATGTGCCTATATATACAACAATGAGCCAAGTTGATTTCCAATCAACTTGGTCGTCTGTATAGACACTTCGGAGCTAATTCCGACGGTGCGGCTTGGTTCCTGATCTGCACCAGCCTCATATCACAACACTCACAAGATACCTTTACCAGAGCTGCGCACAAATATGAGTCATTCAACGACTCCGGGAAAGGCCAGCCATAGCCCCAGGAATTACACCTGAGGTTCCAGGAGTTGATAAGACTGTCAACAGGAGCATGGCTTTGGTTTCCCGAGGTAGAGGTACAAAACCCCAGAAGCTCCAATGGGTTTCCTGGGGGCTATGTAGCTCCTAGAAGCGCTTTCTTTAGTCCCAGAAACCGCACTGAAGCCCCTGGGAGCTATCTTGCTCCCAGGGCCAAGCCGTCGTTCCTAGGGCTGATACAGTCTGATCCTGGAAACTATAAAGTCATCAATAGGAGCGGCGTATCCCCTGGGAACTACGTTTTAGCTCCTGGGGCTGAATATTTTACTCCTGGGGTCTTCACTATATGTTCCTGAGTGAATATGAACTTGGTTTTGGGAACACATTGGCTGAATCCGGGAGCCGTTGCGCTCCTAGGGCCGTATCTCCGAATCCTAGAGTCAATATTCTGTTTCCCAGGATAGCTTGTTATCTCAAAAGCTTTCACCCAAATCTGCGTCATTCAATTACCCCCGGAAAGGCAAGTTATAGCCCCAGGAACTGCACTCGACGTTCTAGGAGTTGATGGAACTACCAACAGGTAGATGACGTTGATTGCCCGGGGCAGAGACTCAAACCCAGAAGCTCCGTTGGGATTCCTGGGGGCTACATGGCCCCTAGAAGCGGCCCATATGCTCTCAGGCACCGCGATAAGGTCCCCGGGAGCAAGAGCAGCCCCAGGGCCAAGACATGCATTCCTAGGGCTGATAGAGATGTCAACAGGCATGTGACTGGATTTATGAGAGTGGGAATAGTGAGCATACAAATTAAGTACGATTCATGGGTCTAATGTGATCTCTGCGAAGCTCGCACGTTTCTCCGGTTGGCTTTGAATCCTCCACGACCATCAAGCTTGATGGATACTTACGCAAAGCACATCGTCAATCACCACACGTCTTTACATCAAGTCACTCAGAATACCGCTCCAATATCGACCAAGAACGGCCGGCTAGTTAGATTAAGCAATAAAAATGCTTTGATTTCAATGAAAATGACCAATTGGTAGATTCTCTCTGCAACTCTGTATTAAAGTCCATTCCTTTGCTTGACCCTGTCCATCGCAGCTCTCTCATCCTTTTCACTCCACCTCCCTCTCTCAGTCTTCGAAAAGAATCGTAAAATATTGCAATTCTTTTTCGTAATCCCGGTTGACTCGTTCCTCAAACTCCTACTTTAGGAGGTCGTTGGAACCCCTCTTTGCCTGTTTCATAGCTCCGTGCGCACACTCTGCTAGTTTCCGCGTAAGACGCATACGACAAAAGGCACGAGAGACATAATCACCGCTAAAACTCCGAAAGCGGCCTGGCCAACGGCTCCATAATACATAGTCTTGTAGTATGGAAAATGTCCCTCAATGTCAAATAACTCAAATGATGTCTGAAAGCCGTGGACCTTGCTGGCAACATAACCCCCCAAGGATAGAACGATAAAGCCGACGACAAGTTGAGTGCAGATGTAGTAAAGTCGATACTTGCGGTCTTCTCGCAGGCATCTTGGGTGGATCGCAAGGACGATCCCGAAGATGGAAAACATGGCTGAGATGAGGGCCACAATCACCATGCCCACGACGACGTTGTCCATGAGGTTTTGAAACGTGATGTCCAAAATAGAGTCGCTTGAGGTGGCGAGGTCAGATTTTGCGCGGTCTCGCAGGATGACCGCAAAGCGTACAGTGGCCGAACTGAGACCGGCAAGAGCCAGCCAGGTGACGGAAAGGAAAAGGAAGGCAAGACACATTCGAATTGTGGCTACGGAAGTATTCAGAGGCATTGTGTCTGCAAGAAAGGATTTTTCCGAATACAGGAAGGTGAGGCGGGTCTCGTTGAAGAACAGCAGAATGATGAAGCAGTTCAATCTCCGGGCACCGTGAATTTATATGTGCTATGGTCTCTTCACATAAATGCTGCCTTAACAAAGAATGGCCCAGCTGATAGTGAGCCGTGCTAGGTGCCTTTCTCATGCTTTGTTGCCTCAGCGGTAATCCCTATAGGCATTCTCTCGGTACGAATGTTTCAGGTAGAAGCACTATCCGTATCCTTTACATCGACGGCCACGAAGACCGTCGCGAATCCTTGGTATCAAGGCGGCTCTAGAAACCACCCCGTGTATTCTTAGGATTTACTGTCCTGTGAAACGGGGCCAGTATATTATCATCATCTCCAAAATGATGGACTGTGCATAACATATTTCAAGCCAAATAGTGATCCCAGGAAAATTACCTATCCTGACAGAGTTTGCCTTGGTCTTTTGCGAAATTACTTTGCTGTACTCAAGCCTTTGCTGTTGATTGACAAATTACTGGACACGTTCACAGGAAAACAAATCCCGCTATTTTCTGTCGTTTCTGTTGAGCTTGCTTTCTGCCAGCTAACTTGGGATCTGCTTCCAACCGTTGAAGCAACGCTTACTGTTCGGTGAACCAACTGGCCGATTAAGAATCAATCTGAACTGGCAAATTTAACTAAGTCCCGCTAGTGAGTAGGTAACTGACATAGCTCAAGTACCTTTCTATGAGCGAAAAACTCATATGCTGTTGGTATTCAGTGGTATTTATGTTCAACGTTGATGTAAACGTTGATGTAAACGTTGACATCAACTTTCCGACACCATTCACCACCCGTACATCCAAAGGTATTATCTGAGAGTACTCAGCGAATGTATCAGCACAATACTACCAAGCTATTGTGGACGAGGCCAAAGCCCCCGGTGCTCCTGGGAATGCGCTTCAAATCAGTTGGTGTTTCGGGCGCCACGTGGATACGGCAATTGGATTGAAACATCGTTGATTCGATCGTCGCATTGATCTATGTACTGTGATTGTGGCAACAAATCAACATCCGCAGTGCTCCTGGGAGCCGGCATTCGTATTGGTAATCAGCGAAAACTGGGTAGTGGCTATATCTTTCATGGTGGATATCAAACATTTAAAAGCTCATGATTGTCCCATGGTGGATGCTACCATGCCCTTCTTTTGCTCTAATAACTCGCTAGTAGAGCACCATTACTAGCAAAACCAAAAAATCATCATGAATTATAAGCTCCCACAGGCATCAAAGAGGTCCAACACCCCAGACACAGAAGAACACAATGGACTTACATGGCAAACTGGTATCGTTATTTTAGAACCCCTTTTCGAGGAATCCATCGGCTGACTATCTATCGCATTGAGGCAATGAATTGACTGAAAACTTCCGTCGGGTGGTTCGTCCGTTTATCCACGAAAATCGCGTCCACTCAAGCAAGGTTCTACAGCCGTCTGTTGACCAGTCCACTGGCTCTGTAGCTACAGAGGTAGCTACTTCTGTTGGCAGCTCGAGGAACTATATGACTTCTCCAGGCGCGATAAAGACTGAATATCAAGACCTGGCCCCACTGAACGCGAGAAAAAGAGTAGCCGACTCCTCAAACCTCCCACGAAAGCAACATCGACACTCATCCTCCGCATCTCAAATACAAGGCCACTCACAACTGGCGGCCCAAGAGATGCATCGAAAGAGATCCCTTAACCTTACAACAGCTAGTAGGAAATTGGTTAGCGATACAATTCAATACCTACAAACGCTATCCGATCGAATCTTGATCGCCGACACCATCTCCTCCACAGAGTGGGTGACGATGCATCTCGCCACGCAATTGCTACAGAGCAGGTACGAAGATATCCTTGCGAGGGAAGAGATGGAAACAGACGCTGTGTCCGAGTTTAACTTTCCACCGACACAGCCAGAAGGGCAATGCCGGAAGTGTGCTGCTGCGGATGAGGAGCGGCTGTATGACTGAGGGGCTATTCCTTCCTGTTAGTTTGTTGGCATATTTTGATAGAAGAACTGGGTTTGAAAATAAAAGAGCAAATATATGTGCCTATATGTCACCATATTAACTCAGATGAACCAATAGGGCATCACTTGTAGACTATAACCCCCATCCCGGTGACATGAAATGCCCTGTGTGATGAAACGTCCACCAGGTACCTACATATTCGACCCTTGTCACTCCCGATCCACATTTGTAATATCGCTGAGAGCAGCAGGAACAATATTTATGTAATCTCCTCTTCGAGGCCTCTTTTCAAACAAAAAATTACACAATGTTAGAGTGGTGGATTACAGGTTGTCATGGACTACCTAGAAATCCACTGTTCACTACCATGACGCCAAGATCATCCACCAAAACGTCTAAGATAAACAGAAAACACAATGTCGTACCTTACGGCATGCATAGTCATGTCTATTAGTTTTTAGTATCACTATGATTGGTTTTGTTTGAAAATATACCAAGTTTAGTAGAACTATGGCAGCAGAAAGGTACATAAAGCAAAAATACTGACAAGGAGAATACACGGGGAGTAAAGAATCTTGTAAAATCAGGTTTGAGAAATACTAGCGCCGTCAAAAGGAACAGCCGCCCCACGAGCAGCGACAGCGTCTCTGTGCCCATTAGCCAACGCGGCAAACAGTGGGTACTTATATCTCTCCCCCAAAACATGAATTTCAGAATCCGCGTTGAGTCTTGCCCGGATTAGCTCCGGGCATCCCTTATCTGCTAGAATATAAAATAGACTCGCACTCATGGTATACTTCCGATTGTTGAACTTTTCGAAAAAATTGTTGGTATTGATCCAGTTAGAGATGGGAAAAGAGGTCAGAAATGCCTCTTGAGGAACAGCTTTTGCCGCTGCGTTGGCATGGTGGAGGGTGTTATCACTGGCATACTTCAAGAAGGGATAATCGTTTGGTACTTCCTTCCGGTCGTTAGAGGTAGACTCTGAAAGTAGCTTGCTAACAGATGTACAGATCAAGATATGATTTGCATAGAGGCTGCAGCATTGTTTGAGTTTCTCGTGGCCTACGCTCTCGTAGTCAAATCCAAGCTCAGGCCACAACTCATACGGGCCCTTGTCCTTGATAAGGAAGTCTCGGACAGATTCATGGATAAATTGAACTCTAGGCTGGCTTGATCTTGTGATCTCGGCAAGTCCTTTTGAGGAGCTGATGACATATCTGCTAGCCGTGTCATCGCCAGCACCAGTACCTAGGACGGTGACATCCGGAATTCGACTATCGACCAAATTCTTCAGACACAAACCAGACCAGAGGGCATGATAGAACTCTTGCGGTCGTAAAGGGTCCTTTGCGTACAGAATCCAGAGAACACAGAGCAGGAGGGCTTCTGTATTTTCATTGTCACGTCTCAAGATATCTTTGAATAGCTTGCTAAGATCACTGGGTATTTCCGCGAGTCTTATTCTAAGAGCCATTCCACCATGTCGGTACTCTTTGTTTAGAATATCAACCACCAAGACGACCCACATGAAAACACCAGCAGCTTTACTGATGAGTTGTGGTTGCAGCTCTTCGACAAGCTTGGGTTCTTTGATTCGGAGGCGACTTGTGACGTACGTTGCCAAGTCTTCCGCATGGCCTGGTTGATCCTCCAGTGTAAGTCGGAGGCCCCAATGAATTACGATGTAGGGATAGTGTCGACTTGAAAAACAGGCTCGAAATGGGACCCCTTTTGCCGTAGATCTTTCGGCTAGCTCTTCAAAGTACTGGACCATGTCCACAACTTGTTGATCATCACACTCGTCGAGAGCATCGACAAAGCAGGTAAACGAGCGTTGACCGAGGGCGCAAACTGCATTGGCAAATAGGACTTTCAGAACATTCAAGGAAGGGCAATCAGTTTGACCTTGGGGGACCAGGTCGGAATCGTCTAAAACAACCTGAAGGTCAGGGTACCCTTCAAGTAGTTGAAGCAGTAATGATCGATACATCCCCGAGATCGACTTTTCCAAGCCACCACCCCGAGCGTTGAAGAAAAAGGAAGCAGTGATCGCATGCTTGCGACGGCCCTTGCCCTTCATGCTTGAGTACGCAAATTTCATGATCGTCGACTTACCTGCCCCGGGCTTACCAGTGATCCACAAAAAGCCGTGATGATGCGACAAACTTGCGGGATCAAGCCATTCTTTGTAATAAGGATGGCTGAGAAACCAGTGACACGTTCTTTTCTGTTCTTGTTGGATGGTCGTTTTTCGGGAATCCATTTGCTCGAACTTGAGAGAATTTAACAAGCGCTGCCGGTGTTCGTGAGATAAATATTGATCTATAGGTATGGTGTGAGCAGCGGTGACTTAATAATGTTCCTAGGGCTGGTATGCATTCTTACAAGAATCGGCCGTGGAGACAATGCTTGTATGCGATCCAGTCACGGCTAACACCTCAAGCAATTCCCTTGCGTATGCGGCTGCGGTTGCTGCAGCATATCTCTGCCATGCTTCGCCTTTGTGGGAATCTGCATAGTCGCAGATTCCCCGAATTGGAAGACACGGGAGGATATCCATCAGACCAGCGCTTTCCATCTCAAACATATGACATCTAGCTGTCGAGCAATGTTGTCCCGTGTTGTGCCGTCCCTCATGACTTGGTTTCCAGAGGCGATTGCGCCATAATGGATCCTAACTTCGGCCAGCATCCGTCTGCTTCGTGGGACTAGCTTTGAGTGGTCGCATTTGTCACAGCTGCCGGTTAGAGATTCATGATCATAGATCGCATGGAATAGACGATCCGGAGAGCTCGGGCGGGAGTATGGGTTGTCCTTCTAACTTTTGTTGTAAGATAGATATGACTCGGCTAGGACTTAATTCATGCTTCGAGCGGACACAAGACACAGCCGTACCGAGCAATTGATGGGGAATTCTCGGAATCGCCGTTCGTTGGAGCTCTCCATCTCTAAAAGCTTTCCCAAGATCATACTGCATTACCCTTGTTCCGACGACAATATCACCCAAGCGTACATCAGCCTTGCTTGGCACACCGCCGGAAATTCCAACCATCAAACATGCACGAATCTGTGGGAACGTCCGCTTCATGTTCGTCATGAGGATTGCTGCGTTGTTTGTTCCATATTGCCCATCTGGTAAACACGCAATGACAACATTATGCCGATAGATGTCTCCTAGTACGTAGGTGTTCCTATCGTCCGCATGGGTAGGCAAGATTTCATGAGATTCGTCTAGCATTGCCTGAGCTGCTGCCATTTCTATGTACAGCGCGCAAATCCAAGCGATGGTGTAACGCTCGTGTCGTGGAGCTGGCAAACCGTCATGGTGGGAGGTCTTTGGTCGCTTGGATAGGTGGCATTGTGTTGTGGGTGTATCATGGTTATTACCGATTTGTGTTCCATTATTGATCTCATAATAAGACTTTGATGCCATAGTGATGGTTGCCTGCGTTGTCAGTGGCTTGTGGCGGAGGGAGTTTTCTGATTCTGAGCTGGAAGGGGGCAACCAGGCTCACTATCAGGTGACTTGTGGCACATGAAACCTTCACTCGGCCCGTCCCTTCTGCCGCCACTCCCTTACCCGTCCCTGGAAATTACTTAATTATTTACCTTAATTCCCCATGTACGTTGATGATTTCTACCTGCGTTTCCGATAACATTACACTAGCTTTTTAATACACTAGCTTTTTAAGCATTACCTGCACCGGTCCCATCGAGAAGTCGAGACCTCGTGGAGCTGGATTGTTGACAAGGTTCAATTATCTGTGGCCAATATCTTCCTCGTATCTTCATTTGGCTGACCTGGCTGCATACTGTATCGCATTCTTACCTACACCTGATCCTAGCCCTGCTCGACTACAACATGGACGTATCTTAGCGCAAAAGTCGTACCCGGTTCGCAGCAATCAATGTAGGCCTCCAACGCCCGAAAAGTGGAACACTGGCCCAGTATCTTGCTCACAACAGCACGCCTGGATATCTATCGCAGCTCATCCATTACCCCAGCACGAGCCTCGGCGTCTTTCCGATCTGGGTTACGAACGTCCCATGCTTATAAAGCTACCTGATCCTCGACTCACCTCCACAAGTCATTTTCCAAAGAGATTTAAAGATCCGAAGTCTATGCCTTTCTTCCACAACTCTTTCATCGCCAGCCGATCCGTGCCTCAAGTGCTACCGTTGCGAATATATCGCCCTGTTCCAACTGTCTCTTATAGCGAGAGGACCCTGGTCAATCAATACCGAGTCCTATGTCAAGCCACGGCAGCGAAGACGCCGGTCATCGAGTACGGATAGATGACCTAAATTTCTAGCAACGTCCACTTTTTTCGTTTCTTAGCTGAACAGCTTATTTAATTCGGTCGGCCATCCTTGAGTGGTGTCTTTGTTCACTGATCATCGCCTCACTTCTGGCGACTGAATAACTAGTTGGCGAGTTTTTAAACTTCAAAACATTACACTCTGACTTCAACATATACAGTCATAGCAGCGGTCCCGCAGCAGTGCCGATTCCGGTGCATTCTGAAACGAAGCCAAGCACCTTACCAAGTCACTCAGCGCCCGCTACTGCTCAGCAGAAAACGAGACAGCGAACACCCATCAAAAGTCAATTCGAATGGCCCTGAATTCTTGGAGCGAATGATTTTGGCGATTTCTAGCATCTTGCAATCTCCTTTGGGAACAGGCTTGGTGGTCAGCGGTTCTGGACCCTCGGAGTGATACTAGAATATGTGATTGGAATATGATTGATTTTATCCCTGATCCTAAAATAGGAAGAAATATTAGATTCCGCTCTAAAAACCCACGGCCTCAAGGACACTTTTTGAGACTTGATCACCAGGTGGGATTTCCTGGATGGTGCTTGCGCACTTTGCCGATTTTGTCGAGGTGGAAGGTGGTGAATTGGAGGAATTTGTGCTGGCCGGGGAAGGAATCATCGACTTCGCTGACTGCAAGTCACCCGTGTTTTGGTTACTCATGTTCTCGGATTTAACAGACTTGCCAGCACCTGACAGCCAAATCGGATACAAGTCAGGATCATCGGCCTGGTCGCCGCGCAAGGCGAAGATGCTCACGGAGCCAATAGAGGAGAACATCTCTCGCATAATGGCCAATTTGGACTGAAGATCGTTTCCAAAGATATCCTCTCGGGTAGTCCATCGTTCGAGCCCATTGGCCAAGTACGCTTATGCTTTGACTGTTTCACAGGACGATCGATACCCTTGGTGGTAGCAGAAGCATTATTGCCGCGTTTGCGCATGACAAAGCCACCACCCATTTCAGCCTGTGAGACCTGCTGCTTAAGCTTTTCGATGGTCTTCTTAACATGGTCGACATCATTGGAACGCTTACGCTCGGCGCCGTGGTCACGGAAGAGTTTTACTTTGCAGTAAGCCAACTCCATGTCGCGCGTTACGTCCAACTCCTCACCAGGTGACAAAAGCTCAGTTGTTGCGCAAAGCCTGACTGGAATTCCCTTAACACTCTTGGAGTGGCTGAAATTAGTCGAGAGGAAGTTAAACCGCACGGAATATTGCAATCGTTTGTGCAGGTCGCTGGGTTGGCAGTTTTAAGTGATGCAGAAGCCGTCCACGGACATGTTTACAACTTGAACCTGTCGGTTCTTGTGGACCTTGCTGCCTTGGAAGGTATCGACATATTCGACTGCAAACAAATTTCCACCGCGTTGGTATGCTTCGTCTATGCCTCGGCCTTCCTTCCACAATTGCCAGCATATTAACGGTTTCGCCCGTTGTTCTTCTTCTTCGAAAGAAACGAAGACATAGGTTCTGTATCGAGTCGGCTCGGAGCTTATCACGGGCGGTTTCGAGTCCTGAAAAGAAATATTATATGCTTGGCTCTTGTTGAGATAGGTAATGGGGATTTCCTTCAAGTTCTTCACCATTGCGGTCGGTGCGCGCAGGGAGACATTGAAGCGGAATCTGGTGTGCTGTTAGCATTGGGAAGGAGATATAGAGTCATTTTACTCACTGCTCACTCCTAGCATAACATATTGCCGGTCATTTAAGGCGAAAAGTCCGTGGATGCTGTCGTATTGGATGCCGTCTCAACCTGCAGATCATTGATGGACGAAGCATCAGCCAAATCATCCATAGCATCGTATCCCGGATCCCGGTGAATAAATGCACTTGGGGTGTACGAAGCCTGCTCAGCGTAAGGATTGATTTCATGCGTATGGTTGGCCATAAAATGCGAGTTCAATGGTCCAAAGCTATGGCTGTGTGCGTATTGGGAACCTGGCATTGTGTTTGAAAGAGAAAGCGGAGCCATAAAATGCATTCCCATTGGCGTATGCAAGTCACCGGCCAGATTATGTAAAATGGCGCCCATGCCACCATACTTTAGATTATAATAGCCAGCATATTGGTTGGCAGATGGTATCATACAGTATGAACCGCGTTCCATCCATGAGGATGTCAAGATCAATTCATGCATATTTCGAGGTGTGTATTCTTGGGTGCTGATCATGTGGAGTTCAATGTCGTGGGTTTCCATTTTCATGTCGTTGGGACGTATGGTATGGTCCTGGGCCGTCGCATTGAGAGGCCCTGGAGTTGGCGCCCCCGGGCCCGGAACTTCTCGCCGAGGAACAATGCCTGAGAATGCTTGATGGAAACGACTGATGAACTCACTATAAAGCTTCTGGGCGTTATTTCTTTTGGATTAAAGGTGTTAGAGCTATTAAAGCTTCTGGTACGAAAAAAGTAACCGGTTGCTGAGCATTGAGTGCGATTTCACCAATGGTTGGTTTCGTTGTAGGAAACACGGGGAGTCGGGGAGGTGTCGGTTATGAGGGAGCAAGCAGGCTGTAGACTATTGTTGAGCCACGGAAATTCGTTGCGGATATCGAGTAGCCGCGCCAAGGCCACCGACCCACTCACCACGGCATGCGTATTGGTGAGCTTGGCACGGCTAGGCGGTTTTGACATTCGCCATAGCCTAGAAAAGTTCAATCAAATCTCATGGAAGAGTTTCCACGAATCAAACCGGAGAGTGAGCCGATCGAGTCGGGAAAACTTTTCCACAAGGCTTGATTGGCTGGTTTCTTCCATAGTAATCGCGAATAACGAGCTTCTGTCTAAATGGTCGCTCCCCCGCCCAGCGGCAATTTTGCAATTGATCGTCTCGCTCTTCTACCATTATTCATTCGCACTCTCGTCCCAGTGTCCCTTATGCAGTTCGAAGTCCTTCCATTCGGTCCTTTCGGAGTTCTCCCTATGTAGCTTCCTTATCTCATTATATTTAAGAAACGAATTTGATCATCCTTTCATAATCCTTGCGGCATTCACTATAATGCCACCCCGCAGCCGGCACAATGTCACGTCCTATCCCACCAACAAAGGCCCTGCAACACCAGCCAGCTTCGGTACATCCAAGGAACGTGAATTCTATAAGTAAGTATCTCCGAGAGGGCATACCAATCAAAATAGCCCAAAAGTTCAATGAATAGCCTAGCAATTAAACCTAGTAGCCAATAGTAAGCCCCGCACAGAGCCATTCTCACTTATGTAAGTAAACACCCACCTGCCGTGGACTGATCGACCCATGTCTGTTTTCCGTCTCGCTACGTTATCATTCACGGAACTTCGTCGTTGTCATCAAACATGTTTGAGAACAGGTACATAGAGATCTCTAGTCCTGAGCTTTAAACACATGATACGCTAACATTAATCTCTTTAGACCCAATACTCAGAAGCCCGACAAGAACCTCATCAACAAATTCCAGGAATCCTTCTCCGACGTGATCAGGCCAGTCACCAAATGCAATCCAGCTACGTTTGTCTCACTACAGCATCTTCACCCCTTTCATGCATCCAAGTCCCTTGTCATAGCCATTTGCTATACAGTCGCATCGGTTCTGTTGACTATCAACCATTGATAGTTACTTAGGCGATTTGCGATCCACGCCTTTCAGAGATGATCACTTGCTTCCTACGCACGCTGCACCCCAATCCTTCCACGATAATACCTCACGTGGTATGACACCGGTTTTGCATGGCCCGGCCGGAGATCTTCACACACCAACCCTCGGAAGATATTTATTAACACCTAGAACACTGCTTGACCAATTCCCGGTCACACCCTTGCATCTACCCAAGGCCGACATATCCTACAACAGCTTTGATCCACAATGCTTCCCACAAGAACCTCAGAGTGCCGCTTACCCACTCAGTGGATTTGTTTACTCCACCTTTGCCGATGAACTTATGGGCGAACCCGGCGCACAAGAATATTCCAATGATGTGGGAATTCAAGGGCAGTTGATCTCTCAGCTCGTCTCCCCTGGGACCAGTCTCTCGGGAGTTGAAACTGTGGTAGCTCATGATACTACCAAGTAAGTTCGTTTTTTTTTACAAATTGTGCTTGGAATTTAGTTGGGCTAATTAGTTTCCAGTTCTAGATATCTGGTGGCCCTGAACACACCCACGGCGATGATTCATGACCCGAATGATCCCACAATTACCTATCTCAATAAAGGTCAAACATACTCTATATCGATCACCGATCTGAAGTCCCCTCCACTGGCCAATGGATTGGTCAAGTATCGAACGTCAATACGTGTTTCCTTTCAAGACAAACATCAAGCATCAAGGCCCACTTCTTCCTGGCAGCTATGGAAGGACATTCGTGGCCAGGAGTCCCATCGAAAAGATGGCCTTTTACGCGCAGTGGAGTTTGTTGATTTGGACCCAGGCAACAAACGACGAACTCAGCTAGAAAGAATATCTTTAGATGGCTTTAGTATCATATGGTATGCAGATTCCACCGCACAGGCATCGGGATGCTCGATAGGTGTCAGATTCAACTTTCTTTCGACGGACTTCAGCCGTTCTAAAGGGGTGAAAGGAGCTTCTCTCAGGCTTTGTGCTAAAACACAAGCCGATTTAGGCGATGCCGAACTGAGATTTTGCCATGTGAAATTGTTCCGTGATCACGGCGCTGAGCGCAAAATGTTTACGGACGTCTCACAGCTAAAACGTGCAATTGAGAAACGCCAAAAGCAAGCCGCTGAAAATGAAAATTTGGATTCAAATGACAGTCTTGGAAAACGAAAACGTGATGCTCGCTCGGCTGTTGATACAAGCGGTCCCAGTCTAGACGCTGAAGTGTTGAGAATGCAAAGTCTATTCTCCTCCAATCACCCCGTCAGCACTTTTTGTCTTCCGGGTGAGAAGAAAGATGATCCGGATTTGTTCCCAATCCACATAGTGGATGAGGCGCAAACTCAGCATCAAGTAGACAAACCGACTCTGCAAACTCTCACCCCTCCATCAACATCGAGCAGCAGGTCGAGAAGTCAGACACATAACTCGGGGGATCAGCAGCCACGTGAGCCGCCTCTCAAATCAGAACCACCCGAGTTGATCGACTGCAATGATAACTCTGAAATCCTCATGCTATCTACCCAAAGTGCTGAACCGATGGATGTCAATTCAAGACCTACAGCAGCAGGTTAAATTTCCTAGCCCAGACAACCTTGAAATGAACACGTGCTTACGAAAAACTAGTGGCATGTTTTTATCTCCGCTTTCACAAAAGCAACGCACAACAAGATGGTTACCACACCGCTGTTTATCTGGCAGAGCGTACCGCGCAGGAACTCATGGTGAAGATCTGTGAGAAACGACAAATTAGCCAGGCTCATAGAGTCCAGCTGTTTCAGATCAGGTCAAACGGCATGAAAGTCATCATTGATGATGAAGCAGTTCAGCGGATCCCAGATGGCCAAGATATGACTGCAGAAGTGGGTGAGGCTCCTATCGATGACGTGGCTTTTTATGGTAGCCCAGTACCTGTCACCGTCGAAGTCAGATTGTTCTTTTGAGTACGCAGAAGGTAAGCTCAATATCGCCCACTTGTTGTTTTATTTCCTAGTATTTTGCCTGAATGTGAATAAGATAGCGGATATCCATCTTTATAGAGAATTTTGAACAAGCAGTATATCAAACATACCTACCTAGTAGTGTTGTGCCGAGCAGTTCGCTGCCCAGGTGGTCGAAGAGAAAGCAGTGGTAAAGATTCTAATATTTTGTCACAATGAGAATATCTAAACGCGAATCTTGGAAAGACAGGGACATGCCCGGGTGACCGCACAAATATTCGATCTTAAAGCAATTGATATCCCTGGGCCAATTTAACATAACGTTTGCCCAGGTGCCTAATGCGTAGAGATATACAACCATTGAAATATTGTATTAATTAATTGACCTCGATCTCAGATGATCGTTTACAAGGTTCATACAAACGACCATGATAAGTTTGGAATCACCCGGGTCTGGGCAGCGATCGGATAATTACAACCTTGGAATGTCCACGGGGATCTATGAATGGTATTGATGCAAAGTGAAAGTTTGAGGTGCGGGGCACCCGGGCACCCGGGCATAAAATTGTGCTGACTCAGCGCAATAAGCTCACGAGTTTGATAAGACTGATAACGTGATTCGCTTGCGACGGACTTCATTGATACAAGTCCCCTCAAGTCTCTATTGCGCTCCATTTTTGCGGTTTTCTCTTGCCATAAGCCTTTGTTCAATATACCTATCGCCTGAGTGTTGACTACTCAGTGCCTTCCCTTGGACCGTTCAATACCTCCTTGGGCGTTTCAGGGGTCCAACTAGGTCCCCACCAATCTTTGAAGGCGTAATGTCCCATCCGGTTGACTTACAAGAGGCCCAGCGAAGGCTCCAGCAAGTCAGCTTCGGTGCATATCGTGAACGAGAATTCTTCAAGTATCTGCCGCCCTATCATTCGGAAATAGGTACCCTACAGCATGTCAATCGACACACATTGCCTTCCGAGTTCGTTGCACGACCATCGTCAGACTCTGTTCTGACCGCATTCGCTCAGCTGGGCACTTTGCGGCTAGATTCCAAATACGTATTAATTTCGCTTTTTGGTCGATACGAGTAATATATCCTTACCGAAGCAACACGAACCCTCAGTCTCCAGGATAACACGGAACATACTACGCACGATAGGATGTAGATTGGGGGGCTATAATATGTCATATGACCGAGGTTTCTGCCAAGCTGCTATGAAGTCTTCAAGTGCAAAAATGCTCGTCGTTCCAGATCTCACACAGGACGAACAGTTCAAGGATTATCAAGATGTCACTAACTATCCACATATTCGCTTTTTAGCTTATAGTCCTATCATCAGCCCAAAGGGTATTGTGATCGGCGTTTACGTGGTATTAGACAATAAGCTCTATGGACCGCTAGATGCGGATCTAGAGAAATTTTTAGTGGATATTTCAAATACTGTCATGGATTATTTAAGTGCTATCAAGTCCAGAAACCAACAACGTCGGAGTGAGCGCATGATAATTGGACTCGGAAGTTTCCTTGACAGAAAAGGCAGCTTGCGAAACTCGTGGAGCAATGCGAATGAGGAAGTCCTTACCCCGGGCGAAGAAGTTGCGGAAGGTCAAATCAACGAAAGATAACAGGAAAAGCAAGTTGAGGATAGCATTTCTCGGGCTATGACAAAAGCATTCCCGCGCCATTAACCGTTTCGCCCAAGTAACTACAACATGCATCAATAGTCAAAGCCTACAACACAGAAAGAGAGACAGCAGTTGTTAGCCAAGGCAAAGATTAGCACAAAGATTTCGCGAAGCCTAAGTCACATTTAACCAGTAGCAAACCCAACGATAAGAACCGCAACAAGCAAAGATCGAAAGAACTATATGCTACATAGGTCAAGGAGACCTTTTCACAAGCGGCTAACATCATTCGCGAAAGCATTGAGATGGAAGCTGCTGTGTTTTTTGACGCCAAAGTTGGGTCCAAATCGGCGCTGGTAAATGCTCCGAGCGATTCTGAGACTAGCGGCGGAGGTACGTCCTTCTTAAGCGAGGATGACGCTAAGGTCCCAGCTCAAAAAAGGTCCACATGGCGCGATCTGACCAAAGTAGCGCATTTACCAAGTGTTGGTAAAAATATAGAGAATCCCTGTAAAATATTCGGTTTCTCCGTTTTAGGTGTGTCTAGTGTGAACGATCAATTGATCGGTGATAACAAAATTGTGTTGTCGGAGAATTTCCTCGGACACCTGTTCCGTCGCTATCCCCGAGGAAAAATCTTCAATTATAACGAAGATGGAAGTATGCCAGCGAGCGATACCGGTGAAGGCAAAGACTGCTTCCGCACCGCTGGCAAAAAGTATAAGAAGTCAAGCAAGACAAAAATACGATAGGATTCTATGACATTGTTGCAGATTGCACCTGATGCTAGAAGTATTATTTTCTCGCCCCTATGGGACTTACATAAAGAGAGGTGGCACGCGTGCTGTTTATTATGGATAAGAGTTCCGTATCGCGGTTTCATTTCCAGCGACGAACTTTCCTTTTTATTCGCATTTGGAAACAGTGTTATGGCGGAAGTCAACCGGCTAGCTGCTCTTCTGTCCGAATACGCGAAGGCAGATCTATTAGCGGAAATCAGCCACGAACTTCGGTCTCCTCTTCATGGAATCTTTGGTGTCGTCGACCTATTGGTTGATACTTCTATGGATGTCTTACAATGAGGATTTCTTCATACAATCTTATCTTGTGCGTCCACTTTACTTGGGTCGATTGACTAGCTTCTTGAATATGCTAGTATCAATGATATTCGGTCGAACTCTTTAAAGGACACAAGTTATCTAGGAGTCACAGCCGAGCAAGATATAGGGCCAGGAAAGATCGATGAGAATTTCATCATTCAACTTGATGCTGCTATGGAGGAATCGATCGAATCTGTTTTTACAGGCTATTCTTTCTTAAAAAGCGACAAATTGCTCAAGGGTAGTTCCGACCATACAAATTCTGATAACAAGCGGAACAAAGTTTTGGTAGTTCTTGATATTGACCACACTCAACACTTCAAGTTTGCTACTCGACCCGGTGTGTGGCACGTGATTTTGACGAATATATTTAGGAATGCCTTGAAGTTGACCAAAGAGGGCTACATTTTTATTTCGCTGAAAGCAGCCCCAGTCCCCGTGGGGCCCAATCACGATGGCAATCTCGCCCAGTCGAAAGTCACTCTATCTATTGTTGATACTGGGTGCGGCATGGAGGGTGATTTTGTCCAGAACGAAATGACCACCGCCTTTTCCTAGGAGGATACCCTGTCATCCGGTAATGGCATCGGGCTTAACATCACCAGTCGGCTAGTATTGTCACTTGGTGGCAATATACAAGTTAAGTCCGAGAAAGATGTCGGAACTGAGGTCGTCATAACAATGGTTCTGGGTTATATCCCCAAGTCAGGGTCGAGCGACTGCCTTATCGATGACCTTTTCCCTATTGAGGAACACGGCCTGATGTCAGGGAAAACCATTTCCATTGTGGGACTAAGCTCTTCTCATAAAGATGTGTCACTTTATCTCTCTCTGTACAAGCTATGTCGAGATTGGTTAGAGATGGACACCCATTTGTTTACGCTGTCAAACAAAGAGTTTGGCAATACCGATTTTTGTATCGTGCCACATACATATTTGCAGGGAACGAGTCTACCAGACATAGTTTCATCCTTTAAAGTAGCAAAACGGCGGTCGCCTCCGCCTGTCATTGTCATATGTTCGTCCCTGAAAGTGGCGCATTCGATGTCCTTGGGCCACAGCCACTCAAATGGGGCACAAATTGTGGAGTTCATTAGCCAGCCATGTGGGCCTCGCAAGCTAGCAAAAACCTTGGAAACATGTCTCCGACGACAGCAACAACAATTCAATCTAGGCAGTGACAAAAGGGAAATCTCAAATACTCGAACAACTACCGCTCTGCCGTTACCACCTAACGAGTTCGAGAGACACTCATTCCTCCAACTACAGAATCCAGATAGCAACCAGCCAACATCCAGCAATGAAAATTCGAACAAGCTATAGGAGCCAAAAGAACCATCTTCGGGGGATATTGGTATCCCATACACGTCAGAAACCAAACAGTCCTCCGCGGAAGAAAAATCTCAACCCCAGCAAAACTTCCCAACAAATGTACTTCTCGTAGACAACAATACTATCAACCTCAAACTCTTGATTGCGTACATGAAGAAATTAGGTTGCAATTACCTTACTACACAAAACGGACAAGAGGCCCTTGATTGCTTCAGAGAACATACAGCAGATATTGCTATCATCTTAATAGGTATACTACCAAACTATTCCTCACCCAATTATTTCTAAAAAGCTAACATTGATTCTATAAAGATATTTCGATACCAGTCATAGATGGTCTGGAGTCTACTCGGCAAATCCGCGCGTTGGAAAATACCATGGAAACAAAAGAGTCCACACTCATCTACTGTCTTACTGGCGTCGCGCAAGCCGAAATCGAACACGAAGCAATGGCGTCTGGTATGGATATGTTCCTTACCAAACCTGTACACTTGGATAAACTGCTGCCCCTGATCGAAGGCAAAGTACCAATCTCGCACCCAAAGAAGAAGCAATATAAACCTTGAAGATCTTCAAGGGGATTGAATCCAAAGAAGAGGATGTAGCCCGCATGGGTTCACCGACAGCGTGGGTCAAATTTCCCCGTTTGGGGTCTGCTGCCGATGGAAAAAAATTTGCGAAGTGTGCTCGTTGAGATTAAAGATTGCGGAAAGAGATGAGGTGAATAGCTCTGGTGGCCATGATGTTATGAGATCCTTTGTATTCTCGGATAGAGAGGGAACGATGAAGATACGGACATGAGGTGTATTAAAAAGACCCAAGAGAAGAACAAGGTCCCTTCTTTGAATCTTTTGATTTGAGTATGCCTTAAGACTTATAACCAGCTAACATCCGTCTGAAACCATTAATATCTTCTTCGCCCATGTACTTTAATTTGGTCCAGTCTCGAACGCCCGTTTTGCCGGCAAGAGATCGTGTCGAACATTTTTTAAGCTCTATTTCAAAATCTCTGCAGGCATTTCCACAACGAAGGAGGGGATGTTCGAGGCTAGCAAAGATGTATCTGTGTTCGCATTCAAGGTCTCTGTTAGAGCGCCAAGAACTCCATTCAGAGTCTCGAACTCACCCCCTAAGTGGATTGACAAATGATTCCCAGAGGTAGAGCATGAGAAATCAAGAAATCACAATTAATATTCCAGAAGCAAGTAGGTCCAGGATTCATTGGTCTTTCTGGGAACTTACAAAAACTCCAGTTGCTGTGGCGGATCGTGAGTGTATGACCGAGCTTTCGCACGACTGAAGCTAGAGCTAGAAGCTTAGCAAAAGAAAAATAAGAACCATGGAGGCTGAAATGGCAAGGCAAGTAAGAGAGAGGCAAAGTCTTATCAGAGGAAACGCTGTCAAGCATAAAGCTTGATTTCGTTTGACAGCGCGACATGAACATCATTGGATCGCACACTTTGAACATTAATATATTGAATGTCATATGAATCGAGCAAGATAGCTTAAGACCTAATGTCTAAAATGGGGTCTTTCCGCTCCGCTCGTTATCAAACTAGTGTCATTGAACAAAACAACGTTTGAAAGCCAAATTTCCACTTGAATGTCTATTGGATATATCATGACAGCCTCTACAGACATTACAACTGGCAGTAAAGGCTTACCAAAATCGTGGTATATCCTACGATAAATGAAATCCTATGATAGATGGAATCCTACGACCGGCCGAGTCGTGGGAATATCTAGGTGGGCATTAAAGCCTCCCATACATTGATTCAGGGCCATCGAGGCCCAATGTAAGGGGCTCAACGCTCGAATTGGCCAAGGATCAAATATCACATATCCGATGGCAGTAAGCTAGAGGCGAATGCCTACTGTTCTAGAGCTTATGCCAAATGGCCATGGTTAAAAGACGACAGCGTAGGAGAAAAAGCTAAGATCCAGTGATCGTGAGGACTAGTCGCCAGTTGACGTAAAAAGGGCCCAGCTGGCCCATGAGTCAGGGACCATAAGCCAGCTCGGCCCTTTTTACTCAACTGGCGACTGGGCTTACTATCCTAACAGGCCAGAAAACATGCCGATATAGTGCATTTTGATCAAGGGTCGAGTCTTGTGGTGTAACCTCCAGTCGGTGGCCTATTGGGCATTGAAATGCTCCTAGTTCAATAGCATTAATCAATGCGAGTCGGTTATGAATTGAATATTGGAGCAACCTAGTCGGGATATCGAGAGGCACAGCTTTCCATAATTGAAGCACGATCAATTGTGTGAGGATAATCGTGAGGCCACCAATCGGTTCACCGCGGTCTGGGCTCCGCAAATGCTATAATCCACAGTCGCACAAGTCTCGTCTGGTATCTCGACAAACTGGCCCACAACTGCCAAATTGGTGATCTCCTCTGGTAACACATTTGAGCGATCTCCGGAAGCCCGAGTCAGCAAGGGTGCTGCTAAACGAGGCATCACACGGGGGATAGTTATCGAGGTATTCAACATAAAATCTCGGGACATTTTCAGATGTTCAGCCAATTCAACCAAGATCTCTTGCCCTGTGCAATGGAGCATTTCTTTCCTCACATAGTTTCCTACACGATTAGGGGTGGAACAATACCCCCAAATCACGCAGACATCCCTGGCTTGATGAGAAAACAGCGGTTGACAAGGAATAAGTAGTTTGATGGACCAATTACTTTTCTGAAGGACGATAAAATTTCTTGAGTCAACAACAGCTTTCACTGATCTGACGAACTGGTCGAAGCATTTAGTACTTTGGAACGTAGTTGTGAAGGCTTCCACTCGAGACTCATCCACTCGCGTACAAAAATTGTACGGGTCGCCTAAAATCGAGCCGAATGCTAGCCAGAGCGACCAATTTTTATCAAATCTGTCCTCTGCTTTCAGCAATTCCAACGAAGGTGGCTTTGTGTTGGTGCCACTGGTTGACCCAGATACGGAGGACCCAAGAGTCACAACAGCAACGTCGTTTTCGCCAAACGTCACAGTACTTTGTTTATCGTCTTTGGCCCATTTAAATGCTGAAATTCTTCGGTGGCTTCGATCTTGATCAATGACCATGTCAGTGATCGTGACGTCGAAGTGAATATCAATTCCTTCTTTCTGAAGGAAAGTTGTTATTGGAAAAATGATATCTTCTTGCGTGTCGCATCTAAAGCGATCAGGAGGAACGGATTTGCTTTGAGGTCGTCGATCGGGAAAGAATTTCTGCACGCATCGACGGAATTCAATAGCGCTAGACCAGGGACAAAAACCGAATCTTTTAAGTTCGCCAATGTTAGCAATGATTTTGAGAGTCTTTCGACGAGAGACTAACATAGAGGACCAGGTAACCCAGAATGCACTGGAAAAGAAATTTTCCTTGAAACAATCACGGATCATTTTTCTATCAAGGCTCTTTTCTGATTTTAGAACGAATTGCCTCAATCCCATCCAGACTCTCCATCCGATACTAGAGCTGTTAGGGTCGATAGCTTCCAGGTGATTATCGCCTTGCCAAAGAAGGCAAGTGTCGGCCGCATCGCCTTTGGACATTTTCAAATCCTCGAGTGCTGTTTGCTCTGAACAAGTGGCCGAAGGAACTAAAGAAAGTAGGTACTCGGTATGCTTGTCGCAAACAATAGGCAAGCATGAAGATCGGTGATCATAACCATTCATCGCATCACCTGTGGTGGGTAGTCCATCTTCTGGTGCTCCGCGGGACTCTAAGAGATGAATCTGAGGAGCCGGTATTCTTGCATCCCGAAGTAAGAATACTGCGGATGCCAAAGAGCCGATACTCGTGCCAAGTATCCAGACATTAATCTCTTTGTGCACCCATTCATTTTGGTCTTGATGAGACAGATCTTTGTGGCTCACCATGATATGTTTGCTTTTCACACAGGTGTGCCCAATTCTGGTGCTGAACGAAGTGTGGCGACTGACATTAGTCCTACGTGGCCGTTGACGTCACTATATGCTCATAAGATGATAAGACTTAATCCGCCTGCACTTTTACGGGAGGTATCTTTTTTCAAGACCACTCTAGATTTTTTATTATATCGCTCCTTGCTATACCTATACCTGTTTCGATTTAAAACTTGGTCCGGTGAAGCAGCCGTCGCTCTATTGTGCATGTACTGTTTCTCGGGCGACTTGATACAGTATGTAGGAGGCTCCGTAAAATCATATTATGTATGCATACACTGCAAATTAATGTCGATTAAGCCTGGATAAAAAATACCTCGTCAAAGACAGCTGAAGGGCGCTATCCGGGAAAGAGCCCTCTAAGTCTCTCTGAACCGACAGCTGCTTTTTCTCTTCCCTACGAGAATATGATTGATATCATTGCAAGATCCTTCGCAATATTTAGAGATAACAGATTAGGTTGTTAATATAAATGGTTCTCATGTGATACTCAAGCGGCGTTTTTATGTCATGGTTCACCCAAAGGTACGTAGGAAAGCAAAGGAACGGATTTCCGTGGTGTTTCATAGGATATGGGGGTAGAGGTATCACGTGAAGTGGACTTGTTGCCGCGGTGTTTGTTTTGTTTGTTCTTTGTTGGGACGGACACCTTTGTCTGTTCTTTGTCACGGGGAAAGGCTGTTTGTACTGTTCGCATGTTCGGAGTTGGGAGCACTTCAGGCAGTTCTCGTCCGATCCCCTCGTGTATACCGCCTTTCAATCGACCTTCCTCCTTCTTACCTTTATCACAGTCTGTGGAGGGGGTATAGAGTGCTCCCCCATTATGTTATTCAGAGGACGTTCGTTGAAGGGTTGTATATTATAGTGTACCGCAATGTACGCCAAGATATGCTTGAGGAGATGCGAGGCAAACCAACGACCAGGACTGAGAGCAAGTCAGGCAATGTGCTTTCAACTGTGCTTAACACACAGTATTCTCGATGAGTAAAACTTATGAAATATAGAACATACCAAGAGTGGCGCGCATATCCAAATGGAAGAAAAGTATCACTGGCCATAGACAACGGAGTACATTTGCGATTTTCAGCGTTCGGAAAGTTCCCTTTTGGGGTTTCAGCAGCTTGCAAACTACTTGAAACAAATCGAAAGGGTCATAGACTTCAGCGTTAATGTAGAATCGCTCATCGTTATGGATACCCGGAACAGGGACGCCGAGCCAAGCCCCTTGTTAAAGATGCTCCCCGTGAGGAAGAATGACCCCACTCTTGGGCATTACTTCTCTCCAGAGGCCTCGTACAAGAATAGGGCTCCTCCTCGGGGTTTCTTTAATCGTACTGTCCATGTGACGCAGCTTTGAAAGACGAGATGGCTGCTTCCAGTTCTCTTTTACTGAAAAGACGGTTTCCGCTTCCTCGCGAAGGTTCTCGAAGTAGTGAAGGTCCGGGTCAGAGCTCAACAGATCAAGCAACGTATTTGTTGCTGTGACAGATGAGGATGATATGGCGCCTGAGGTCTGCATTTCAGAAAATTGCCGTTAGCTAGCTGGCGCTAAGATGAATAGAGCAGTGCGTAGTAAAGTCACCACAAGTGTGGTGTGTCGGCCCCACGGTAGACAATGTCTATTGGTGGAATGGCTTCCGGGTGAGGTGGAGCATGTACCATACCTCGAGACTTACTGAGCCCACAAATTACTTGTTCCCTCTATGGTTGACTCAACTTCGACCTTGAAAACCTGCTTAGAAGGACAAGGTCGCTCCAATAGATGAGGCTTTGAAATCATTTCAAATAAAAGGAGAAGGAAGAAGAAAAGCAATCTTGTGAATTAGTGACGATAAGTCCTTGAAAAGAGGCTGTTGTGAAGGTTGAGTGCAAAGCATGTACGGAAGTTTAGTACAAAAGCGACGGCAAACATTAATGTGATATGAACCATGTGGGATACATTTGCGCATCCAGAATATAAGACCAGTCGATTGAGACTGAGACTGATGCCTTGTAGCCAGTGAAGAGCGATATACAAGATCAGAGGGCACGCGAGCCGCTGTATTCATTAAGCAGGACACGATAATCGTAACCCAACTACCGAAGAGCCGGTTTTCATAAGATTGATTTTCAATATCTCATAGTGGTGCTTACGGTTTACCCAGATAGATGGTCTAGACGATTCAAGCATAACTCAAAGGAACGATCAAGATAACTTTTTCTTCAAGATCACATTGAAATCTCGAATTGTATAGCCGAGGAATGGTCAACTGAGAAAGGAGTCCCGGTTATTCTGCTGAGATTGCCAAAGTGTTTGCTCCATTAGTATTTTGATGATACGGTAAGCAACCATGAATTCCAAGGTTTTCTTTTCGCCGGTTGACGGTCCCTCCTCATCCACACACACAGCCCCCTCCTACGAAAATTTTCCTCAATTCGCTCACCAACATGTGCACCAGCCAACTCACTATCTAACGAGATACTCTTGCATCTTGAATTCTCGTGATGACCAGGCCGATGCCGTCAACGTCCCCCCCTTGCGGATCCTTTCCCACAGGCACCCGGACTGCCGAGGCCAGACCCGCAATACCACACTTCTGTCCCCAAGATCTCAAAAACATCTGTCATGCAAGAATCAGGGACAGTTCGTGCTAAAGTACCAATACCTCGACTTCGATCAAATATTGCACGCAAGACTCATCGGGCGTCCAGGGCATGCCAACGTTGTCGGCAGAACAAAGCAAAATGCAGTGGTGACTCTCCTATATGTCGAAAGTGTCGTGAATTGAAAGCTCCATGTTGTTATACCTTGACAAAAAGAGAACAGATTCAAAGGTAGGCGGTGCGATCTTTCCCATGCGGCCCGTTCGCATTACAACTTTTTTTTCACACTTGGATTACTTGAATTACGAGATCAATTGTTGATCAAATATGTGGTTCTAGGCAACTAGGTAGGCTCTACCAGAAAACGCGAGAGTACGAGGTTATGCTGAGGGAGATACTGCCCCTCGTTGGGACTCAAACCGCCGACAGAATTGAAATCTTACTCGAGAAAGTGTGTGTGTCCAGTCACGTTGGAATCCAATGATCAAGCCCGGATGTTGACTTGACTAACGCTACAATTTTACAGTCCTGCCTGAATCAAGAGTCCCTATCCGAAAACGCATCACCTCCCTTCACAATGGCTCAAAATAATGTTTTTGCACCACACGAGCCGATGGCATCTTCATTGATCAGGTTTCCAGTGACAAAAGCCCCAGTAGGGGATGTCAGTTTCACTAATCAACCTCAAAACGCAGAATCTCACGAGGACTTCCCGGATATCGTGTGGTTGAGAAGAGTGCAGCGAGAGGCAGACCAACAGAAGAGTCATCAGCCAAAGTCATCTAATCCGGCTTTCCATGCATTTGACTACCAAAATGAAGACTTTGGATCAGCATTTCATGGATCTGTACAGATGTACTTGATTCCAACCCGACCGGTGGCGGATCAATACCTCAAAGATTATTTGGATATGGTTCACCCGAATTTCCCAGTCTTAAATTGGCCCCTTTTTTGCGCCCAATACGGATCGTTCTTTGACAACGGTTCGCTCCCTAGTGATGAGTGGCTGGCAATTCTGAACATGATCTTCGCAATCGGAGCCAAGTATGATCAAATGACTGCTGAGCTGGGCCGTGGAGATGTCAAAGATCACCAGGTGTACCTGAGCCGTGCCAGGAAGCTCAGTATGAGGGGCGATACACTATTCAATCCTCCCAACCTCCAGCAAGTACAATTAGAGGGCTTGGTATCCTTTTATTTGCTCTGTTCCGATCAGATAGGCTTGTGAGTCATCCTTTGATGACTAGTCATCCTTATGATCAGCGCTGACATATGTAGAGCATGGAGGATCTCGGCTTTGGCAATCCGGTCCGCAATCTCTCTCGGGGTCAACTTAAAGAACGACAGTAAAAATATGACACAAATCGACAAGGAAATTCGCAACCGACTCTGGTGGGGTTTATATACGCTCGAGCATATGCTAGGGATCATAATTGGTCGGCCTGGCTGCATCAAGGACGCAGCGTGTGCCTCGCCATTACCACTTCCATTTGACGAGAACCAGCTACCAGGCCCGTCGGCTGTACCACTGCTTGATGACCCGAAACTCAGGAACATGTGTATAGATGCGGTGATGTCTAGCCCGCAAGATCTAAACACGTGTCTTGAGCTGATAGGCAAGACGAACAGAAGAAGTGATTACCGTAACAAACCGTGGCTTCACACACTACCTATTACCTCCGGGCTATGTTTTCTTTACCACTGCGACCTCGCAGTACTAACTGAAGATATCATGAAAAGACTATACTTGGGAGACCAGCCGTTGGATCTATGGGCGCACATCGAGAGTCAGATTCTTGAGCTAAGGGCAAAAGTCGACCTGTGGCATATAAGCCTTCCCACTACGCTACGTTATGAACCTACAGAGAAGGACGATCAACTTCACTTTCACCAGAAAATGAGGTTAGCGCTTCAGTATCACAGTGCGAGGGTCATGCTGGGCCGCCCATGGCTCCATCCAGGGGAGCTACGCCTCGATGGAATTTCTATGCAGAAACTAGCAGTCAGCCATAGATTGGGTGCAGATGCGCTAAAATCTGCGCTCCGAGTACTCGAACTGATCTTAGAAAAGCCGGATGTCACTTTTCTGTACAAGATCTGCCAATGGTGGCGTGTCCTTCATTATATCGTGCAGGCTACCGCCACTGTTCTTCGTGAGCTAGCATTTGGCAGTATTCAGATGCCTGGGACGGGCGAATATATGCTTCGGTCGACAATAAGGGCTGTAAGGTGGCTCCAGTCAATGGCTGAGCGCAGCACCGCGTCACATCGCGCGTGGCAAGTCTGTGATAACACCCTTCGTCGACTGAGTTCAGAAAAGGGATACGACATTAGCAGACTTTAACTATTACATCAAGACTGCCAAGTCAGCTAGATTTGTCTGGACACACCTCAAAGCATCTTCAAAAATGTATATACAGTCGTAAAGCCAAAGTTTCTATAGTAATAATCTCTTCGGCTTGAGGACTGCCATTAAACAAAAGACTGAAGTGCAATTGATGATTGACTATACGGTGACCTAGGAGCTCTTGGGACAGCGAAATGAATTAGACACGATAAGAGCTTCGTGTCAACCTAAAAATCCGGTAGGCACTATTGTATCATCGGTATGGACATCAATTTGCGTTTTGTTGCAAGGACGAAGGGCAGACTCTTTGATATTAGCGACCTCTTTAGCGAGCTATATTTGGTGGCCCCCATTACATTGTGTAGCTCACACTTGTCTCTTCATGAGTCTACACTATCAGAATAATGCACTTGGCAAAGTGCCTCGGTGGCTTTCACCTTCAGATCTGGGCCGGGCCATGTTTGCATTCATATTCATGCGGCGCGTTGTCATTTTCAATTTGGTTGTTCAGTTTCCCACTCATTCAGCAATCTCGATATTTTCTTGAACGAAACAGGTTTTGTAAGGAATAGATCCACTCCTGAGTCTAGCGCCGTGGCCTCCGCATGGGAGCTGCTAAGGCTCGTAAAAGCAATGATTTTTGCCCGATCGCATCCATCTCGTGCTTTTTCTATCGTGCGAATGGCGCGTGTTGCTTCGTTTCCGTCCATGATGGGCATAGAAATATCCATGAAAATGAGGTCATATCCTGTCAACATCCCCTCGACGCATTCTACTGCTTCTCTGCCGTTCTGTGCTATATCCAAAAGCGGGACCTTTCGTTTGTCCATGAAAGTCGTCGTCAGGCGGAGGTTGATATCGTTATCATCCACCAGCAAAATCCGAGGTCCGCTCCGACTCCCATTTAGCGTACCAGTGGGATTCAGACTGGCGGAACTAGTGAGAGTAGACGTGGTATGACCGGAGATTTCTGTTCCCAAACGCAGCCCAGGATTATCATGCCCGGTGGAGCCAACATTTGACTGTGGGTCTGGTGTGAATTCCAATGACTTGGCAGCTGTTCTGTCTGGATGCCCAGGTGACGAATGTGTTAAAGTCTCGGCCATTGGGGACGGGCCTGCAAGCTTGGGTCGTTCTGGAACGGCGAATTCTAGTCCAGCAGTAGGTGGACGCGACCTACGAGACGCGGGTGTCGAATTGAGACAGCCCAATATACCTCTGGCGAGTCTCTGTGGACCACAAGGTCGACGTAGAATACCGAGGGTCTCAGCAAGGTGTGACCACTTTTTGCTGGGGTTACCGGAGTTGTCCCATTCGTTGTAAAAGACGAGCAAGTTTGGTGATCCAGTAATTGATTGCCGTACTCTTTCTTCGGACAAGTCGGTCTCATTGACAAACACGAAATCAACATGTTCATTGGCGGACCAAGGCACGACTTTCATGCCATACCAATCCGTCACATATTGAGCGATCGAAGACCAGAACTGATTTTCGATGAGGGATGAGGAATAAATTCCCCCAAAGGCAACAAGGTTCTTCGTTAACCCCATACAAGAAAGTTGTGTGGACGGGATGGGCGAATTTCCGGCACAGTCCACATTAATTGATGATGATTTTTCTTCCTTGATTGGACGCTCGAGAGGAATCGAGACTTTAACCACAGTGCCTTCACCCACTCGGCTTTGGATGTCGATGCTTCCGTCGAGTGTATCCACAATGCCACGAACAATTGACAGACCGAGGCCGGTACCCACTGACAGATTATCCTCCTGCGAGAATGGAGTGTACAAGCGAGTCCGTAGGTATGTGCTCGAAATCCCTTTCCCTGTGTCGGATATAGTCAAGGTCACCATATCCACGGCATCCCGACGTCGCGAACGACCTTTCGAACACCGATTGGCCTCGACGCAAACTGAAATCAGGCCCTTCTCGGTGTACTTAAGGGCATTGCCGAGAAGATTCATGATAAGGCGTCTTAACGATCCGGGCTGAACTTTGTACACCCAGTCGTTGCTAGCAATATTGACAATAACCTCCACGTTTGGACTGGCGTTAACTTCCTTGTCCGCTCTTGCCAGTTGATTAGGCAAACTTGGTGGAACGACTTTTGGACGATTGGTCCGCGCTGTAGACTGTTTCATATGGGAATGGCCCAAGTGCACACTATCGACAACTTCCTCTGTCAGTGTAGCCACATTTGTCGCCACAAATGGATCCATGCGCGCTGGGTTTTCCTCGGTAAGCTTCGGCTTCAACGAATCCTTTCTCCGCCTAGACCTTCTCTCCTGCCTCTCCAATGACATGATTTTGCTAAAGTCTAGCACTTGGTTCATCGTATCCAGTAATGTTCGCCCACAGGCATTGATAGTCTCAAGGAGGGATTCCTGGAAATCGTCTAGATGAGTATCTCCCAAAAACTCTGTAGCAGCCAGTACACCATGCAGCGGGCTGCGAAGCTCGTGTCTGAGAACCCATGTCAATAAGCGATCGATTATTGGAGAACAAGATAATGACTCACGAGATGCTGCTGATAAAATCTCCCTTCTGGCGGTCTGTGATAACCGATTCAACACGACTGTATTCAGTCATGATGGAAGATGAAAAGCCAAATATTGAGGTCAGATCAACAGCACGATTGAAAACTCGTGTCGGTTGGGGATTCCAACAGAAACATCCAGCAAACCACTCGGAATTGGTAGCGTTCCACAATGGAACAAACATGACTTGGCACGCATTAGGAAAATACGAATTGAGTTTGATGGTTTCTGAGGCCTTGTGCTTTTTGCGTTGTTTCTAAGTTGCGGTAGTGGAATGCTCTTCGTCCGATGTGGATAAAGACCCATCTCTATGGAATGACCAGAGTCGTCCCTTGGGATAGCGACGGGATAATCGATCTAGAAATACTTTGTCAATACTGGCAGCTGCGCATGGCGACGATGAGTTTTCCTGAGATGACAATGGGTCATCTCTGGTGGAAATGGAAAGAACAGGCGCAGGACTTTCAGCATTGACAGAAGTAGAGTCGCTTTGAGATAAATCATCTGGAGAGACGTCGCCAACCTTAAGAAATATCACGCCGCCAGCACTGTGCAAGTCTAAACCTTGTCTTAAAATATTTGCAGCTCGTTGAAAAATCCTGTCATTGCTATCCGAAGATATTGATGACCTGCTGCCGCCTCGACGAGAGCTTCTTAGTGAAGCCGCTGCATTTGCAAAAGGTTCTCCTTCCGAATTCTTGTTGAAAATTGCGCTTAAAGACCGAGCGTCGCCGGTCTGAGAGCGCGCATCGCCGGTTTCATCACAATTCAAGCAAGATCCCAAGTCGCTGGTTTGAGAGCTAGAAGATCGGCTCGTCCGAGTGTGTGTTGATCCCCGCGAGGACGAACTAGAGTTTGAACTTGGGGAGCGAGACATGTGGTGATTGTCGGAGAAACTGGATTTGCCATCGACGAAACAACGGAGACCCTGTGACAGCCGCGCGGCGCGGCTCCCTTCGACGGCCTGTCGGCTGACGTGTAGATAGTCCATGACCATCGCTGCCACTGTTCCTAGTGCGTCCTTCTCACTTTCAGACAGGCCATCACGGGGCTGAGAATCCAAAACGAAAAGGCATCCTAGTTTGATACCGTTGTCGGTGATCAAGGGGGTTCCGGCATAGAAGCGAGAGTGTGGCTCTCCTTCGACAAATGGCAATTGTTTGAAGCGCTCCTCTTGAGTCAGGTCGTTGACGACCAGTACGGGAAAGGTTCCATCTTCCAATTCTGAGGCAATCGAGACTGTTTCCTGATCAAAGAAAAGGTCAAATCCAGAACAATAACTGATGTGTGGCTACGTCACAGATTGATTAGCCTTACCCAGCATATATTCCAAGCGTTTGGCAAAGTCGATGTTCCGGCAAAAAGCTCATCTCCTTCCGCCGTCGACAACATCGAGTTGCCACTATTTGTAGTCTTCGTGGCTTCGGATACGATAAACTGTGAATCGTGATTCAATATACTAGAAGGTCAAAAATCAGCCCAACATCAACGTAAGGTAGGTAGGTCTGTAACCTTGGAATTGAAGGGTAATGGATAAGTTACGTGATAAAGGCACGCTGCGCGTTGAGGCGTATGGCTGCTTGCTGTGCGAATGAGGTCAATGTCGTATTTGGACTAGACAGGGTGCTGGAATCGGTTGCAAGTTCGGAAGCAGCAGAGCGCGGAATCCATGCTGCGTTGAGCGCGGCCGGATTGGCTGGTTGGAAATACCGATAGACCTCACGAGCTTGACGATCTGCTTCGTGGGCACGGGTAGTGAGTAGTGTTGAATCTTCCACCTGAGACATAATGCGCAAATTTGAAATTGTCTGAATGTGTTCCAAAAACTTGGGGACCAAGTGATGGATGCAATGACCCATGCACGTGACCAGATCCTTATGACGCCTTATGACGTAGAAGTTTCTGTCCACCTTGAGAAGGGCAAGTTTCGTTGGTGAGCTATGATCCTAGCACATGGCTTGGAACTCGTTTCAGGGCTACTCACTGGACCGACGTGATCACCGCGCCAAAGGCATGCCCCCCTAGTACTTTGCGCTCTAACCGAAGTGATCAATTAGCACCTCCAAGCAAGAAAGCAAAGTCTTCTAAAAGTATAAAAGTATTTAGAAAATACCCACTACTTCGTAGTCCAGTAAACGTTGATGAATCTTCTCTTCTTGCTTTACAAATGCCGTGCAGCACACCGTGACGCCTGCCGACAATGTTTCTTGCACATCTACCCCGTATAAGCTGTCACAGCCCACTCCGTCTTCCTGGATTTATACAGATGCAAGTTTTGTCCTTAGTGTCGTACCCATGCGTTGCGCTTTCGCCAATGCCAACCCGCCAAAGGGAACAAGCCAAATATATTTGTTTATCCACATACACAGCGAATCATGTCCCGCCGCAATAAGAGGCAGTTGTCAAAAGGCAAGACTGTGGATTGTGGATGGAGTCAAGCTTGAAACTCCAAGTTTACCCTTGATCTTGGATATTCAAGGTCCACGATTGAAGAGGCGTGACGAATGAATATAGGTATAGCTGGGAGAGGCATATTTCAATGCCGAGGTAGACTACCTCCCTAGGAATATTTCGCCCATCATACTTCAACCGGGGTTTCTCACCTTCGGATGGTCCAGCCTCTCTGTAGTGAAAAACCGCTGCCGACAGGGTTGTTTAGCTGCTTGTCGTTGCGTGCAAAGCTCATATTGAATTTTGGCTCCTTCATCAAACACGGCGACTACTGTGCTCGGTTTTCTACAAGATTCGAGTGGGATTGTAGCGTTTGTCGTTTGTGTTAGGCTATAGTGAGGAAGCCAGAACTCGAAAAAGTTGTGCTATACCTGCTCCCCTTGGCTTTCTAAAGAGATCGATTCTATGGATACACGTAAAGGGGGCCAATTGTTTCCGTATTAGGACTAGTCAGAACAGAAGTCTTATTCTTACAAGAGGGGTGAACCAAGGAATCGGAAAATTGTGGGCCCGCCAATTCGGCATCCCATCATTCCGGGAAGCATTTCCACCAAGTAGCATTATATAGTGAATGTCAGGGTCGACTACCGATATACACATCAAGAAGATAAAGGCCTTGCAGAGCGGAAGTGTGATAGTGTTTCATATGAAGGTCACTAAATTAGTAGTAGCGAAGGCTTCCTAAAACTTGAGTTCTCTGACTGACTTACCTGCTTCTTATTCCTTCAGACCCTTCCAAAGTCTGTTAGTCAACGCACCGACAGACTGGTTCCCAAAGATCAATACTGAATAGGAACTGGGATTAAATTGATTCATGCTTGCATATCACATAGACTTTAAGCTTGAACCTATTTAAAGTCAACAAAACAAGCCATTAAGTCCTGGTTGAAGTCAACTGAACCGTTACAGTCGAGTGGAGATCATTTGCATGGAGTTGAAAGTGCATCACTTTATCAAACGTTCGATAGCATAGATTACGCGCGATTTCGATGCTACTTATAAGATTTTGAATCAACGCTTCTTTATGTCCAACTATTTGTGCCCTTGACAGGGAAAGCAAAAAAGCAACCGATGATCCTTTATGGTAGATCGGAGAGCAGCCCTAAGCATAGAATTCGATCAAGACATGATCTCGGTCGCTTTATGTTCTGGGTGTGATTTCCAAGACAATCAAGCTCGATTATATCATTCTCAAACCGTGTGTTGCACGACAGAAGAAATTTCCCCCTTTTTCAAATTGACAGTAAACCGCGACAGCCTCGATGGCTTCAGTCTACCGACGCATCTGGATACAGAGTTAGCGGTAATAAACCCAATAACCATTCGATGAGGCAATTTTAAGTAGAGGGGCTTGTCCTTCTTGTAAAAAGACGACAAGAACTTGTAGCTGCTGTATCAAGCTAGAGAGTATGGGTCGATAAACTATCTGCGCCGAGCCAGACTATATCGCTCCCTTGACAGATCTCTCTCGATGCTGTTTCTCCTAGGCAAGCCTCCAAAATATCTGTATCTAAGGCGTGTGCAATATTACACCTAGAGGAAACCTTCTGACCTGCTAAAGAAGAACTATGCGACTTTTTCCCTGACAGGCCGCGGTGCTCTCTCTATTTAATCAAACGCTGATCATCCTCGGACAGAGATTGAGAGCGCCTGTCATTGGTCCCGGCTCGAGACAGTTTGGGATGGATGTGGCTTGGTAGGTCGGCTATCAGCTTGATTTCTTGAAGGATCTTATGGAATTTTACCTAGTTCTCGCACACAGGAATGGTCTAATTGTTCCTGGACTACGAATGAATAAACAACTTTTGAAAGAAAATTGTGTCGTGTCAAAAAGCCACGGACAGGAATAATCTCAATATCACGCAAGCTTGTCACAGGGGTCTCATCTGCGGGCATATCGAGGAATTCTGCCTCATCAACCGTGTTGCCTAAACCTCTATGCCAGAAATCTTGGCTGCTTGGGGCGCTGCAGCTCGTCATACTCGTTTCGCTCGGTGAGGGATTGCACATCACATGAATTATCATAGCTGTCTTGGCTTCTTCGGTGCCATTCGCTACTCTGCGCGGGAGCACAGGCCTATTTTCTTGGAAGAAGCTAGGTTTGAAGCCATCTTTGGTTGAACCACTCGTTATTGTTCCCGAAGGACAACGCTTACAAGCGAAGACATTTCTGACATTCCATACTGGTGTATCTTGGCGAAAAAGACACGAAAGAGTGTAGGTAGTTGCACCAGTTTCGGGACGTACTGTATCTATGTCTGACAATCGGGCCCGAAATGGGTTAGGAACCACATTTTCTCAGTCTCGGGCTGGCGTCCTTTACCCGGCGGTACGCTCTGGCTGGCTCCTGGAGATTTCAACATTCCGCAACTCAAAACATCAATTACTATCGGATCTGATGCAGTCGTTTTGTCCATTGGAATCATATAATCCCCTCGGTAAGCGGCGTGCGATAGGCAGTTCATAATGTGCAGAGTCGGCACTAACATTCGCCTTCTGCGGACAGCATTTTCTAAGATACAGACGCGCTCGAAATCAGTTTCTCCACTTTACTCTCTTTGATTATTTTCTGAACTTGAAATCTGGAACACGCTAGTCTATGTTCGGTTTAGACACTTTCAAACTCACGAATCGTATTGTAACTCAAAATCACATGATGAGCTATTTTGTAATCTATTGGAACCCATCATACTGTTGATACTTTACATTACGATACTCTTCACGAGTCACTACTCCAATATTGACAACATTCATTTTTGTGTGAACAAGATATATAGACCGTAGCTGAATATTCGCAAATATCACAACAGAGAAAAGTATACACATTGCGTCTTTGATAGCTAAGGAGCCTGAAGCCAGAACGACCAGCTTCCCATCCTAGGCGCTCGGGGTGTCACCTGACAGCGGGGTACTTTGACAACTCAGCTGTATACCCGCGACTACCCTTCTGAGAATCACTTAGATGCAATAATGGCATATACGACATCATATGACGGGACAAACTCTGGGCTCCAAGTTGGGCAGAACCCTGGTCATATTACTACTCAATTCCGTAAGTAGGGTAGGGTACATGGCTCTAAAGGAACATGACTAATCAATGTGACTGCCCCAGTACAATCGGAAGCTTCATTGAATCAAGCGTGCCTACGGGATCTGCGAACGACCAATCCTCACCATGACAAAGATCGTATCCAAAACACCAACGGAGGGCTGCTCAAAGACTCATACTGCTGGATTTTCGACAGCGAGGAGTTTCAACAATGGCAAGAAAACCAGAGCAACTGTCTCCTCTGGATCAGAGGCGATCCGGGCAAAGGCAAGACAATGCTCCTCTGCGGTGTTATCGAGGAGCTAACACAGTCCTTTGGGGGCACTGCGAATGTTTCGTTCTTCTTTTGCCAAGCAACCGACGTGCGAATCAATAATGCTACAGCTGTTCTCCGTGGCTTAATATATTCGCTTGTCAAAATGCAGCCATCCCTTCTCTCTCATGTAAAGAGTCAATATGACCACGCAGGAAAAGCATTGTTCGAGGATATAAACGCATGGAATGCCCTCTCGAGGATCTTCACGGATATCCTGAAAGACCCGATCTTACAGAGCACCTATTTGATTATCGACGCGCTGGACGAATGCACAACAGGCCTACCTTCCCTTCTCGACTTGATAACTCAGGTATCGTCTGATTACCCACAGATCAAGTGGATTGTCTCGAGCCGCAACTGGCCCAATATCGAAGAGCGTCTTGACACTACCCACACTGCTCCGATCTCATTAGAGCTAAATGAAGTCTCTGTATCCGAAGCAGTGAGCAGATTCATTCGATATAGGGTTCACCATTTGGCGAAAGTTAAAAAATATAGCGATGATACTCGCCATACGATCTGCCGTCACTTGTCATCAAAATCGCAAGGCACTTTCCTTTGGGTCGCTCTAGTCTGTCAAGAACTTGATAGAACACCGCGGAGGCACGCCCTTAAAAAGCTGGAGGCATTCCCTCCTGGACTGGATGCCTTGTACGACCGGATGATAGATCAGGTTCGCAGCTCGGAAGATGCCGAGCCCTGCAAGCGAATACTGGCTGTCATGTCCATAGTATATCGGCCTGTCGCATTCGACGAACTGGCCTCTCTTGTTGAACTACCTGACGATCTCTCTTATGACTCTGAGACCCTATCAGAGGTTATCGCGACTTGTGGCTCGTTTCTGACTGTGAGCGAAAAAACTATCAATTTCGTTCATCAGTCTGCAAGGGACTTTCTACTCAGAAGAACGCAAAATGGGATTTTCCCTAGAGGTATAGAAGCCGAACATCATTCAATTTTCTCTCGCTCTCTACAAGCCATGTTCAAGACACTTCGACGCGACATCTTTCGAATACAGTTTCCTGGATTCCCGATAGACAAAGTCATAACACCAAGTCCGAATCCATTAGCAGCCGCAAAATATGCGTGTATTTATTGGATAGACCACCTCGAAGCTGGCACGCGCAACGAAAGTTATGGTCTTATACTTAATGAGAGGGTTCGCGTGGATGCATTTCTGCAGCAGAAGTACCTTCACTGGCTTTAAGCTCTTAGCGTTCTAGGAAGCGTGTCATATGCTATCCAAGGCATGAAAAAGCTTGAGATGGTACTCCAAGTATGTAGCTATTTACATGCCTGAGGTGGCCCTCTCTTCTGACAAATAAACTGCGATCATAGGAGAAGGGCGATTCAGAAACAGTAATTCGTCGCGCTGAAGACGCCCTCAGGTTCATTCGATATCACAGAACAGCAATTGAAAGCACCCCTCTACAGGTTTACTTTTCACCTCTCATCTTCAGCCCAGCCGAAAGCCTCACGAGAGCATGTTATCAAAAGGAAAGACCAGACTGGGTTTTGAATGATCCAGTAGTTGTGAAATGTTGGGGTCTGTGTCTCCAATCTCTGGACGGGCATACAGGTCCGGTCTTTTCGATTGCCTGGTCTCAAGATGGAAGCCGATTGGCATCAGCATCTATTGATAAGACGATTAGGATCTGGGATACGACCACCGGTCAGAGCGTGTCAACTTTCGAGGGGCATAGTCGTTCGGTCAACTCAATCGCCTGGACACAAGATGGAAACCACCTCGCATCAGCATCTGATGATAGGACAATTAGGGTTTAGCATCCAGTCACCGGTCAGAGCGAGTCAACTTTTGAGGGGCACGGGGAGTCGATCAACTCAATATGCTGGTCACCAGATGGAAGCCGGCTCGCATCGGCAACTCATAATAAAACTGTTAGGATATGGGATCCAACTACCGGTCAGAGCGTGTTAACCCTCGAAGGGCATAGTGGTCCGGTATTCTCGATTGCCTGGTCGCACGATAGAAGCCGAATAGCGTCAGCGTCTTTCGATAAGACAGTCAGAATCTGGCATCTGGCCACCGGCAAGCGTGTGTCAACCTTCAAAAGGTACTGGGATTGGGTCACCTTAATTGCCTGGTTGCAAGATGGGAAGCGACTCGCATTAGCATCCGGTGGTAAAACAATTACGATCTGGGATTCAACCACCGGCCGGAGCGTGTCCACTCTCGAGGGACATAGTGGTCCGGTCTGCTCAACTGCCTGGTCGCCAGATGGAAGTAGAGTCGCATCAGCGTCTGATGATAAGACAATCAGGATTTGGGATCCGACTACCGGTCAGAGATTGTCGACTCTTGAGGGTCACAGTGGTTCGGTCATTTTGATTGTCTGGTCGCCAGATGGCAGCCGACTCGCATCAGCGTCCGATGATAAGACAGTCAAAATCTGGGATCCGACCGCCTGTCAGAGCTTGTCAACTATTCTGACTAGTTCCACTGGCTTCCTTCAATTTGATGAACTTAATTCGAACCGTCTGCACACGAGTATTGGTACATTTGATATATCTTTAATTGCTACTGCCATGCCTAAATCCCATACCCGGATCTCATTGCCTGAGCGATATCGATATGGCTTAAGCGATGACTCTTGCTGGATTACTTTCAATGGAGTCAACCTCCTGTGGTTGCCTACCGAGTATCGACCGGTCAGTTCCTGTCTTTTTGCTATATTCGCAACCAAGTTGGCCATCGGATGTTCATCAGGTCGCGTCACTTTTCTCGTGCTCACAGAGCACAACCCTCTCACTGGACTTTAGTCGGTATTTATATTACCTCGCATCCCTGTACCTTCCTATACCGGTTGATTCCCCCGAACTTCAGTCAAAAATCATTTCGTCCGCTCACTGAACAGGAGGGTGAGCAGGGGTGAGCATGGAGAAATGAATTGTCCCGTGTTGGACCAACAATGCCGCATCAGGAGGTTTCCACCACGAGACCCCGAAGCTTCCAACATCATTACGCAAAATGGCGCCGAGGCTCCCTCCGAAGCTCGAGATGATCCGTGATATGATACATAGCGAATCACTAAACACATCGCAGATGGCTGAAGCGGCTGAATGTCTTGAGCGTCCAATCATCAACCTCCGCAACAACCTTCACCAATTTGGGAATGTCAGAGCGCCTCCTACACGTGTTGGACGACGACGAAGCATCACCCCTCCAATGCTAGAGGCAATATGTGATCATCTTCTTGAGAAACCTGGGCTATATGTGGATGAGATGGCCCTGTTTTTATGGGATGAATTCCATATTCAGGTAACGAATTCGAGTCTTAAGCGGGCTCTTGTGTCTGTCGGCTGGTCGAAAAAGGTGGCTCGACAAAGAGCAAAGGAACAAAACGCCGATTTGCGAGACTTCTTTCTACACAACCTATCGGACTTCCAATCCTATCACTTAGTCTATGTGGACGAGTCCGGATGCGATAAACGAATTGGTTTTAGACGGACCGGCTGGTCTCCGGTCGGCGCGACACCTTTGCAGGTTTCCAAATTCCATCGTGATCAACGATATCAGATTATTCCTGCATACGCCCAAGATGGTGTTGTCTTTTCTCGAGTATTCCAAGGCTCGACTGATGCAGCTGTATTTGAGGATTTCATTGAGCAACTTCTCAAACATTGCGGAAAGTGGCCTGAACCAAAGTCCGTTGTAGTCATGGATAACGCATCTTTTCATCATTCTGAGCGAATCAAAGAACTATGTGCCAATGCAGGAGTAAAATTGGGTTACCTGCCACCTTACTCACCTGATTTGAATCCCATCGAGGAGTTTTTCTCTGAGCTGAAGGCGTTCATCAGGCGGAATTGGCGGCGATATAAGCAAAGCCCGGACCAAGGATTCGCCTTTTTCCTTGAGTGGTGTATCGAGGCTGTTGGATCTCGAGAAGAAAGTGCAAAGGGCCATTTCCGGCACGCTGGCGTTGTTGTTGAAAATTATTATTGAGGCTGGGTGTTGATAGATCAACATCTGGTTCTGTACAAGACCATTTCAGTGGCGTCGAATTTGAGTAGATAATTCCTGTATACGCATTTATTCTGCCACCTATTGCATTGCAGGGAGTGCATCAGATCAAAAGCAAATAAAAAATTGCGCAGTCAGTTTCTTACGTGCCTCACCCATCTAGTAATGTCACTTACGAAGCGGCGTGCAATTATTACCGCAACTCCTTTTTCAATAAAGAATCCCGCGTCATGGTCCTCATGGATCTGTTCAAGATCCAGACCGTTGGCCAGCGTTACATCGCATGCCTGTCGAAACTGAGCCTTCAAATTGTCGTCGAAAACATTGATTTCTTGCCATGCGCTGTATTCTCTCACAGCCAAATCTCGGGGCCCGTCAATTATGAGCGGATCAGCTGTTTGTCCATGTTGCGGTGGAGACGTAGCCAAAGTTACAATTGAGTTGGTCGCCGGTGATTGCAGGTGATGCTGCCCTCCCATGAAGTTGATACTAATAGGTGGACAATTTCCTGCAGCAAGCATTTTGTTGCCTTCAGATTGTAGACTTTCCACTTTCTGCTGCTCTTCCAGGAAGAGCTATTCACGAACAGCGTGAGGAACATCGTCTTGACACTCCAGAATGCCACCACCTTCAACATAAGCGATCAGGCGTTTCAAATGATGTGTCCTTAGCTGATAGTGTTTTTTTTTCCATGTGGGTCCTGCCAGCAGTGCGGACCAAGATGACATGATGGTGAAGCACAGCGCATCAAGGTGTAGACTGCCCGCCAGATCGACTGTTCCCCAGTTGCATGCTGTTCGGCGTCCAGTTGTTCATCCCGTTCATTGAGCATCCTTTTGGTGACAGATGGCTTTCCTCTTTTGTCGTTTCTGCCTGTTGCGCTTCTAGGAGAGTGATCGTCCTCTATATAGTTGAAGATAATCTTCAGCCGCAACTCTTTACCGCTGGCATGAAACTTCCTCCAAACGAGTATTTGTTTTTCCGCAGCGGACCAGTCAATATTGAGGCCATTGAACCGCTTTTTCAGGTCCCGTTGCTTACGATCGTTGATCGAGACAACAATAGATGTGTCGTCCGACCTGACCCTTCGTTTGCGAGCAACTTTCTCCTCGATTACCTTATACAGCTTGTCCCTGAGGATCAAGAGCCAGTAAGCACTTGGAGTCAGCGCTACGTCCTGCTCCGTGTCCTCTGACATGGACCGGTTATTCACTTTGACTTTCCACTCGATAGTATACCGAATAAAGCTGGCGGGAAGCTCGTCGTCTGGCCTATTTGCTTCCCACTCGGAGAGCTGAAGCAGCTTACTGGCTTCTGCTGGGGTTGAGAGTAAGGGCTCGGCACCGTCATGGGGGCAACGGTTCGGTGAAGGGCTGAATCCGTATTCTGAGGGTGGCGTGTGTACGTAATATCCTGGAGTTGGAGCATATTGCGAATCCTGGTCTGAGGGATCGAGGTCCTTGGCTTGGGAATCATCACCGTTGGAAAAGGAGCTGTTAATCATCGTCCTCAATTTCCTAGTAAACCGAACTTCAGCACATTTTGGTCATCCAGGGTTCAACAGAGAGGGACCAAAGGAATGCAGCATTTGGTAGGGCGGACAAGGCGTGTGTAAGAAATATTTCATCCCACCAGTATTGTTTCTACGTATCTCTTCGCTCGTTCATAGTGTAAGTAGAGTAGTAGTGTAAACGGGGTTAATTGAAAGGGGGAGGGAGGTGAGAGGTGTAGTGACCAGACAACCGACCAAATCTCCTGGCAGCCAGTATGTTTGGCTTGTTTGCAAGTGGATGGTCCTAGACAGGCCCTGACCCATACAGCCATGATACGATAGCTATGTTTATGCCATTATTTATTACTGTACTAAGATGCTGCCAAGAGTGTGGGTCAGGGGTAAGCTAACCACAAAAGGTACGGCGTCAGGCAAAATAAAGTTTGAGAAAGAATTGAAGAGAGTAAAGACGTGAAACTGATTTCGAGCGCGTATGTACCCTAGCCGTCTTCTCTAAGCAACTTCACTATCTTATCTTATCTCGAAAATGCTTCATATGACCAATCTGACATATTAACCCTGGCAGGGTGTAATTTGAATTCAGAACCCACAGAGAACAAAGTGGTTGGTGGAACACCCACATACTTGTCCAGTGTCGCTTGGCATAGATCAAGAGTAAAGTCGGGAACCGCCTTCATGAGTCTGGAATCAATCACCGGAAACAACCCCTTTTCGAAGATTCGGCAAGTTGTCAACTATCACTTCAATGGCAAGTTGCCTTAGCTGCCGGTAGTCGGCATGTGCTGCATGATAGAGTCATTATTTGGAACACTCCTCTCATTTTCAACTGTTCATACCATGATTTGGGGCGCTGAAGTTCAGGATCGCAAACGGTGACAAAACTCGCTGCTTAAAATGCCTTTGTTGGTTCAGAGATGACGGATGATGGCAATGAAGAGTGATGAAGATAATGCAATTAAATTCTTGGGCTTTTTTGAATTGAGAACCTCGGCAAAGGCGAGATGACCAGGGAAAGGAGAAGCTTCAATAACACTCGTGGTCTCGGCCAAGCATCAGTTCCCTCCTACTGACGTAGCAATCGGCTGGTGATCCAGGGAGCATTGTCTGGGCTTCTAGGATTGTTGCCCTGTTCTATAAAGATCAATAGGAGACATAGTGTTTGTGGGGTTGCTTGGATTGGGATTCTACGGCATTTGTGCATTTGCAAGAAATCCAAGACTTGGTTCGGTTAGAATAGAAGAATAGCCCCAGCTTTTGTGCTCCGTGTATCAGGCCATGAAATTACAGACCCAATTGAGAGCTCATTTACTTCCAAAGAATACCACAAGTTGAGCTTTGAACCATCTGTCGATCCATAGCGGACTGACCTTGCTTGGAGTATGGGTTCTTCCGGTGCAGATGTAGATAGCTTCAGTAACAACAAGTAAAGGGCGATCAAACGTACTGATAATCCCTTTGGCCTTCCCAATAAAAAATGAAAACGGTTCCTAAGAATGTAAGATCCAAGAAACAAAAGTGACGGGAGGGACTTGTGTATCACAGTCCAGTGTCATTGGGAAGGTGGTGAAAACACATATTGTTTCCGCCCAAGCCTGTTAGGGGTCATAGATTTGTTATGCGGGGAGGCCATGCAAAATGTTACGTTTTCTTAGGTGGTTTTGATGCATTCTCATCCAGCGTGGCATCTCTCACTGGATATTTCATGGATGATTCGTTGACGCTGGCGTAGTAAAGGCTCGCCTTCGACAGAAATTTTCTCTATCCGAGATTTCTGGCGATTGTCATGTTGCGTACACATGATACTCACATCCAATTCAACCTAGGAAAATTACCATTACAAACCAAAAGAAAGGAAAATATATACATAACAAACAAAACGTGCTTCATACCTGATGTTTATCGACTTTCCGGGCCAATATCCAGATGACTGATTGGAGTTGGCTGCTGAGCTCTATTTTAATTTCTCTGAGTGCCATCATTTGCAGTTCGTCATAGTAGCGATAACGGCCCGCAGCCCTGCAGATCTGCCTCAGTTTCTTGAGCGACTCGGCAAAATAAGTCAACCCTCTTTTGCTTAATGCCTTGTGTAGGATTCCATCAGATCTGGCACATGCATGCCTGAGCGCATCCACAATCTCTAGGAGAATGTAACCCGGAAATTTCAGCTCACAGCTCCAAATCGACAGTGTTTGCTGAGACTGCACAATCGCTGTGTAAAATTGTCCTTCATGTGGGTCTTTCATTTCCAATTGCACAACACATAAGAGACAGTAGATCAAAATCCCCAAAGTCAAGATCAGAATAACTTTCAGGGCTCAGAATATGATAAGAGCAATGAAAATAGGGACAAACAGATCAGTGAATACTGTCTGTAGGCAAAATTAGTACGGGAAATGCAATTCCAGGTATCTAATCACGGGAATGACAGTAGGAGGGATTTGCAAACTAACTTGTTTGTCTTCCAATAGCCTTGACTCGGCTGCCAGCCCACTGGGCTGGGTTGATGTTGCCTCAACATTCTAGGGATATGGTATTCCATCGATTTGCTCTGTTTGCCTCCATTTTCTCGGGTCTGGCTGCATGCCAAATCGCTCAATCCATAAGAAACTGTCATCGTTCTGCCATATTTCGTAGGAGAGATCTGCAGCTCCTTCTACCGTTGGATGCACCACCATTATGCGGCAAAGCGCATCTTGCCCAGACCTCGTCTTGAATATTGGCTCTTAAATCACTTGGGAATATGACAAGCCTGATGGGTGGAATCTTCCTGGTGGTGGAGGGGACAAAAGCGTGACTGTTCGACCCTCAGCTATGCGCCACGTGAAGATTGCTGAAGCCCCATGAATATGTTTACTCCATTTTTGGGCGGAAAGCTCCGTCCTGCGGCATTGGGGGTGCGCTTTCCTCATTAAAGGGTCCCATCGCAGTAGTCAGGGTATATGGATTCCAATTCTTCACGTCTCTGGCATCTAACATAACTGTGCCATTTCCCTCGAGAACAAACTCGCACATCATTTTTGGGACGTCTTCAGCGAGGACCTGAAGTCCAAGGAGACTCTCCAAGTCATTGTCGCGAACATAATCTGCTAGGTGCTTGAAAAATGCTGGGTTGACACCATCAAGGCTGGGGACTGAACCCTCGCGATCCTCGTAGGCCTGCATCTCTCCGTTACAAGTGAATTTGAAAATATGACCGTGGATCCCAGCGGGGTCAATGTCAACGATGCGAGTGAGCCTAGTCAAACAGCCGCGACGAGACTCGAGCGCAGTGCCAAGTATCACTTCATCTTTCTCGAGCTGAAAATTTCCATGGACAAGATGGATTCCAAACTTGTTCTAGACGTTGAAGCGGGCAAACATAGTTGCCAGCTGCTTCAAATGAACCACATTTTTTTCAGGCTGAACCTCATCGTTCGGGAGGAGATTATAACTGTTTAAGTAGTGGTCAACCCAGGGAACCCTAATCATCTAATTAAGACGTACAGCAGCGAAGACTGAGTGAGGCCCTCAATGGTTGGAGGAACATGAAGTCCAGGAAATGTAATGGGGAGTTGGACCGCGACTGCCATTCTGGAGGTGAACGGTTTAAAACTTCACTGGTACGATGATAATTTTTCGGGGAAGTAGTCTGTAAAACCAAGATGTTTAATGTAATTTCTCTGGGATAATGAAGGAAGAGACAATAAGTTGCGGTTTGACGGGCCTTAAAGTATTCGAAGCGAATTTCACAGGCAAGCGAGAGATATGTTCTGTTCATCAGAAGGAGTCCTTACTTGGTCCGTGCTTTAGCGCCGTCAAAACAGTTCCCAACGACACGTCCAAAAAGACCCAGACGTGTCAGTGCAGGTATACAAGTGCCGTATCCAACCGATTGACAAAAAACAAAAATACAGAGAAACCAACAAGAAAACACTAACTCAAGTTGAAACGAACGAGCGTCATCATTTTGGTTGGGCGATGCGACATCTTCTAGGCGCCTGAACTGGGACTGATGCAAGCGACTGATGACAGCGCCGGGGTCTAGAAAAGCCAGATATGAGCCTAAGTCGACACAACCAGGAACGTGCAGAAACAGTGTAGCGATGGGAGATCACACGATATTGTACTCTTGTTGGCAGCATATGCGGAGTCGTTTCCTAGTACCAGTGATGAAAGGAGTACTTAATACCAAGTCATGATGCATGCACAGTCATCTTTCACTATCACTCCACTGATTTTTCCGAAATTTCCCAAGTGCTGTAGCCCACGTGGTTTGTTCACGGGAATTCAAGATGAACGAGATATGTCAAGAAAGTCTAGATTTGTCTTTGGGCTTTCCATAATTGAGCATTGACATAGTGTCTTAGGGTAATTCACCAAGATTAAGCAACAGAGAGGTAGCTTACTGTACAACTGTGAAATGAGAGACCGCGCCTGGAGCCCTCGGACACCGACAAGATCTTGGCAGCACAGGCCCTACATTAGCGCGCTAGTAGACCGCTCTATAATTCTGCCCCACACCTGCCCAATCTGGAAATTCTCAAACATGACCACCCTCTATGACCCATATCACGTCTCTCCACCTAATATTACGCAAAAAAAGTTTCTGACTTTTCGTCTATTTACTATGCGCGGTGAAGTACGTGCTTTCCTTACATTGTTCAACGCTGGCCGTGTTGATTATTCAGCCTTGCCCGGCCTAGTTTCTTAGGCTTGAAGCGCGAAACACACAATCCGGCCTCGCGGTTTGGCACTCAATACTTTTGTATTCCAAACCAAACCCAACCCACCATATATCTGACACTCATGTGCTGGCTTGTTAGATTTGTCATATTCACGTCGGCCAGGCTGGTGTCCAGCTGGGTAACGCGGCATGGGAGCTGTGAGTCTTACTGCTTTGAGATCCATACTTATTCGGCAATGACTAACCGTTCGGTAAAATATAGTTATCTACTCGAACACAACTTGATGCCCGATGGACATATAAATCCCGATATTAGCGAGGATATTCGCAAAAGCAGCTCATATGAGACCTTCTTCGCCGAGGCCGAAAATGGCAAATACGTCCCCCGTTCGATCTTTGTCGACCTCGATCCTTCGGTATGTGACAACCAACCAGCTGCTTACCTGAAAAATATTGTGAATAACTGATGTTTGGGGTCTATTCAGCCTGTTGACGAGATCCGCACCGGTACCTACCGCAATCTGTTCCACCCAGAACAATTGATAAGTGGGAAAGAAGATGCCGCCAATAACTGCATGAGCCCCTCATATCTGAAATACGTGCGTTCGTGAAAGCTAATACGTAATAGATGCCCGTGGGCACTATACAGTTGGCAAGGGGCTCTTGGATAATGTTATTGATCGAATCCGACGTGTGGCTGGTATGTATTTTTCAAGCTCCCTTGATTACTAGCGTCTCATCTCACCTTATAACAGATAACTGCTCCTCCTTTCAGGGCTTTTTGATCTTCCGCTCTATCGGTGGTGGTACTGGCTCTGGCTTCGGTGCTTTGTTGCTAGAGCGCCTTGCTGCCGAGTACGGCAAGAAATCGAAGCTGGAGTTCGCAGTCTACCCATCTCCCAGCGTGGCGACTGCCGTGGTAGAGCCATACAATGCTGTGCTATCCACCCATAGCACCATTGAAAACTCCGAATGTACATTCCTCGTCGACAACGAAGCAGTTTACGATATCTGTAAACGCAACCTAGACATCCCTCGACCTGGCTTTGATCATCTCAACCGGCTCATCGCCCAGGTGGTTAGCTCTGTCACCGCTAGCTTGCGCTTCGAAGGCGCTCTCAATGTCGACCTAAATGAGTTCCAGACCAACCTCGTGCCGTTCCCGCGTATTCATTACCCTCTTATTTCATATGCTCCGATCATATCAAGTAACCGCAGCAGCCACGAAGGCCACAAAGTTAGAGATCTTACTATGCAGTGTATGTGCTTACGTGTCTTTTGTTATTGACTGTTGTTTCATACTGATTATTTGGCAGGCTTTGAACCCAAACATCAGATGGTTGTCTGCGATCCTTATAAGGGCAAGTATATGGCCGTGGCTCTTCTGTACCGAGGAGACGTTGTGCCTTACGAATGCAGCCAAGCTATTGCTCATGTCAAATCCAAGGCGTCGTTCAACCTAGTCGAGTGGTGTCCCACCGGGTTTAAGGTTGGAATCAATTACCAGAAGCCTGTAAGTGTGCCTGATAGCCAACTTGCAGCTGTCGACCGTTCGGTCACTATGCTTTCTAACTCCACCTCTATCGCTGAGGCCTGGGGCCGTCTCGATCACAAATTCGACCTCATGTACACCAAACGGGCCTTCGTCCATTGGTACGTGGGTGAGGGTATGGAGGAGGGCGAGTTTTCCGAGGCTCGTGAGAACCTGGCAGCTCTGGAGAGGGATTATGAGGAGATTGCCGGTGACGCTATGGCCACTGATGGTGAATTCGAGCAAGAGTTCTGAATGGGCTTATCGCCAATTTTGATGGCATTCCTAGGATTGTCTAGTTTAGAATTATATCTCTTATCCACCTTTTCCCAACTGGTAAACATGTTTTCTGCCCTCTTCAATCCGATCGATTCAAAAAACTTAATGCTACTTGTGTGTGGAAGCCCCTCGTAAATATCTATGTATCACACCCATCTTATCCACTGTACGAATACATATACAGGCTAATCCGGCCTCTACCCAGTCTGACTTTTCTCCACATATCTACAGCAAGATATTCCGCAATAGCGCAACATTAATTGCAATAATGTAACAGTAGAGCCATGAAGATTCGACGATGGCAAAGTTAGATGATGTTGTGGTCCTATTATAACACACCCCTATAAATCAAGTGGTTGTAAATCTTCTATGTATGTAGGCCAATACCTGCTGAAATATAGATTCTGTACCAGGAGGTATGTGTTTCTCCGTGGTTAAGTATTGTCGGCGATCGCTGAATCGGTAAGGTCTCGTATGTAGCAATGAATTATGATTAAACAGTTGTCTCTTTCCAAGTACATGCGTCCGCCTGTTTCATACATACTCAGACTCAGGGGCTTGCTTCTTTGTGAGCTTCTCTCGTGGATCCTGTCTAAAACGGGCTTTAGTGGTGAACTACCACTGACACTAACTACATCACTCATTCTATCGGAACGTGGTCGTTACAGTACGGACTAGTACGGACATAACCAATTGAGTACTTAAGAGTGATTTTTTATAGTACAGAAAGTGCAGAATGAATAGGGAATGAGCTTGGTAAGGTCGTTAGAGCCTCACGATCATCAAGCAGAGGGGTGCTGAATATCCCTCGGACGCACTAGTAAGATTGCGGCCCTCTTTTGTCGATAGAAAACCCTGACAGCGAACTCTGCCAGAGTTCGCCCACCCCCGTAGGAAAGGGGTTTAGCTGCCGCCGAAAATCGATCGTTATCGCCGAAACTAATAACTTCAGCAAGTCACCAACTCCGACACTTTCTTTTGGCTCACCCAGAGATGTTGGAAAAGTTTCAACCACCGGTTCCGACTGTGTGGGTATTCTTTTATATCTGTAGATGAGGTCAATTTCCTGTGACCCCTGGGTGGCTCTGGCTCTAGTCATGAATTGCCCATTAAAAAAGTGTCTGGTGTATCACAACGACCTTCCTGATTTGCCATCGCGTGTCTTCTACCCGTGTACGATCCGCTCATGAACTTACAACTCAAGTATTAGTCAAATTGGTTCTTTTCATTTTCTTTCCTTCCACTTTCATCCAAAAGACACTGGATACTTGGCCCGCCAGTATTGTTTTCTCAATTTCTTGATCAGAAAGAAGTGTGACCAACGCACATAATCCTTGTCCTCGTAGTATGGTAATGTTACAGGACCCTTAACATTTGGAGCATCTTCAATCTGTGAGATTACGATCGGACGAGACAGTGTGCCCTTGATACTCGGCATAAGGCGGAGAAAATCATCGGTTTGATAATTTCTAGCTGCCATCATTTCCAGAGAAGCCTGGTCAAGATAGCTCACATCATACTCATGCCGTATGAATATCAGGACTGATTGTTCCAATGCACTTAGATTATCATGCGATTCCAATGCAATCAGTGGGTCTGCGCCTCTGTTGAGCAGCACGTTAGCGGGCTCGGGGTTCCCGTTCTCCAAAGCGATGGATAAAGCTGTCCGCCCTCGCGAATCTTTTGTGTCTATCTGAGCCCCGCGATCAAACAAGAACATCATTGTTGCAGCGACATCCTCACGAGTTCTTTTATCGAGAGAAAATCATCGGTGCTGGCGTGTGCTATGGCCACTTAGATCATCAAAGCCCCGGGCACAATATCTTCTTTTGGCGCGTACGATTCGTACAAGGCATCAATGTGAGACCCCGAGTCCAGAAAGTACCCGACGACATCGACGTTCGTTCCTACAGCTGCGCTAACCAGCGCGGCGCGGTGAGTGGGGTTACTCGGGTCCAGAATTAGATTCTCGGTAGACAGGAATTCTTGGAAGGTTTTCAATGAGCTGTAATATGCTGCAATGTGCCAGACTGTCTGCTCGTGGTATACAAGATTCGGGCCGTTGAGCGCATCGAGGAAGCCCAGTTCGCCGTGTTTTATGAGACGCCAAAAATATGCAAGATTTCCAATTTCGGACGCGCCAGCAAGCATGTCCTTGAGTATCCAGATATCGTTTGTTTCGTCTAGATAACCATGATGCAGAAGGACCGCCATGTGCTCGGAATAGTCCCTCGCTTCGGCGAGCACATTATTCAACCAGCCCTTCCTGGCTTCTAGTAGATCATCCGGTGGCCCGCGATTGAGCAACAATTCAAAGGCGGAACACTCATAGGATATTGTGTAAGAGATGAAATTCGACCATTCGCGTCTCCAGAGTATCCTATCAAAATTTACCATCTCGTCGACGATGTATCGGGCAAGAGCCAAATTCCCATAAAGTAATACGATTCCAAAACTTCCCGTCAAATGCTGCCAATCGTGGGATGAAACCCGCATGTCCCAACATTCTTGAAAGAGTGGCAAAACATTGCAGGCTGCGATCTTATTGTGGAAACAGCTTCTGGCGCAGCCCCCACGGCCTTGATACTGAGGGCCGGTCATGATTGCCCGGAGGTCACCCCCTTTACCACATTCGAGATCTAGTAGTTTGGCATGTCAGAAAATTCTGCCAAATCCAGAATGTCAAAGAACTTCACACAAGGGATTCGCAGGCTCATCTCAATCAATTATTGTACTGTAGCTTCATGGTTTCTGGCAGCAGCGATGCAAAGATGGGACTCCGCCATGCGCTGGAAGCTCGGGCAATCAAGGTCAGCGCCGGCTTTCACGAGAAGGTTCACCATTTCCAAATCTCCCTGAATCGCTGATTGTGTGAGATATGATGCAAAGAAATCGGACATACAAATCTTTTGGTTCACATTGACCTTTCCCTCTTCGATCAAGTACCTAGCCACAGATAAGTGGCCTTGATTGACAGTGTACGCGAGAGCCACGGCCTTTTGCCAAGTTTCCACTGCTGCAGAGCTTGCGAGCCCTTTGACAACACCCAAGCTGCCTTTGTTCCCAGCACGATAAAAAGTCTCTAGAACTCTTTGCTTTAACCCTAAGGAACGGAAATTTGACTCTGAATTTTTGACTGCTTTTAAAACGGATTTTTCTCTCAGGAAAACAAATCCGCAAAGACTTGAAGGCTACCGGGGCGCTTTTTCACTACATAATGAAAGTTCAGTGGCATCGATATTGGTGGCAGTAGAGAGTTTAACGGTGCCCTGGTCACCAATTAAGCTCTGCTCATACTGTTTGACGAAATTCACGCTCCGAGCCGGGTCGTAGAACAACCGGAAGCTGCCCTGCACGTCATCGACAGTGACCTCCTTAGCCTTGCGTTTTTGGCTCAAGAGATGGGAGGTAGTAATTATGTTGATGGCATATCGTAGGTTCGACTCCTGGCCAATTTTGGTGAGGAGTGTTAGAGCATGAGGCGAGAGATCAACTTCTTCTTCCTGCGCTCGGATGGCTAGAATTTGACGGATTTCGTCGGCCGAGTATAGCTGCGTGCTGACGATCACAACCCGGTCAAGGAAATCGACAGGTAGGCCGTGAGGAGAGATATAGGTAGTTCCACGGATGCGTGCCTGGCCGCGATTACTGGCAATTATGACGATAGGGGCCAGCTTTGCTTCAAGAGCACGGTTGATGTAGGAGAAACACTCAATATCGAGCATATGTACCTCGTCAATGAACAGCACGCCAGGTATAATCTCTGCCTTGCCCTGATCTTCCCATTCAGCCACCGTTATATTGGTTTGTTGCCGAACTTCACTCCTTATCTCGCCTGTACTATCAGAGAAGAGAGCCAGAAAGTCCTTTGAACGCGAATTGACCACATCGATTTCATGAAGGCTAACGGTGTGGAGGGTTTCCTTGCGAACTTGGACCTGGCCTTCGGGGCATGGGACAAACTTGGTATCGGCGCCTATTGCGTCGTAGTCTCGAGAGCGTGCGTATGACCGGCCGAGCTTTATGACCTTACCTGAGGACTTGTCAATCGAAATCACATCTCCTGAAATCAACCGTTCCTTGAGCATGGAATCGATCATCTTGGTTCCCATTTCGTACAGTGTTTCCATGTCGGTGGTCTTGATCGTGAGCTTCCCTTGTTTATTGCACTGTAGGGGTCAGTTCCAATGGTTATCCAAATCGAGTATACACTCACACCAGTGGCACTCCGATCGATCTGAATCTCAACGACCTCGCCTTCAATCACTTCACGTTCTTCTCTAATACGGACGCCAACGGACTTCCGGAACTCCTGGGTCAAGGCTTCTGCTTTCGACATTTGCATTGAGAAGATTTCAGAAGAAGAAAGCATTGTGAAAGGTACATCCGTTCCAAGAGATTGTGCCATGCCCATTGCAATTGCTGTCTTTCCTGTGCTGGGAGGTCCCGCGATCAGAACGGCGTAGCCAGCAATCCTGCCTTCTTTTACCATCTGCAGAATCACCGCTGCGGCCTTCCGGGCCTTCTCCTGGCCCACAAGGCCCTCTGATAATATCCGAGGCTGGAGTGAGTCCGGATCGACACCGAGACCTCTGATATGCGAATGGGCGGCGATGAGGTTCAGTCCCCGTAGCTCCGTGCTTTCTGCGATGGTCGATGTTGGCTTTTGGCATCAGCGACCGGGGAAGTATGGGTATATTATAGCTCACAATTTCCATTTTGGGACCCATCTAGAGCAAGGCCCTTCTTTCTGACTGGGAAATTATGTTAGTAAAATTGCGTCAGAGCTGCGGAAAAACAAAAAAGGATGACACAGGGCAGATCGCAGATCGGCGTGAAGTCACCGCCCGGCAGATTTAAGGTTCTAAAGAAAGCGGTAATGTTCATTGCCTTTTTGGGGCCTATGGCGGGCTGCGACACTTGCGCCCAGAACAGATGCGACAGCTCTACCAAGCATGTGTCACCCCAGTAGTGGACTATGCCTCGACGGTCTGGCATGATTCACTGCGGGACAAGTCCCACCTCCGACAGTTGAACACCGTACCGAGGACCTCGCTGATCCGCATTTTATCGGCATTTAGAACAGTGGCAACCACAACCTTGGAAGTGGAAGCACACTTTCTTTCCACCCACCTACATCTCCGCCACCGAGCCCAGAGGACCATAGCTAACCTCCACACTCTACCGTGTGACCATCCCATCTGGAGCACGCTTCACGAGCCCAGAAGCGCAGAAACAATGTAGGGTCATACGCTCGCTTCGCATTAGCGGAAGCGTTGAAGACCATGAGATCGAAAGGAAAGACGAATTGAAAATCATCGATCTATGACCGTTGCCACCGTGGCGTCTCGACCCCTTCACTGAGATTGAGATCAGGGCTGACCGAGAGACCGCGGCACAAAAAGCCGAGGTTGTAGGCTCAACATCCGACAGTATCGTCTATTCAGATGCATCTGGCTAGAGCTGGCTGGGAACCGCGGTCGAACCTCACGAATCCAACCTGAATCTCCATTTGGGCGGATCAGTTTCTAGGATATGGAAAATGAGGGCGTTTCGCACCTTGGATGGAACCTCATCAGGTTCCCGCAGATGAAGGTCGCAAACCACTAAATCTTCGATCCAGCCAAAAGAGAAAAGGCGTCAAGAAATTATGTATATGTAGGTTGATGCGGGTCGATGAGGTTGAACCTCTACGAACCTCCTTGAGGTTCAGGTTAGGTCCAGGCTATAAAGGTTGGAACCTATGGGCGGTTCAAAGCCAGGTCTACATCTGGCCTACAGAGCCACTTAGGTGCCGCTGTCGTGGGCACTCGAAGACAACTTAGAGGTCATGGAAGCCCAACAGGTCCAAGTGGGACCGATGGACCGCTGGTCAGTCCATGCAGCTCAACTTATAGGCATTTTCCACGCGATAAGCACAGTCTTCAATATGGCCCACCAGCGATCAGGACCGGCAGACAAGCAAACAATAGCGACGATTCTCTGCGATAGCAAGTCAGCCTTAAAGGCGATATAGACCGCGAGAAATAGATCAGGACAACTGATCGTCCACGCGATCCTTCAAGCGGCAGCCGAGGTTCAAGCAGCGGGAGTTACGCTCCGCCTTCAATGGATGCCAGGTCACTGTGATAACCACGGAAACGACGCCGCAGACCGATTAGCTAAGGACGCCGCGTACCCTGGCAAGACACATCTCTTCCGCCCTCTACTCACCAGGAAACGGGCGCCTGTCCGCAGCAACATCTTGGCCCAGTGGGAGCAAAAGTGGAAGTCATCTGGTAAAGGTGCTCATTTGCGAAAAATCGATAAGACCCTGCCGGCGACCTATACCAGAAGGCTGTACGGAAGCCTGCCTAGGACCCGAGCGTACCTACTGACACAATTACGCACGGGCCACAACTGGTTGCCCACCTACGCTGAGATCTTCGGCTTCCGAGACGATGATTAGTGTGAGTGTGGCGCGCAGGAAACAGTCGTCCACGTCCTGGTGGACTGTCCAAGACCGAGGTAGTCGCGAAGGGACTCAAGGATGTTGAACTAGACTAGCAGGCTGGACTAATGCAGCTGAAGGAGCTATCCTGATCTACTGTACTGGAGGATATTGGTGGGAGTCAAACAAGTGAATGTGTCTGACCCAGGTAAACCCGAGGTAAAAGGATACCCTTTAAATACTGCGTGGGACCCAATTTACTATGCTAACAGCATATGTCGGAACGTGGTCGTTACAGTATGGACTAGTACGAGCATAGCCAATTGAGTACTTGAGAGTGTTTTTTATATACTATAGAAAGTGCAGAATAAATAGGGGATGAGCTTAGTAAAGTCGTTGAGAGCCTTAACGGTCATCAGGCAGAGGGGGTGCTGAATATTCCTCGGGCGCACTAGTAACATTGCGACCCCCTTCTGTTGACAGCATAGAAACCTCTGTCGTTCAGGATTAATCGACACGTATATCGATTCCTATTGGTTCATCCATGTGGGATAACAATGAGGCCATAATTGTGGGTTTTAGCGATGTACTTCGGGAATTTGATGCCCAAGAGAATAGACTTAAGGATAATTCTCCATAGACTGACAGCACTCCAGCATAGCAGCATATATATAGAGCGAGCTACATCGGGCAAATGACATATTCATCGTCATAAACAGAGAGAACATTTGCGGAAATATTGACCTCAGCAAAAATTACCGTCAACAAGAGTTTTCAGAGTCCCGCAGTTTCACGTTTTCGCAGCGTGATCGATCCACGGTCCAGCGTTGACTTGACGATCACAGCTTTAAACGTTGAGATACGAACTGCAGCGTGATCACCGTCACCATCATCATTTTACTGTCGGCACTGACTGTGGATTTGAATTCTAAGCCGATCGGTCGTTTTGAGTTGTGAGGCTAGGATCTGGTCAACGCGCCTTCCCTTGCGTGAGTCACGGTCCGCGCCGGGTACCTGGTTCGGATCCGCTGTAGACCTCATTGAAGCGCGGTCGTACACATTGCTTATAGTTACTGTGGAATTCCAAACATTACATCCTTGCCCTGCTCAGTTTGTTCATGTCCTCCACGACTTTACCGTCTGTCGAATATCAAATTCTCTTTACTGACCTGAATCAAGGGCTCAATGAGGTGCATCTGCAAAGACTTTATTAGGAGCAAGTAGATGAGTCGCTCGAGCTCGCGTAATAAATCTGAATCAGACAAGTGCCAGCGATCCCAACGACATTGCATCTTTATTGTGGAATCACTCCGGGCATCTACATATTTCCACGGCTGACACCTCGAATTGATAATGGAGTGGTGTTTACTCTTGAGAATTGTCCTTGATTCTATTCTCTTGGGAATTCAATTCTCGAATTGCATCGCAAAACTCCATAATTCTGACCTCGTTGTCCCACGTGGATAAGCCAATGGGGATCGCCTCACGTGTCGATTCCCCCTGATCGGCTGAGGTTTCGTAGGCATAGTAAACCGGGTCCCAAGCATGTATTTAAAGAGCCTTTTTTTCCAGGTTTTAACTGGATTAGACAAATTCAGTTCTTTGATTCTCACCCATACCTTTCCGTTCAGTAGATCAGGATAGCACCTCCATGCTGCATTATTCTAGCCTGCTAGTCTAATTCAATATTTTCCTTAAAAACAACACTAGGGCTGCTTGTATGGAGCTTCGTCTAACATCATGCGACGGAATCACGTCCATGCGACTGCGTAGACCACGGCATATAGCTGCGATTCCAGGCCAAAACAATTGACAGTCCTATCCACTTGCGATCGAATATCACGGAACTTTGATCTCATTTGGTCAGCCCGCGGAGGCAATATCCGTCACGTGTGTCCGACATGGCGCACGAGAGGCATCGCCAACGCGACAAAAACGTCTCAGTCCAGGACGTACGAGCGTCTGCTAGCCTCTCCGCGCAATATTGAGACCCATCTCAAAGCAATATACCTTACTTTATACTTACCGGATCGAGATGATCGGCGGGCCGAGAATTGGAATTGCACTGGATTGTCAGTCAACTGAACTTGTTGTTTCTTGCATTACTAGCCTGCGCTGCTAACGAAATTCCCACCTCCTTCCATATCTACGGGCCAACGCTCACACCGAACAAAGAATTGAAAAATGGGTCATCCCCGATCGCCACAAGCCTTGATTTGCTTCTGACAGATGAAATATTGTATCCGTTACGTCACCTGGGCGAAAGAAATTCGGGGAAATTACGTTCCTCCCTTTACCACCCTCCCCCACCCGCGACCGTCAGCATTCAAATTTCTCCTCTGTTCCCCCGAACGCTTTAGCACAGTCGCTTCCACCATCTCTACTCAATCCTGCCGTTCCCTAATCTGCCGTCCAGCAAGTCTCCTACTCTCCCGACACATCCACTAACCTAACGTTAGAAGATAAATTGGTTCGGCCCTAGTACAACATGCCACCCATAACCGGCACGCAGAAAGAGACAGTGTACGAGAGTGACGCGTCAATGGAATTCCACCTATCGTCCTGGAACTTGCAAGCTCCAGCTGCAGATGACACATCAATCGAGGACGAGCCGTCCGGACACGTGGACTATTTCTCTTATGGATGGAGAGAGGAAGATATCTGGTCTTCCTGGCGCTATGTGGCCAGGAAGAAGAACGTGTATAGTAATGGGGTAAGACTCGAGAACGCATCTTGGAGGATATGGGCCAAAACAAAGGACAATCTAGGGATCATATCACCGGAGAGCCTGGACTGGTGAGTTTTCTTTATCCTCCGAAGGGTTTCCCGGTCTATTGGTCATCTTGCTGACTTTTGTTGTAGGGTCAAAGACTCTGATATCACCTGGCTCTACGGACCGCTGAAACTTCCTGGCAACATTGCTACCGCTATTACTTCTGTCGCTCCGAGCCGCCTAGGGACGCCAAACTCTACAGGACAAAAATCCATTCTAAAAAGGAAGACAGTATTGGAGTCAATCCTTCAACGATCAACATCTCAGCAGGTGTTGCTTCCAGAGGCTGGAAACAGCCGCGGTCAGCCCTTCTCTCGAAAGCGCAACACGAATTCAAGCCAGCTCCATCATTGGCTAGGGGGCTCAATATATACACCAAGTGGTATTCTCACTACATTCTTATCATGTGGAGTGGCACCTACAGGAGAAACACGCCATATTCACTTCAACGAAGAAGTTGCTCAATGTATTGTACTTGATGCCAAAAACGTCGACAAGGACGAGTGGCCCGATTTGCGTAACAGTGTATCATTAACTGGCAGCGTGGTCGTGGCAAGACGTTTACCAGACAAGAAATCATTGGGCAGCTGCAACATCTCACGCAATAGCTTCAATGGTAGAGGTAAAACCATCACTCGTCTGCCCTCGACTACTCTCCAACATTGCGGAGACATCCCAGAACCCTGCATCGAGGCAGTAATCAATCGGACGCCAACAATCTCAATCCTCTTCAAATTATGTCAATGGCTGTCACGCTCGAGCGCGACGTGCTGATGAAGATTAACGAAGCATCTCGTACGTCTTTAAACGCGGTATAATTTGACTCATTTGCTTCATTCCTCGAGGTCGCGCCCGATCAGCTGAAGCCATTACAGCTACATGATGGCAAGTAATCCAGGGGTAGAATGGGATTCTCGAGATATTCTGAGGGTAGCGATGATAGATCGCTTATGTCTGCATCGTATGGGGCTAGGTTCTGTACGATTTGCTCTCCGAAAGCTGGGGTGCAGAATATGACTCCTGTCATTAGTGGTGATGTGTCTGGTGCAACGGCAGCCAAGACTCCAGACTCCACTAAGATCAAGGCGGCAAACCAAACGCCACACAACAAATAATGTTTATGCTTTTTGATGAAAAATCTAGATAAGAAATATCTTTCTAAATTCAATAAACTAGAAAGATAATACCCATTCGTCGCGGGTCCTGGAAATAGCGTTGAATAAGGTAAGCACATTCAGTATTCTAGATCCACTTCCCGGTCGGGGACAGTTTCACCGGTAAACTCCTCATAATATTTTTCCAAAGCCGCCAGATTCTCCCGAGCCTCAGTGAACTCACCCTCCTCCATCCTCTCGCCCATATACCAGTGGACGAAGACACGTTCGGAGTACATAAAGTCAAAATTGTGATCAAGACGGCCCCAGGCCCCAGGCCTCAGCGATAGAGGTGGAGTTGGAGAGCATAGTGACTGAGCGGTCAACAGATGCAAGCTCGCTACCGGGCACGCTTATGGGCTTCTGGTAGTTGATACCAAGCTTAAAACCGGTTGGACACCACTCCACCAAGTTGAAGGACGCCTTGGCTTTGACATCAGCGACAGCTTGATTGCATTCGTGAAGCACGACGTCACCGCGGTAGAGAAGGGCCACAGCCATATACTTGCCATTGTGAGGATCACATACAACCATTTGGTTCTTGGGTTCAAAGCCTGCCAGACAATTGGTATATATATGATAACCATTTGAGAATGAATGACACGAAAGCACATACACTGGAAGGTTACGTCTTTGACTTTGAAGCTTTCGTGGCCGTTGTAGTTATTAGACATGACAGGAGCATATGAAATAAGAGGATAGTGAATACGTGAAAATGGCACAAGGTTGGTCTGAAACTCGTTCAAGTCGACATTGAGGGCACCTTGGAAACGCAAGCTGAAGGTGACAGACCTAACGACCTAGGCAACGAGACGATTGAGGTGATCATATCCAGGCCAATAGATGTCTAGGTTGCGCTTACAGATATCGTAGACAGCTTCGTTATCAACGAGAAAAGTACATTCGGAGTTTTCGATGGTGCTGTGTGTGGACAACACTGCATTGTGGGGCTCTACCACGGCAGTAGCCACGCTAGAAAACGGATAGATCGCGAACTCTAGCTTCGACTTTTTATCATACTCAGCAGACAGACACTACAGCAACAAAGCACTAAAACCAGAGCCGGTCCCACCGCTGATAGAGCGAAAGATCAAAAAACCCTAAGGGGAAGCACAGTTATCTATTATATGATGAGCTTAGAGGTAAGGAGTCAGGGAAGTGTTGGATATACACACCAGCCACACAGCGAATTTGGTCAATAACATCATCCAAAATCGCCTTGCCGGTAGTATAGTGGCCACGAGCATCTATTAAAATTGGTTTACCTAAACACACGGATTTCAGGTATCAGAGGTGTCATGCAGTTGTTAGCCGCGTCTTCTTTTCCGCTTATCAATTGTTCTGGGTGGAACAGATGGCGGTAGGTACCAGTGCGTATATCGTCAATGGGCTATACCACCGCCAATATGTTAGTTATCCCAATTAATTTCAAGTCCCAAATTATTCGACACATACCGAAGGGTCAAGGTCAACGAAGATCGAACGAGGGACGTATTTGCCATTTCCGGTCTCGATGAAAAAGGTCTCATAAGAGCCACCTTCGCAAGTTTCATCGGCAACATCGGGATCTACATTCCCATCGGGCTTCAGGCCATGTTATAGCAGATAACTATATCATCGTGGATCGATTAACCATTGCCGAATAAATCATGAAATAGTAAAACTCACAGCTCTATGTAGCCTCATATCATCATGGCATTACCACCCATGCCTTTAGTTAATCAACTGCGTGAAACCATTATAGGAAAGCATTTTCAGAATGGTGTAAGACCAAATAATTCGAGCAGATCTTAGCTTCCTCTAAGAAATCAAAGTACTAGTCTTCAGCACCACGAATAGGTGTCTGTCTTTCACTGAAGGACCCTTGCTACAAAGGCATAGAGCTCATAGTGGCGAGCTATGAACTAAACTTGACTTCACTTGCACCTAGCTTTTTAGATGAGCAAAGGTTTATTATACGACGGGGGAATATGCCGATCACATCTAGCTTTTTCTTTTAATGAAAAAGAAAAGATAGGAAAAAGAGAGAAAATTAATAAGAAACCCCGCCAAGGAACATTACTCGAGCGTACACTCAAAATCACATGTCAGTGTGAGTGCGTTCTTCTGTTTTACTAGATTCAACAAAAACGGGTCTGGAGACTAAAGGATATTTTGTTGGGCAGGCTATACCCAATCCAACAAACGAAAATCTAAAAGCTTACTTATCGTACTCTACATCCATCACTCTGCTTTTTATTTATTGTCAAGTTATCCATCATACATATTGCATAGGCAAATTATAAAAATCGCTATGATCGGAACATCTACTGTTGATTACTTTTTTATTCGGATTTGCATCCTATTTCTTCACAACATTGCACTGATCAGCACTTTATATAGCATTCAGTTACTCGTCGGTCAATTCTTTCACCTGCCGGATCATTCCGAACGCATACCCTACCCTATCCATATCTGGCTGTCTGCAGAGGCAGTCTTTTTCACCACTGTCATCATACCGCTCAAATATGCTCACCGCCATTCTACTATCTACCACAGATCCTTATCCGCGGAGAGCAGAGAGAAATTGTTTAATAGTTGTAATGCGAATGTGCCAAATCTGGAGAAATATCTCAGCCGGTGGCTTATGGTCTCAGGAGCTGAACACATTATGCGTGATAACGTGAAAGACTTTATTAGATGGTCATTGTTCGGACCTGAATATACCCAAGGGAAAGACCAGCAGAATGAGAGGGAAATCGATGTCTATACAACAGACATTGAGAAGCTGATTGGACGAAAATTGCCACCGGGAAGGATGGATGTGAAAGGCCTAGGTCAGCTTCTGAATGAAGCATGCGGTTCACATCGAAGTCTGCTATGGTACACGGTCAGTTATACCTCTCCTCTCTGTGACAGAACCCTATCAAGCTGATATTTCAATTCACTCAGTGCGTCTTTGTGGTTGACACAATAATTTACTGCAAGATGTTATACAATGGATTCCACTTTCATCGCAATTCGCTCTCGCGATTCTTTAACGTATTTCCGTTTCGCCCTCTCACGATACTCACGACCTACCGATCACCGGCGCGGCATCTCACATACTGGCACCGACAGCATATGTCCAAGAAACGACTACCCATACTATTCATACATGGTATTGGAATTGGCATGTACCCTTACACGAGCTTCCTCCGAGACCTCAGGTGTGAATTAGAAACAGGAGCGGCCGAAGATAGTGAGGTTGGCATAATCGCACTTGAGATCATGCCGGTAAGCTCTCGGATAACTTACCCAACTCTGGAAAAGGACGTGATGATCATGGAAATCATGGAGATCATGCAGTACCATGGATGGGCCAGATTCGTACTTGTATCTCATTCTTATGGTTCCATAATCGCTGCACACCTTCTCAAGTCTGATCGTTTTGCTCCACTCGTCGGGCCTACGGTCTTTATCGATCCGGTCTCATTCCTCCTCCACCTGCCTGACGTGGCATACAACTTCATAGCCCGCCAGCCAGCCCGGGCCAATGAATACCAACTATGGTACTTCGGAAGTAAGGACATAGGAGTTGCACATACATTGGCCAGGAGGTTCTCCTGGATCGACAACATCATTTGGAAGGAAGACCTTGGGATAAAGGCGGAAAAGGACCAACAGGAGGGTAGAAATGTCACAGTTGTTTTAAGTGGAAATGATTTGATTGTGGACACTCAAACAGTGGGAGAGTACTTGGTGGGTTCATCAAAATTCGGGGCAGTTGACAAAGAAGAAGCACAGCCATGGAAAAACATGCCTTGGGTTGGATACGGGCTTGAGCTGCTGTGGTTTGAGCAATTGGATCATGCGCAGGTTTTTGATCTTGAGAAAACGAGGCGGCCAGTCATTAGGGCGATCTCTGTATATTCAAACGCAGGCTGAGAATGCTTTGTTCGGAACACAATTACACATTGTACCGCATCCATATCTATATCTCAGCCATTCTCCTTCCATCCTCCCCGTCAAATATTTTAGGGAGCTCAAATCTCTAAGGGAGCAGCGCGCTCTGGTCGCGCAACCGATAATAGTTTCACTCGACCAATTAGTACCACCGTACTTGAGATCCGCAACAGTGAACAAAGCTATCACGGAGGATATTTGAGTGGTATTTAATGGAAATCCGGGTGTGATGCGAAAGACCAAGACAGCGGTTTAAGATGGTAAACTCCCAGCGGTTGATTGAATGTGTTCAAAGCTTATTGTGACGGTTAGCCATTGCTTTATTATGGCCCCTGACACCTTTCGATTTGTGTTGTTGCTCAGAGGTATGTGTTTTATATTCCAGGGGACACGAGGCTATATACATACAGTGAAGGCATCTACTTGCATCGTGTATTTATTCCACGCAGAAAGAAGTGGAAGCTTCCTAATCTGCACCAGCATCATATCACAACATTGCGGAAAGCAAGGGCATAGTATGATGTGCTCGACCAACCCGTTGAACCTTGGCCCAATGTTGTCAACACTCAGTTTTCGAACTTGTGATCATGAAGATACGCTAAGTTTTTTTGAAATTTTCTTTTAAATTTTTTTTAAATTTATTTTGAACTTCTTTTTTGACGACTACAAGTTCTGCAATGTTCCATTTGTCGGATTTCTGAGGCGTTCACAAAGGAAAAGAGACGTTTGACTAAAACATGTATCCTCAATAAGCTTTCATCTTTGGCCCTCAACATCGTGAGGCTTGATCAGTTTCCCTGACGGACTATCCCTATTGTTGAATACACTGTCAACAGCCTGCCGAAATATAACAGAATTCCTGTCAAAATCTGACTACATCAATCAACAGTTGTGTTGATCGTAAAACCAATTACACAGTAACCTGCATCTATGCATTCTATAAAACACCAAGGATCGATGGAAATGGTGTTGTTCATACCATATGGCGGGAAGCTAGAACAGAACAGTTAGACCTTGAAGGAGGTTAGCATGCACCCCGATAAAAGAAATATGGTCTTCAGGTTCGCCACGACAAGCAGCTATCCCGGCTACACTTTTTCGAGCAAGCACTAAAATCATCTCGGGAACAACTTAGCGGCGTACTTGGTGACTAGAACCACCATTTGAGACTCAATCTAGTAGGTTTGCCGGACAATGCAAGAGAAAGGCGAAGGACTATCCCTCTGGGGCAACATGTCCTATTTTGCCAGCATAGAAATACTATAGTTGAATTTGCAAATAATGGACGACTACCGCCTGGAAAGCATCTTCTATCCTTAAAAATGACTATTTACAAACATAAAGCATGGAATAGCTTCAGTTTCAGTTGATTCTCACTCGGAAGCGTGGGCGAAAAATCCCTCACTTTTGATTACCCAATATTTTATGCACAAAAGCCTCGGATCGAGAGATACCGTCGTGGGTAGCGCAGCTAGCAAAGAAATTGTGAAGTGACTGAAATGTGGCAGAGGATCCATACGAGGCCAAAGAGATAGCCGGAAGCTATTGCCTGTTGCGCCAGAGTCATGCCGGAGCGTGTCTAGCAACTGTCCGCGTACCCGACAAAGAGTTCCCAGGGCCGTTTCAACCCAGGGTAGGAAAAACAGGTGCTCTCCTATGCTCTCACTAGATTTCCAGTTCAATCGCACTAGTCGAAACTCTATCCAGTCTACTTCTTTAGGGAAAGCGAACGCTGACATGTAAAGGAACAAGTCGCTAGCCTGAGTAGACATGGACAAAGTGTCTGGACGAGTCGACTTGAAGGCTGACAGCTTGTCAGAAGTGGGATGAAAAAGGCATTCGATCAAGGAAGACCCTGACGTCTCATATCCTGTAGGCTCACCCGTATCCGAGAGAATCTGCCGAGAATTCCTGATTCGTTGGCGATACAGGGAGGTGGGGTCGGTATGCCAGAGTACTCATGCCAGATGGCGTGAAGGTCGAGATCCAAATCACAGTCTACCAATATTAGCACAAAGCAACCACTGAGACAACGGACACGGACCATTCGTGTTCGATTCGTGCATTTTAGTTCAAGTCGCCGTCAAAGGCTGGTGGCATATTAAAGAAGTGTAGAAAGTAGCAATTCGACGAGGGTTGGGAGGGACAGAATGCCGCAGGCTGAGGAGAGATTCAATCTTTCTTCTAACGCTAGCTCATCGCAGACTAGGAAAGCTTTATGGCCAGATTGTAAGTTCTTGAAACCGAACTGATTGGTGTATCAACAGCAGTGAAACGTTGGCACCCCATCACCAAACCCAACTGAACTTCACCGGTAGTTATATGGGCCTCTAAACAAAGAGATGAGATTTAGGACAGAATTCGAATAGATAACAGAACTTTTCAGATGTCGTTATCGTCCACGAGCGCTAAAGAACACGGAGACTCCATCAAGGCCCATCAACATGACAGGCTTGAGTATCGCTCGCGTGCAATGATGAAACCACACCATTACAAAGTGCTCGAACTGCTTGCTTTCGATCCCACGGTATCAATGCTTGCTCATTGCAGAGCTGTAGAAGGATGTCGCTGTCGCTTGCGAGCCACTCTTTTGACTCATGAAGCTGTTGATACTCTTCCTCGAGTCGTATCCTTTCGGCAGATTTGACAAAATAGCATCCCCATAAGGAAAAATACAAATCGAGCAGTTGGAGGGATGGAGTAGCTAGGGTGTGATCGTGTTCTAAAAGCTTCGTGAACTCCGCCGCAAGGGAGCCGGGTGTGCGCACCGAATTTGCTATCAAGGAGGGCATGACTGACCCCATGTTCGATGATTGTGCCGTTTGAAGATTGCTGTTGGTGGATTGAACGACCTTGGAATTCCGAGCCCACTCTAATTGGTCGAAGTCAAGGATAAAGATCGAGGCTTCGCCGATTTTCCATTCCTTCAACGAGTTAAGCTATTTCTTTCCAAGAACAGGAGGAGCATCCGTATGAACGTATTGGACAATAGCCATTTTATTCTTGCCCATGTCCTTGGTGTTCTAGATCTATGGCTGCAAGTTCCTGGATGACAAGCATACATGAAGGCCTCACCCGCAAATGGAAATTCAATGAAAGGTGACAAAAGTATTTTAAAAGACGGTTGGCCTGTTCTGGACCAGCATCGAAGGAGGCTACTGGGCAAGTCTTACCAGATCCAAAATGACTATTTAGGTAATGCAATTTTCAGTAGGATCCGAATTTTATGTACACCTCAAGCTTTCGGCTTAAGCCGCCGGGAGTTAATGAATTGTGTGCATGTACATGTGTACACCTAAAGCACAGGGCCCGCACGTCATGTTGGCTCAGAAAGGATCCCCGTTGACGATGGAATTTGACTTCAATTCACTCAATTCTTGCTCGTCAAAAACAGATTACTCCCATACGATGAAAACAAGCTGATTTTATCCGCGCACTGCATCAACCTTCGTCGTTACCGAGAAATATTGAGGAGGTTTTGCAAGAGGTGGCAAATGAGCAGCCTCCAGAAAAGGAGTTTGTGCCGGCTTTCCGGAGCTCTACAAGTACTTCTGGCACTGTTAGCAACCACTCGATGCAATTATATATTAAGCTTTGAAACAAAATTTCCACATCATTCGAATAAAGCAGCTCTGACTGGGAAGGAATTCCACTGGTTATTAAGGCTGATAGTGAGCGAACACCATGTGCTGCAAAGCGTATTACAAGCACTGAAAATCCTAAAGTCAGCCCTGGAGGTTTAAACTATGAGCCTATGTATATAATCGCTTGGGCTACTACAAGTTAACACAAAATCAAGCATGTATCTTTGATAAAAACACCGTAAATTATAGTAATCCCATCTCCAAACGCTTTCCAATTAATCCCCAGTTCCAAGCCAAGACACCTCAAGCTAATTTCAGCCCATTCCACAGTAATTGTCTGCTGCTGGCAACGAAAAAGATGTCATTGTTATACATGTAGCACTGTTGTTTGTCGTTTCCGTATAAGGTTTTACGCAAACAGTGGAAATAACGAGAAATATCGGCAATTTGGTAGGATTTTTACCCACCCCCGATACCTAGCTCTTGTCTATGCTGCACCTCCTCGACATATACGGCCTCTGTCTACACTGGTTCGATACACTAGCTGGTATACTGGCTATTTAAAGAAGTTCCCATCGTAAAACTAATTCTTTCTCCCTTCTATCGCTTTTAATATTTAATTTGATTCTTATTCGTTACAGGTATCTGTCGAAATTCGAGGCCCTTGATAACGTGATATAATTCATATATGCACACATGAGCCTTTTGAAAAACTCTGATTTGACTACATAAAGAGATGACTTAGTGTCCATAGATCGCTGGTATTTTGACTAAAAGAGTCAAGCCTCTTTATGGTCCTCGTGGGCCTGCTTTAAGAAGGCCAGCTTTTGAGAAGCTAACTTTACGATATCCTCTGTCGGGGTTCGACCCGAGGCCAGCGCTAACGGGGTAGAGTCAAACCCCCATAAATCTTTATCGTTACGAGGAAGTGCCTCTTCTTTTCGATAAGATTCTTGGATGCTCAGTTTCCGTTCTGAAGTCGGGGCATTTGATGATGTGTCTGACACATGGGACTTGGACCGCTTGGTTTGTGGAGCAGATTGTTCATAACTTGAGATGTTCCCACTTCGATTATTTTATCTATCGAGCCTTTTGCCACATCGGAAGCAGCCTGGAGATAGGTTTGACAACGATTCAGGGTCAGAATCGAATCCCCAAAAGTCTTGTCCCATCGTGTGTCTTGGGATTAAAGGGCGGCGGCCGAGGTGTGTACGTTTTCGTTTGGCGGACTTGTCAACGAGCGAACGAATCCTGTATCTGGATTATAAGAACGGGCCGAAATTGAACAAATTGATTGAATGAGTATGATGTCGGTAAACGGATAAAGAAATGCCGTTCTAAGGTGCAGACTCGGGATCCTTTATCCCCTTGCAGTGAAGTTGGTAGGATATATATCCTATTCTTACCCCCTGTTTGAATAGAAAAGTACAACATGTGGGAAAACTTGCCGACAAGTAGAAAGTGAAGAAATGTACATCATAGCGTCATGCACGGGTAAAACTTGATCAACTGAATAATCAGATTTTCGCATTTAAAAGTTGTAAACTAATAATCAATTGCAAGGAACATGTAACGCTTCCTACATCTCACCCACTATTAGGCCCATTATCCTTGTCAAGGATAGAACATGCATGGGGATCTACGCTAATAATAATCAGGACACATTCATCAGGCTTCTTTCGGCGCTAGGTAGTACAGGTTCTATTCTGGGAAGCGGGGATCTTTGGCCAAACCGCATTTGGATTAGCGCGGTACAGCCTGGAGTACGACAAAGAATTTGAGAGAGCATAGGGAGAGATCAATACGATTTTGAAGATTACTATAGCCTTGTCTTCCCATGCTACCCCAAATTCGGTCCGCGACGAGTCCACGAGCGACAGAGATAAGTTGGTTGTTAAGGCGACGCAAGAACGACTTCGTGCAAGGGATGCGCTCTGTGGTTGGGGGAAACCGCATTGATTCAAACCGGTTTAGCAGGTAAAGAGTGCATTCCACTTGTATTTGGGGCCTAGATTCTAGTGCCACCCACAAGTATCTCGTCAACAGTATCCAAGTTCCAAAGCCTCTTGTACGGCTTCAGACAGGCTGTTCGACTCCTGGATGAACTGGCGTAGCTCCTGAATTTCCTCATCGTTGCTGCGATATATATCCTCCATCAACGCGAGAATAGCGAGACGATATAGTTGTTTTTGGAGATGGTAGAATACGCTAATATCTGGCCGAGAAGGCATTTCGCCACCATCCCCACCATAGTCCTTGAGTGGGGCTCGGTGTCCTATTTTAAACTCTGTCAAGTTCATCTACACATTACAACATAAAAGTGTCCTACCTAGTGATGTAGCCATGAATGAAATGGTAGGCGGCTAGCCAAAAAAACTATGTGTTGACACACGTTCAAGTAGCAACGGGTTTGTTGAAGCAAGATCGGTATCAGTAATCTATCGTTTTTATGAGGTCATTGGAGAGGGTGATTAATAAGGCATCTTCTATCGGACGCAAGCGTCGTAATTCCGCTCCAGTAAAGGACATTAAGACTGTCATGTAAAATATGAGGTTTGCACATAAGATCCAGGGGGCCGCGGCCATACCAGCCACATCGTGATTAGATTACCCTATTTCAACTTCGCGATTGTGTGTGGTGTAATCAATTTCGAAAATTACTGTGTACATAGTAAAATCACACAAAGAGACAAAAGTTATGTAAGGGATGTGATTGTTGTCATTTTGTCCATGATACATGGATGGTACCTGGGCTAACGTAAGGCCGCACGTGACTTTACACTGATGCCTAGACCTCGCCAAACGCGGGTTTGGGTTGGGTTTTCAATTTCCTTACCCGCCCATGGGCAACCCACCGCGGGTTTTGGCCTTGATGAACCCGCCCATGGGTTCTTGGCGGGTACCCGCGGGTTGCCCAAAATACCCAAAAACATGCATAAATCGTGGATAACCCTGATTAGTCATCTAGTGTAATTTTGGTCATTTATTTCTGTCACGCTTTTGAGTGGATATTACATTGAAACAATGAACGCCATCGACCTGGAAATATATATTCTCTACATGTAGAACACTGCTCCCATCGCCCTGCTTTACACAACTGAAGGGATTACAGGCCACATTGATGATTTTATGTAAATTTATCAATTGAGAATCTTTCGAGTGAGCTCAAAAATATCATCTTTAGTTCGATCATTTAAAATCAGTGATTTGGACCTTCTCAGTGTCCTCCCAAAGTCGTATTCATCTCCGGGCGGGTTGGGTTGGGTTGGGTTGGGTTTTGGGTACCCGCGGCTTTTACGCAACTCAGGAATAGATAGATCCAAACGCACGACGCGACTGAAACAAAATCCACAATCAAGTACTCAAGATGAAAAAAATCTCCCCTTCTTCCAATATCAGTGGCCTTTTACTTCAGTATGGCGTCTTCTTCCTCATCATCGCGATCAATACATCGGCCTTTCAGTCCACTGCTCTCTATTGAGCCGTCATCTGACGGCTTCTTGGATTCTGAAATTCAATCCTCCGTAAGAAAATGGTCCCTTCCACTAGCCTCTGAGTGTTGCGGCGTTATCTACATGTATACTAAGATGGACCGCAGCCTTTGACAGGACCCCGCAAAACCTACGACATAACTACTCGAAGACCTCCAGCGACACTCCGACGTGTGGGACCTCAGCACAGAAAGAAATGGATTGCGTACGAGTCGCATCTAGAGACAGAGTTTCTTGAATGGTGGAAGGAAACAGAGTACGGCCAAAAGCTGAATGGAGAAGGCCAATCCCAGATCAAATGGTCCACCGGATCGCGTCACGCTGATGTGTGGAAACACTTTGACCAGGTTGCTGATATTGATTCTGGGCGTCCTCGAGTCATCTGCCAGGCTTGTCTCACTGTGCTTGATCATCCACAGTATAAAGGGAATGGGACAAGCGCCATGAGTAGACACAAAAAGTCTAACACTTGTCGTAAAGGGAAGAAAAAGGGATTTAATCAGTCATTGATTTCGGATTCTTTGCAGAACCATTCCATGAGAGACTCACCCAGTGTCCACAGAGTGACAACATTTCAAATCGAGGAGCAGATATTGAAGACAATTACGTGTCTTCGTTTGCCTTTCCAGACGGTGGAGAACCCGGTGTTTCAGAGGCTACTCAGCCTTTTATATTCTGGTCCCAAAGAATTGGAACTCCCGTCAGCGAAGACCCTGCGAAGACGGCTCCGGGATGCAGTCAATTGCCAGCAAGAGTTACAGTTACAAGATCTGCCTGAAGATGCCAAGGTTTCCCTCGCTTTAGATTGTTGGACCAGTCCATTTCAGCAGGCATTCATGGCAATCACGGTTTATTTCATCGACAAAGATTGGAACTATAGGGAAATGCTCCTCGGCTTTGAGCCGTTGCACGGTCCTCATACAGGAAACAACCTTAGTGATGTTTTGCACCGGTTACTGGAGGAACGAAAACTTCTCGATCGTATTTTTAGCGTTACTACAGATAACGCTACCAACAACGACACCATGATACGCGCCTTGCAAGAGAGACTGCTCTCTATTGGAGCTATTAGCTCCAGGGAATCAATAGTCCGGGTTCCCTGCATGGCTCATGTGATCCAGCTTTGCCTGAAACAGCTACTGGGACATATCAGGGCAGCACCTAAGAATAAAGAAGTCAGAGCCTTTTGGTCCGACACCCAAGCGCACGGGTTGAAGGATTCGATCAATTATGGAGACGTGGCTCATACACTGACAAAGGTGAGCCAAGATATTCACCTTTTCAATATACTCAGAGCACTGACAGCATTAGATTCGATCCTTTGCGATCTTTGTCAACGCAAGCCCACAACGGCGTGATGCTTTTTTATGCCTCCAATCAGGTGGTACTCGGCTTTTTCCGTTACATGACGTTCAGACACGCTGGAATTCAACTTTTTTGATGCTTCGCCGAGCACGCCGGCTGAGAAATGTAATCGACAAATACTGCTGCGATCATGAATACTCGCAGCTCAAGGTTACCGACGTTGAATGGAGGCAAATTGACTACCTCGTTCATTTGACCAAACCGTTTTTTCAGTTCACCATGGCTCTGATGAAGACCAGAGACGTCACAATCCATAGTGTGTTCCTTGTGTATAGGAAACTACTGGAGCATATCGAACGGTCGAATCGAAGATTGAAGAGAAAGACAACACCCTGGAAGAAAGACATGTATGGCGCGTTGCTTGTGGCGAGGCAGAAGCTGAAAGAGTACTACGAAAAAACCTACCGCGACCACGGTTTTCTCTATGGCACTGGAACATTACTTGCCCCTCAGTATAAACTGAGTGCTTTTGATGATCGAGAGTACTCAACTTGCCATGAAGATACGTCAAAAAGGTACTGTGAATATTTGAGAGCATCTTTCACACAGTATCAGCAGCAGAACCCCGAGTTGCTATTCCGTACAGTCCAGCGATCTTCCAATTCGCATAGCACAGAGCTTGATCGGCTACTCGAGCCACCTGGTGCATCGATTTTCCATGAAGGAGTAGAGTATGACGAAGTGGACCAGTATCTTCGCGAAGGCACGAGCAATCAGTACAACACACTGGAACAACTGACTGACCTTGAATAGCCAATGTCCCTGTGTCGCCGCGACTTTATTGGAAAGAACACGAGCGCGAATTCCCAGTGCTGTCTCGGCTCGCACGAGACTTGCTTTCGGTCCCTGCCACCGGCGCGGGTGTAGAAAGGCTCTTCAATAGCGCACGAGACATTTGTCATTATCGCCGAGGGTCTCTTCACGAAGGGACCATTCAAGACTTGATGATGTACATGTGCTCAGAAAAGCTCACACTAGAGGGACAGCAATTGATTCGTCTGGAGAAACCGTTGGAGAGCGAGAGCCAAGAGGCACTTGAAGAGGATGAAGCGTTGAAGGCAATCGAAGAGGATGCAGAGCCGATCAGCGACAATGAGGAGATTGAAGAGAGCGAGAATCTCGAGGGTAACTCTGAGCCAGAGGAGACATACCAAGTGGAGTGTACGGTGGTAGAGACCGGCCGGAGCTCTATACACAGACATATTCACGAACCTGAACAAGAAGAAGAGAGTATGGAGGAAGACGTGGTTGATTACGACGAAGCAGATTTACTTCCGCCTCCAATCATGCAATTGAGTGATAGAAGCCAGAAGAGATCTTCTGGTCGGGTAACAATGCCCTCCAGCAGACTGCGAGGTTACGAGGTATACTAGTCTTTATAATTAGCCAATTTGATTTTTTCAAGCCCTTCATGTTCCTTTCCAAATATTCACAGCCAGAAGCTAGTAGTTACGCCATCGAAACAATTAGATAATCGAAAATTACTGCATAACTTAGTGTAAAATGATCAGTCAGCTTTGTTTGCTTTTTTGGGTAATCGCGGGTACCCATTTGGGTCTTGGGTTGGGTTTCCCGGATGACAACCCGCCCACGGGTTTGCTGACTAAGACCCAACCCGGCCCATGGGCTGGGTTTTCGCGGGCGGGTTTGGGCGGTGGGCGGGTTTTGGCGAGGCCTACTGATGCCTCTCTTGGAATTGGCTGTCTCTTGGTGGCTCATTGTTGGTTAAGTTGAAAAGCCCCCTCAAATAGTTGGCTTTTGCAGATCAAAAGGGACCGTTCTTTTCTTCTTTTTCTTCTGCGCTCTCCAAGTTTGTATCAAAAAAGGTTCAGAGCTACTACTACGCGAAAGATCACAACCGTGAATTTGGCTGGTTTCTGGACTGGCGTATGGACGAGGTTGAAGCAAAACGGACATGACTAGGGGCCATTTTCAGCACGCCGGGCCTGTCTGTGGAACGAGTCCTTGACTTTGTCTATTGTTGACTTTTTGTCTTCGCCCTCGGCTTTCCCTACTGGGTTGTCCATCAGGGGGTCGGATTGTCCGGCTTCTCTATTAACTGCGTCATCCTGCTCATGAAGCTGTATTAACAGTTTCCATGTCAGCCATATTCGGTTAAAGCTTTTGTACAAATTTGGGGAGGGAACTAGGTATTTGGGTATTAGGAGAGAGCGAGTCTACCTTTTCTTCATCAACATCAGGATTGTGAATTGGAACATGATTCTCTATGGCCTCTTTGTCGGTAATGCCACTCATGATATTTGTTCGGCGATATTGGTTAAATTGATTGATATTGGAGTAATGATATGACTGTTATTCGCTGGTGTGTGATAGAAGCGCTAGCTATGTCTATAGCACCACTGCTTTAAATAGTTTAATCTCATCGGTCCTCGTGACTGGTATGTCGTCATACGGTTTAGTATACGATATGATTACATCATTTTGGAGGGGACGAGCCTGGGCATTGTATAAGGTTCGGTTGATGGGCAATCGTATCCAAGGTCCTAGTGCCATAAATATGTGGTCAACAGTACTACGGGTCTCAAAGCTTTTTGCACGGTCTCAGACAGGCTGTTCCGCGTCTGGAGATATACACAAGGCTACTGAATTTTCTCACTGTTGCTGCGCTATATTTTCTCCGTCAACACGGAAAGAGGATAATACAACGGGAAGGTTAGGCTTCATAATGGTAGGTTGAGCTGCGATCTCCCTAAGAAAGCATTTCGCCACTGGATCTTTGGCATCTTTTTATGCTCATCTTTAATTTGAGTCGTCAAATTTCAAAGTTCCTTGTTCTAACTAGTGATTATGTAGGCCTGAAGTAAAAGGTTGTCGAAGCACATGTAAGTAGCAATGTAATTTCTCGATCACGATCAGTCTCAGCAACCCAAAGAGACCAAAAGTGCTAAGATGAGAATACTGTACCTTATGATGACTGATCCAATACATTGACGAATAGAAGGCTGGCGGAATTATATCCTAATGCGGACTAGTCTGCCTGAAGTGGGGCCTTGGGAAATAAAGAGGGAGAGATTGGATTCAAACTGATTTCGAATACTTCTGTACACTTTGCGTGCACACTTTGCGTGCACACTTTGCTAATCTGCTTTAAAAACTTTCCGCTCCACTACTACTCAAGATTTCGCGAAGATGGTTGAACTTGATGAGCACCTCGGAACTAAACACAACTACTGTATCTCCTGCGACATCCAATTTGAAACAGCCAAAAAACTAGCTCAGCACGACAAAGAAGAGCACAACATGTGTCTCACCTGTCAACAATTCTTCGGTTCTCGATCAAGTTTGTCCAATGCTAGTTTGTATCTAACTTTCCACTACGTAGCAGGCAAGATTCTAAATCATTTCATAGCACATGACCACCCACATTTAAAAGCCATCTTTTAGTGTGGATGATACGCCAAGCATCCAATGACTATTTCATCTCAGGTGGCAATATGTGTGGACTTGAGTGTGCTTGTATGTTGGTTGGCCACGTATTCGAGCGATGACGTAATGGAGACAAAAAAATGAACGGTGAACCTGGTTCCTTCATCCATCAATGTGGGCCGAGAACAGTAGCTTTAACAATTCTTGCTGAAACCTCGTGATACACGGTGGCTGGATATGATATAGCAGGGGGCGAAACTTTATGATGTTGAACGTCATTGTAGTTAAGGAATCAAGTAACAAGTAGATGTACAGGATCAGTGCAAGATGGCTCGAGTCGTGATATGGCGCCGCGTGTAAAATACTTCCAATCATCTCAATTGAATGATAGCCTATTGTATCCAAAATATATCATGCGTTTTCGGCAAGTTCTGCGTAACACTGAATGTATCAGAGGTGCAAGGAGGCCGAGCTCAGAAAACATGCCGGGACAATTGCCATCCCCCAAAATGATGAGAGCTTTGCGAAAACGTTTGGCATGAGTCAAAGTGTAGATCGAGAGCAATAATTCTTCATAAGGACACTGCTCACCTCAGACTGAATTTCACTTGTTGATGACCCCGCCTGCACAGTATTGATGATGTGACGGACGTCATCATCACCAGAGTCCCTGATTGCCCTCAAAAAGTCGTTCAAAAACCTTTGGTAGTGACGGATTTCTGCTTCTATTTTACTTGCGTAACTCTTGCGTCGCTTGTCGGAGCTCATATCGAAAACACAAATAGAGCCACGCTTCGCGCATTCCACGCATGGATTCTCAGAACTGCACTGTCGTTGAAAGCCAACAAGTAAGCAGCTAAGTATACAATATGATCCAGGATCCTTTTACCTTAGTCCGCCGGCGCTGACATTCTTTGCAGGCTGCTGAGAGTCTCCGTATTAGGTAGTCTGGTACCGGGGGTTTCCCCGTTGATCAGATATCAAGGGTTTGGTAGCTAGCGTATAAGGCTGGATAGGCTTGAATCCTGAAGTAGACATCTGTATCGTGTACTTGGTATCAATGTAGATGCGGCGGGGTTTAGAGGTCTGCGTAAGGGAGGTGGCCATGCGCACATCACAAGCAGGAAGAATGGTGGAGGCCCGGGGAGAAAAGAGGAGCCAGGCAGACTCATTGCTGACTCAATTCTAGACTCGCCTGAAGACCTTACAGTCTGATACGAGGGCTATTTTTAGGCTGTTATTTACAGCTGTACAGAAATAACGCCAAGGAAGGAATTCAAGGACAGTGTAACTGCAATAGGTAGAGCGTGTTTCACCAGAGGGTTTGAGAAATAATCTCAGTGAGCAAATGGTGAAACTAATTTCGATCCACCCTGTAGCCGTTGAGTCACTCCTCTGACATAAGTTCATTGATCCTGGTGCATTAGATCAACGAAATGATCAATTTAGAGACTGGTCGAGTACACACATGTGTTTTTGGTCGAATATATCAACTTCCATATTCCTTTTCTTTTCGTGCTTTACTTCGTCTTGCCTCGTAAATGTTAACTAATGCAAACCCGATTATGGATCATGTCTATCTTGGTGGATTAACGCAATGTCCATTGTTAACTGGATGATTGCTGTGGGTATAAATATCCAGAATAGGTCATCTTTGTAGAATAACCGATCCTACCCTACTTTAGTCAATAGTTGATCGGTCGATCCGAAATTAGTATGAAGCGGTAAGATCAGAAAGAATGCAGGGTCTGAAATTGAACACCCAATCTCAAATCTAGCAGTGCGTCGATCGATCGATCGTACACGGGAGGTCGTAGATACCGAATACTTTACAGGTGTCGAGGGAAGCCGGATCACGGTAGATGATTGGACAATTTTATGAAAAGTGTACACATGTAATTGTTATAAAACGGTCTTCCAGATGCGAGCTTTCGTGCCCGAATGTGATTTCAGAATATGAAGAGATAGGAATAAATGCGGGCAGATGGTGAGTTCAATGGAAAATACCATCAGTTGGCGTTTAAAAGGAAAGAGAGAAAACTAAGGAAAATATGCTTCCTGAATTTGATGTCTAAGAGAGAGCAGCACAGACTCTTCGCATCCCGGGTACTCTGGTTACGAGGTTAGTGGCGCCAGTGACATTCCACGAAAGACTTTTGCTCGCATTCCATAGGAACCCGATTGGGTAGTCCAATACAACCACATACTCGCCACAAAATGCAGCATACTAATCACAAAATCAAATCTCGTAGTCTGGAGGATGATGAGACTCCCGAGACTTGATCAAACGGAACCTCCGAGACACTAAGTGCGGCTTGAAACCTCATTGCGAGATCTCAACGCAGCACACAAGATGATATATTTCCGCCCTCTACTGGGGAATATAGCATCGCTTGTGGCATTAATTCTGCTATTACTTTGTCTCTTTGCTGGAAGCTCACGTCAGGTCCCCCCCAGATGCAAATATTCTTAGCGTTGGTGGCCATCGATGACTGCCTGTGCCCTAAGCTAATCGTCGTCTCAGATTGATACATCGAGTCTTACATCGGAAAATGCCCCTGACTTCTTCAATGTATACCTCATGTCGTATTGCTATGGGTTTGAGAAAGAGTGCATTGTCAACAATGATCCAAAGACGACAACACTTCAGAAATCGATCACGGCATGCTCGGACTTGAGCCCGCTCTCCATCTTCGATCCAGGAAAAGCCAACTCTGATGCCATGGGTGGTTCAGAAGGAACCGCCAATGGAGGAGACTCTGGTGGTGGGGACTCTGACAGCGATGACCCTGATGGAGGAGATGGTGCAGGTGGCGATAATGGCCCTGGGCCCAAATGGCCCAGCTATCTCACAGATGACTTTATTGCTTTGGCACCAACCAGTCAGGTGATGTCCATGTTATTCATTCTGGGCACCTCTACTGTTGCTGTGTCAATTTTCCTCCGTTTGAGCACCATTCGCTACACCTGGAGACCTCCAGGACCACCAAGCCCGTTGGATGATAGTGACCCACCGCCGGGCTACCCAGGTTCACCAACGGACTTCCCTCCCCCCAATCTGCAAATTCTGAGCCTGGTGGTAAGTATAACAAGAAACTCGACACTTGGTGTATTTCTGCTAAATCCCCACATCCAGGTCAGCTTGATTTTGCTCACCATCGGCTCCTCCATCGCAACCTTGATCTCGACGCAATTCGTTGGGCTTATCACCAAAAGTGGAAGTCCTGATTTTTTGACTAGTTCCAGCAGTGGGTTCCTGGGCATGGCCTGGACTGCTGTTGGAATCCAAGCTTTGCTTACCACCGACGTTCTAGTTGCTCTTATTCGATGGAAGAGTCGCCATTGTCGTTGTGATTATGACGAGCTGCCCTCACCTCGAGATCCGGAAAGCAAGAGACTCGTTTCTAGCTCTTACTGATCTATTTAAGACGGATGACGATGACGAAAAAATCCAATTTCTTACGAAATTTTGTCTTGGTTGTCATCTTGACGACGTGGTTCTAGCCTCACTGATCAAAAACTTAATATTACATTATCTCTTTTCTTTTTTTGTGGTATGGATGGTAGTCGGCGTTTTCGGCATATAGGACGAAAGCGCATGTTCTGAAGCCTGGTGTATTTTTAATGATTTTCTCGGTATCATGAATAGAGAAGAACGCACAGGGCTTGACTTGAGACACACAATGATCTGTTGTGATCGTATTGCATCTGGGAAATCTTCCTTCTCATATACATGCACATGTCCAGATGGATATCACCTTCCAAGGTCGGCTTTCGACCTTGGAAGGGCTCTCAAACATTAGAGCACACAGGGGCACTTCTAAGGCTTCTGGTTGATGCTTGGGCATTTTTAAAGGTTGGACATCAGTTGCCATTTCTAAAATGCTTCTCAACCGCGATGTAGTTCTCCAAGGTTCACATCTCCTGTGATTAGTTGCGACTCTGCGGGAGGGCCGAGGAACCTCTGAATTCCGAAGTCTGATTGGTCGGGTTGTATACGGCATCGCAGTTTCTTTATAATCGACCGTTGAATAAAAACTGCGCACTAATGTCTTGGAAGTGGGGCAGCCAAAAAGAAGAGCTAATTGTGACCCGTGCGCAGCTGCGTCGGTAGGTACGCTCGGCCCCCGGGCAGGTTTCTTGTGTGCGTCGCCGGTAAAGTATCGCCAAGTTCCCTTGGACGGTCGCTGTTACTCGGTATTCTCAATTACTAATCCCATCGTTCGACAATATCCTTGGATGAAATCCCTCTGATTAGTAAGAAGCGGGCGTAAAGGGTGGGAGTTGCATGGGCTGCTAGCGTGCTTCGCCATTCGATTCGCAGCTTCGCTGCTGTGGTTATCGCAGTGTCCTGGTACCAATTGAAAGCCAGCGCGATCCCTGTGGCTTTGCACGCCAGAAGGAAGGATTACTCACTCTATCTACCTTCTGGTCTATCTGGCCTAGGCTTTCTCACGCTCTTGATTGCTTGTAGGGTGGATCTACCGTCACAGAGAATCGTCGCAACCGTTTGTCGAATTGCAGTCTTGGTCGCTAGTGATCCATCTTAAAAAATTTGCAGATCGCGTGATATATCGTTATTATCTTGGCTGCATGCACCGGCCATCGGTCACCTGGATTTCTTGAGATTCAACCATTTTTTGTCATCGTTGAATGTCCCCAAACAGTCACCCTGCCCTGAGGAATCCAAGTCGATGAAAATGTCTAATATTGGGTGGATAGCCTCGGCCTGCTCGTTTGCTACTTCTCGGTCTAAATTGAGCTCAAGTTTCAAGAAGAGATCGATTCGCCATTGTGGCACTGGCCATGATTCGGTCGTCTCTGACTCGTTGAGCCTTTTTCATTTTGTCTATGCACAAATATAGTCAAGAGCTAGATTGTTAGCTTCAGAAACTTTCTTCGAAAGGAGAATGCGCAATCAATAGTAATGCATCGTGGCAATTCGTTGAGCTTTTCGAACAAGGATGTTAGTTTGGGGGAATACTATGATCTCATGGACAGGATAAGGGATGGCTACGACCTCGAGTTTTGAAAAGAAATACATCGTGAGTCCAGGAAGTAGTTTTGATTTAATTGTATTCTGTCTTGCAACAATTTTTATGTAAGGTTGTTGCAGAACCACGCCGAATTCATTTCCTTTGTCGAGCAGTGTAATATTCCGATTTGGACAAAAGAAGCCAATGCGAGAATTTTTCTCCGAATCACCGGTTGAATGACTTAGTAACGGGATGCTTGAAGTCATGATTTGGACGGCGTCATCTTCGTAGCCTTGCATTGGGCTTGGACATTTAGACTACCTTAAAATTGTCGTAAAATCCGCTGCCACGCTAAAATGTGACTTCACCGCAATTCTGCCACTTTGCCTAGTAGCCAACATATGCGAAACATAGCCAGCAATATTTCATTATCTTTGGCTGATTTTTAAAGGCATGGGGCATTTCAGCGTCTCTATCCAGGACCGACCCGTCTTTTCGCTTTGTGTTGTCCACCATGACAGCCAGATAGGATCCAAGGCTGCCATGCTTTTTCAAAATCTGTCTGAAGCTGTTGTGTCTTATCAACACATTGAGATGTCTGCACAAAGCTTCAAGGACAATCTTTTGAAGGGGAAAATTGGTTGGTAACTGCATCATGAGCACCTCGTCCGCGATGTTTAAACAGACTGACGAGAGCCCGTATTCATTTATCCAATCTTCAAATCTCTTGGCTGCCAAACACTCCAACTTTAGAATTTTAAGTTTCCTTGCAGCAAGGAACATTTTGATGTGACAGTGGGCAATATGTCGAATGACTTGAGCTGTGCTATCTTCTGTGTTGCACTTTTTGGTGAAAGTGATACCCTCGACATCCTCGAGATCGACCGGACGGCGAAACGAATGTCTGATTGTATAGTCGCCCGTGTACAGGAAGTCCATTACTTGTCGTAAAGTTTCAGGATTGAGGTCCGAAAGTACGATTAATTGACTGATAGAATCCTGTTCATATTAGCTGAAAGGCAATGCAAGTTGCGTCCTCTTCGTACCTTATGCAGTCTGTAAAGATGTTCTTTCAAATAGAGTGATTGGCTGCAGACAATTTCCCGATGAACTTTGAACAACAGGTTTTGGCACAATATTTTCATATCGGCATTCTTGCGCCCATTATCTGACATTACGGAAACCGTCAGACATCGGGAGCAACGGTGCGCAAATGACATGAGATCGTACTTGTCCTCACAAAGATACGCTGACCATACGTACAACCGCTGTACTAGACCTATTGCTGATCTGAATGTTGAAAAATTTGCAGGCTTCCATATCCATATATTTGAGCCCGCTTTATCCGCTTAGTAGCACCCTTGCGTCTCTGCATTCTCTGTGACGAGATCTCATGGTATGTGAGATGCAAAAAGCAGGGAATTGAGCATGTAACGCCTTGTTTCATCTAACAGATGCCATGATTTAGAACATTTCGTTCTTAGCGGTTCCATCGGCTTAAATGTCGCCCTGACTAATTAAGCCCGTGATCAGGGAATATTGCATGCAGGCGCTACACTATCTGCACTAGCAGTGGAGAGATGGAAAGTTTAGGGGAAGTTACGTGATATCATCATATTCCTTTGAATCGATTTTGAGTCGTTTAGCGATCGACATCAACATATCGCTCTAGTGCAAATCGCTGATGCCTAATTGGTCGATCTTTAGGAATCTCAATTCATCTACGTTTTTTTTCCTTTGTCATTGGTTTCTCAATATACATGATCCTTATTAAGCACTCGTCAGAGTCCATTATTGTATTTCGAGCAATGAGTCATTGTTGCGGTATCGTATCATTACATTGAGCCACCTAAAATTACTCTGGCCAGATCGCTAGCTTACCGAAAAAGCTGTCTGGAATTCTTTCGTTGTGCGGCTCACGGCTCACCAGCATCGAAAGCTCGTATCAATAAAACGGCTGCAATGGGTGGACATCTCGCAGGGGTAGACCCCTGCGCCGAACGAATGCGTTCTTGAATTGCCAGGATATTAGTGGCAATACTCCACTATGGTGGGCGACCTCAAGACATCACGACGATGTCACGCAGAGGCTTCTGAGCGAGGACGATGTGGACGTCAATGTGGTTGGAGGGGGCGGAAGATACGACAGACCTTCCACTTCCCTCCACCACGCGGTGAGAAGATTGGATACAGTTGTTTTGCGGTGGCTCCTCGCAGTGCCGTCGCTTGATCCCAACATCTGCGCGAGCTTCCAATCCCCTCGCTGTCTGGCTATAAGAGAGGGCAACACTGCAGTGCTAAGATTGCTTCTCACCCACAAAGACATCCAAATCAATGCTCAACATCCATATGGGGATGCACCACTCTGCCTAGCCACCGAAAACGGTAATGTGGGTGCTGTGAAGCTGTTAGTGGCCCAAGGTAGCCGACTAAAGAGCAACCAGCTGAACAGAATTGATAAGGAGACTGCAATTTCCGTTTCATACTATTCTCAATGCAAACTTGCATATTTTACACATCCTGCTGCAGCATCCTGACATCGACCTCAATCAGCACAATCGTTGGGGTGAGAAAGCGCTGCTGATAGGAGTCAGGGAAGGCAACATTGAGGGAGTAAAATCTATAGAATTGTGGCTGAGCTTACCAGCGCTGTGGCTATGCCAGTAATGCGCACGAGAGTGGAAATCACGATACAAAAATGACAACCGATACCGGATTTCCACTACATTTTTGAATACAGTGCCGCCCAGGCTGTGCTAAAAGTTTGACGCGTCAAACCATTCCATCCCACTTCGCTTACCTCTGGTGAGAGGTTATAGAAACTCAAGTCTGGCGTTATCTATCTCAAATAGTGGCTTGTCACTTGTATAACTGTGATTTAATAGAATCTGCTGTCACTGCGGAATAATTTTCTGACATGCAATCTATTTAAGGCAAGACCAGCGGAATTAAACTTGTGAATCACAGTGAAGGGGCTACAATCATGCTTTCCAAGATGGTATTTTTGCAGAATGCTCTAGTAGCAATAGGTGATTATTAATCCTGGGTATTCTAATGTGGCTCTCAAGACCAATTGTCTAGAGTCTACCCAAGAGGACAAGGTGACATGGATAGCAATAGCACAGGCACATGGCATTACATACAAGCAGTCATATCTCTATAGAAATCATGACCCTGGATATCAGCTCATTTCTGAACGTTATCTACCGAACATGAGAGCAGGTGATGGTTGACCTCAAATGGGGCTCGATCTTTGCCTTTCTGTCACTTCCTATCTTCAATCTGAGCTAATATAAACCCTTAAAATGATAATAGTATGGTTTTATGGCCCTCGTTTAAGTGATGTTTGCTGAATGAAAACCAAATTCAACGGGTACTTGCTTGGTCAAGTCGGAAGTCATGGGCGTTGAAGACATGACAGCTTAAGTTGCTTTACCACAGGTTCCATCTATCAACACAAACCAATTCTAAGAAACGTCATTGTCGCTGTCAGTTGAGCCGTAGAGACATTATGCACCTTATATCAAATCATATCCTAGGTAACAAAAAGTATTTACAGCCACCTGACCGATGCTAGCGGATAGAATTCAAATGGAACCCTCTCCGGTGGCAAACATATCATTGCCTACAACTATCGCCAACAGCAAGTTCAAAACATCTGATGTCAGAAGGGGAAATCAAAAAAGTCTGAGAAGGAGGGAGACACTATTAAAGAAGATTTTCGAGTATTGTTCAGAATGTGATGCCGACATCCACTTCGTTCTCCGAATGAAGAAGACAGGCCAACTATACACGTTGACTTCGAACGCCAAAGAGTGGCCTCTATCTACAGAACAAATAGTAAGCTGCTCTTCTTGTTTTCACTCGTTAATTCAAGTTTATTAGACGCTCACAGAACAAGGAGTCAAATCACCCTGAGCCGATTCAAATGAAGATGGACGAGCTAGCCATTAAATACCAGGGGCAAAGTCCTCAGGGGGAGCACAGGCCCGGGTCTCTGCTGAAGGATTAACAAAACCTAAATATGAACCTACTCCATACATTCTTGATATCTATATTCTGAAACACTTCTACCATGAGAGGCATTATATTAGATAACCGCAGATAAGCATCTCATGAGATTATTTCAAATTGGGCTAGGAAGAACCTGGAACTCAAGAGTCTTACGAAGTGAAAGCGTGGATGCATTTGATCAGCTTCTGGGAGACTCGAACTGTGTTCCTGAGAGCGACTGCGAGGGTCTCTCGTATACGTAGAGATGGAAGTGTCTTGTCATGAATAACCAATATGGTGAACAATTAAAGTTGACTCTAGATACAAGACGTAGCGCAGAAAAGCAGAAGATACAGGCTTCCTCGCGTTCAGGGGAACCCATATGCACCATGTGGATCCCGCAGATCATCTCCATTCATGCTCAAAGTATATCCCCGACAGCGACTATTAGCACTCCCAGGAGGCTAAGTGTTTCCAAGATCGCAAACAAGCCTTCTGGAAGCATTCAATAACGCTCCCAGTAATACAGGACACCTCTTCTGGCAGCCAGAATGGCTCTGGGAACTGGCAGAGGTTCCAAAAATAGGATTATCTGGGTCGCCTCGCTCGAACTCTCATTCTGCGCGTTACATCTCGATAGAGATAGTCGACGATATCTGCTGTTATTGGAAGCTAATAAAAACACGTGAGACGTTCACGGCCAGCTCGATTGTCACCTTTGAATGCATATACATTTCGTTTGCTGCATAATTCTTTGTAGTCAATCGCCTTCCAAGATCAGTTCGCAGGTACAGACGCGCTCGAAATCACTTTCACCAATTTGTTCTCTTTGATTACTTCTCGGCCTCTATTTTTATCAACGCTAGACCTAATATAGCTAGTAGACTTTCATTACCCTTTTCCCATTCGACAGTCATCGATGGGCTAGGCCAGATGCAGGCTGAAGTGGATCTGGCCAAGATTTAAGAAAGAATCAAAGAGAAAAAAAACGATGGAACTGATTTCGAGCGGACTTGTATAAGTCGGTATGCGATGGGCATCCCGAACATCCCACACACCCGCAGGTCCAGGAGACGACGAATGGACGACTCCGCCATGGAAAAGGGTAAAAAGGGCAGGAGACCTTTCCCTGTCCTTCGTCCCCCATCTTCTCTCCTCAAACCCGCCTACCCCACTACTCTACCCGCACAAACCGCCCCGCATCACGCCGATCAGCCTTATGACCGTATCTCGACCACCCACGGCACCATCGCCGCCAGGGCTGTCTCATTTCATGGACAGCTCATAAGCGGCGTCACCCCTCTCCAACTAGCACAGAATGGCCTGTATTACAAGCCACTAGGGCCGAACAACCGAGCTGCATGCTGCTTTGCCTGTGGAACGACAACCCCTTTAACCGCATTCTTGCGAGCCCCCATCGAAGAAATACCGCGACTTCACACAGAGAATTGCATGTGGCAGATCATCTATCGCGATCTAAAATCACATTTCGAAAACCCCGACCCAGTGTCCCAGTCAACAACTACTTCGGCCAAATCAACACCTACGCACCACCACCTTCCCTCCAACAGATTACCTCCCAAGGCAACCATTTCGAACCTCAGCATACAGTACGAGCGATCTCCAGCAGCCGGTCCTACCACTTTTACCAGACCCCCACCAACCCTGCTACCTCAACCGCAACTGTCGCAGCAAGCCGGCTCTCCTCACCCTCTCCAATTGGCACAGACTGCTACTTCTCCGCCTCAACTCCAGAAACCGACCTACGCCTCGGTCATCCAACGTGCACCCACATCTTCAGCGCAACCGACATCTAAAACTCACCAACCCGCACCTCCCTTCAAATTCACACTCACAATCGAAGATCTTCACCGTCGTTTTCACAATAAACCACCACCGTTCAAGGACGACAAGAAAACCAGGAAACATCCGGCTAATCGAGCCCGCAACAAACCAGCCTCGGAAACACATTCTTTAGCCAGATTCTTACACTCAGCATTGCCCGCATTCTCGCGGTTCCTATCAGAAATGCAGCCAAATCCGGACAGTCGCTATCCGTCTCACTTGAAATTTCACAACAGCCGCGCCATGAAGGCAGCCTAACAACGGGAACGGCGATGGGCCAGGGCAGGCCGTGACGAGGCTCTAAGTTCCTGTCAGAAAGTGGATCATTCTAAAAGTACATACTCGGATATATAGTTGTCGTATACTGCATATCGCTTTGCGAGGGGTCAGTGTAAATGAATACTACTACTACTACTACTACTACTACTACTACTACTACTACTACTACTTGTATAAGTCTCTAGCGCCAATTTTGGAAGGTAGAAGATTTTGACCTATATTTGTTGTGCATATTGAAGAGAAAATACCAGTCTCTACACTACGTAAGCTCTAGCAGGTCTCTCTATACGGACTTCTACTTCACCAAAAAACTGTATCATGTAATCGGTGCAAGAAGTCTCAACTCGCTGAATATAGGCTCGGTATCTACATAAAGAACTCCGGAAACACAACCTTCTGCTCTAATGACATTGTAGCATTGACCGTCATTCGCATTTGCAGAAGATATATTGCCGCCCAAAGATCCTATGCCGGTCTTACCACCAGAAAAAAATACAGTGGGGCGGACTTAGGCATTACCGAGGTCACGGAGTCGGGGATCAATGGAATCCAACTTCAATGCATTGTCACCGCAATGATTCCTTGCACGCGAGGGATACCTTCGGTGGTGCTCGACTTCGCTCCTCATATTTTTGACCTGGTGAGGTTGGCCTAGCCTGGGGCTTCTTCGGATCTTTGATGTGTACTTTGGTTTCCGACCAGCGCTGACCGATTGGCTCCCCTTACTCGAAAAAGCCTCCAAATGCTTGGAAGTCTCCGGAGAGTATTGGCTCCTGAGTGCATTCATAGTTCTTTCGGGGAACGAATCGCGAATACTACTCCATGACAGCTTTTGAGAGTCTTTCAACCTCAAGAGTCGACGCCCATCTTCGGGGGTCCACTTCCTGCGGGTAAAACCTGGCCGTGGTTTTACAGTCGTAGCCTCTCGCACTGAATTTTCCATTGCTGTGGTGCTTGTTGCGATGATGCCGTATGCGTGTTGTAGCGTTTTTGTTGCAAGCTGAAGCACTGCAAGATTCTCTTTGAGAATTTCTGCACCCGCGAGGTCGTCAGAAAATTTGGCCTCAGCAGTGACTACACTGTACGCGCGCTTCAAATATCCGATCGCATTCCTTAGGCCTGCGAGATTGCCCGCGGAATCGCCCTCTGTGATTTCGCTTGGCAAATTTCCGGCTCCTGGTTTATGTGCTCGTCTTCCTCGCCGCTCGTTCGCATTTGTGACTGTAGAAGTCCGGTGCCGGCATCGTTTCGGAGAGGATGTATTTAAATATTCCAAAGCTCGCTTCCTTTCGTTTGGATTATAATCTCTGTAATACCCCCCGTCGCTTTGTCTGGTACCATCGTCCTCAAAGACATCGAAGACTCTCATCGAACCAGGGCCTTCTAAGCCAGTCACGGAGGCAGTATCTCGGGAGGAAGGATAAAGAGCGACTTCCTCGGGATAGTCAGGATAATTTCCAGCGGCTGATGCTGCATCATTGAGATAGAGTTCAGGCGAATTGGCTCGAGGGGGCTCGCCGGGTTCTAAGATTGGAGAGAGCGTATTAATTCCAAGGGGCATGGGAGGAGGATGTTTAAAATATGTCTTACCGAGACTCAATGTACTGCGTTCTTCTTGTGGCACATTATTCCCCAGGGTTTAGTCTGCTTCATTTCTTTCTTCTGTGGCGTCCGATTGCCTCACTACATCGGTAGTCTGGGTTTCTGAGCCGGTGGAAGAGCGTCTCACTGAAGCTCTTGATAATGGCTGCCAAAATCTTTGATGGTTCAGCGTTACCATGGTAGGTAGATTCAAGAGGTTCTGAATGAATGGGAATCAAAGCAGGAGGCAGTAAAATTCACGATCGATGATATTTCAAACGAACGGTGGAAAGGGGGGATAGTTGGGACTATTTATTTGTTTCGATTCATCATTCCAATCAGCCCGTGAGATAGAGCAGCGAATTGTCGACAGAACCGATTTAGATTCTAGATCTATCGACAAGGCCGCAGTATTCCCTGCAGCCAATCGCAAAGCCCTTTCTAGCTGCGAGGGATCAGTTATAGGAAAGGGTGCCTAGGAATGCTAGCTTAATTGATTCAGTGGCAGATATCTAGCCCGAAACTAAACTAGATCCGTCAGCCGATGGCGTCGACTTGCTTCACACGGCGCGGCGAGTTGTTCGAGACCTAGGTATACCACACAAAGAACGGTTGCCCGAAGGCTGGTGCGAATGTTGTTCCTGGGATCAAATTGGCACAGTAAGTATATGGAGGAACGGGGACAGAGGTGAACATTCGTGGTTCGTTTGCTGGGTGGTGTCGGCAGCGTTAGCGAGAGAACGTATGAGAGGGTGTAGAGGTGAGGTGGTACTGAATATCTCATGCAAGCCGAATGGATTGAGTCAACCGATGGAAAGTTCGAAGAGGACAGCAAGTCACTGTAGCGACGTGGGGATACGTCGACTCCAGACCAGAACTCCCAGGAACGCCGGTAGGCAGTGCGGTTACCATCGGAGCAGGTGAAAGCTAGAAGGCAAGACGGAGGGTGAAGGGGCTGATCAGGGGAGAGCACCGGGGTGAGCGATCAGGTTGCTCACTGAGCAGCTCAGGGTCACTCAGTGGGCAGCTTAGGGCGGCGGGTTGACTAACTCACCCTGGAATCCGGGAGCCGATCACTTCCCGAGGCGGCAATGTTACCGTCAACATTATTACATCATATATATGCCATCACATGCCATTGCGTTGTCTGTTTGTTTCAACAGAAAAAGGCTACCATGACCAAAAAGATTTATGTTGGGAGGAGTGACGTGGCAAACCAGATGCAACAATCCAATTTATCCACATGTAAATCATAGATGCGTGATTTTATACCCCTTTGCCTTCCCCTACTACCAGATTACCCATTATACGCATACTATACAGGCAGATAATTATAAGCCGCAATGATCGGAACGTCTACTGCTGAGTACTTCTTTATTCGGGTTTGCATCCTATTTCTTCGCAACATTGTGCCGATCAGTACTTTATACACAGTTCACTTACTCGTCGTTCAATTCTTTCACCGGCCAACTTATCTCGGACGCATACCCTTCTCTGTTCATACTTGGCTCACTGCAGAGGCAGTCTTTTTCATCACTGTCTTCGTACCACTCAAATATATTCTTCACCATTCTCCTATCTTCCACAGGCCTTTGTCTGCGGAGCTCAGGGAGAAATTGTTTAGGTGCTGCAATAGGAATGTGCCAAATCTGGAGAGATATCTCAGCCAGTGGCTTATGGTCTCAGATGCTCAATACATCAAGCGTGATAACGTGAAAGACTTTATCAGATGGGCATTCTTCAAACCTGGATATGCGCAGGGTTTGGACCAGCAGAATGAGGAGGAACTCGAGACCTATACAGCAGAAGTTGAGCAGCTGATGGAGCGAAAATTGTCACCGGGAAAGATGGATGTGAAAGGTCTAGGACAGCTGCTAAATGAAGCAGGCGGTTCACCTCGTAGCCTGCTATGGTAAACTGGCAGTTATTCCTCTTCATCTCTATCTGTGATGGAGTTGTATCATACTGACACTTCAATTCACTTAGTGCGTTTTTGTGGTTGACACAACAATGTACTACAAGATGTTGTACAATGGATTCCATTTCCATCGCAATTCGCTGTCGCAATTCTTTACCGTATTCCCATTCCGCCCTTTGACAATTTTCACTGTCCACAGATCACCGGCGCGTCATCTCACATATTGGCATCGACGGCATACATCCAAAAATCGGCTACCCGTGCTATTTATACATGGTATCGGAATTGGTCTGTACCCTTACATGAACTTCCTCCGAGACCTTAACAGTGAACTACGGATGGGAGGAACAGATGATAGTGAGGTTGGCATCATCGCACTTGAGATCATGCCGGTCAGCTCTCGGATAACTCATCCAGCTCTGGAAAAGGATGTGATGATCTGTGAGATCATGAAGATTATGCAGTATCATGAGTGGAGCAGATTCGTGCTTGTGTCTCATTCTTTTGGTTCCATAATCGCTTCACACCTTCTCAAGTCCGATCGATTTTCTTCGCTCATCGGGCCTACGGTCTTTATTGATCCAGTGTCATTCCTCCTCCACTTGCCTGACGTGGCATACAACTTCATAGCCCGCCGGCCAGCCCGGGCCAATGAATATCAGCTGTGGTATTTTGGAAGTAAGGATATAGGAGTTGCACATACGTTGGCAAGGAGATTCTCCTGGATTGACAACATCATTTGGAAGGAAGACCTTGGGATAAAGGCCAAAAACGACCAACAGGAGGGTAGAAATGTTACAGTCGTTTTGTGTGGGAAGGATTTGATTGTGGACACCGAAACAGTGGGACAGTACTTGATGGGTTCATCGGGAAATCGGACAGTTGACAATGGAGTAGCACAAGAGTGGAAAAACAAATCCTGGATTGGGTACGGGCTTGAGCTGCTGTGGTTTGAGGAGTTAGATCATGCTCAGGTTTTTGATTTTGAGAATACTAGGCGGCGAGTTATTAGGGCAATTGCTGTATCTTCAAACACACGCTGAGACCGAGAGCTGAGACTGAGACTGCTCTGTTCAACTGGCACATGTAATTGAGAACATCATGACGACAAGATGTTATATATTACCTGTGTTAAGAATATGATATATACCTATGTGAAGCATACGCCCTGAGAAAGAGATTGTTTAAGTCTGTCTATCTACACTATGTAGTTCACCTAGTACTTATAGACATGGCTTTGTGTGTTCTCTCATAAGCGAGGTGAGCTGTGGTCCCCTTTATGAAGACTTCCATTGAAAGCAGCTTCATGGTGGTTCAGTGCTGATTCAGGCCTGATAAATCAGGCAAGGAGATCTCATAACTAACTAGTTAACGTAATCCACAAGCGAGTCGCCCGCCTCCCCTCAATCTAGGAAGTTACAACGTATTTAATTCAACTAAGATATCACCCTATCTGGGCATGCGTCTCTCCTATGGCCCTCATTTCTACATAAGCCACACCTAGGTAAGGCCCTCGTTCGGGGCTGTAATGGCGGCGAAGGCCGTCTTAGCCGACGCGGGGGCGGGGGGGGGTTCGAATACGAATATCAAGCTTCGAGATCACTCGATCGGCATCATAAGGCAATAGACCAGCTGCTCCGAAGCTATTCTTAATCGTATCGGAGCGAAAAGCCTCAGCTCGTGCGGTCGGGTAAGCCTCGAGGAAATCAAATTTATCGATATGGTTAATCCCGTTCCGCATTTTCATTTCAACCATCCGACCTTATGAGCGTTTTAACACCGCAAAACAGCCGATATTGAGCTGCTATAAGAGGTAGGACGAGTGTGCGGGCATACAGATTGGAATGATACTATTTTGTTCACAAGTTTCATCAAATTTCGGGGTTGAATGGCTTCCGTGGCCGTCGAGGATTAAAAGTCGATACCGACCCTTCACTCGCGAAGAAGTCGACGTAATAAAGAGTTTCTTCGGCCATCGAAGGCCAATTTCATCGGAAGTCCAACCGTTAGGACTTACTGAGGGCCGGTTCTGCCGAAGCTTCGGCGTCCGTACACAGAGGGGCAGAAGGATTGTAAACGGAGAAGAAAAGGATTTGGAAGTCAGATGTCCAGATCTTGATAGCAGCGACGTCTGGGTAGTCACACAGGATTTTTCGGTGTGACGAAGTAGAGACCCTCCGATTCACATAGATCAAGCTGCAAAATCGGACTGCGTCGGTGTCGGTTGTCGGACGGTAGAGGCGCCAAGAGCTGTGGTTGACGTGGGTGCGGTAGGCGGTGATGGACGGTTCCTGGATCAGGGGTACATCCAGGTTTTGGCTATGGTGATCGTTGAGAAGGGCCTCCATCCTTGGCCTCGATTTCATAATGTTCAGCTGTAGCACGCGTAGCCTCGTCTCTAACATTGGGGGTGGTTGGAAGTTGCGGGAGTAAGGCACTGTCGGTCACCGGTTGGGTGTTCGCCCCTGCAGTCGAGGAATCGGGGTCTCACTCCTGGGGGACATCGCTGTCTCTCGTGCTGGTCCGCGCACTTTCCACGCCGTGGTGTTTCTTTGCACGACCATGCCAGGTGTCCGAATCGCTGGCATCGAAAGCATCTCTTTTTCGTGATCTCGCGGCGTTCCACGCTGTCGATGTATCTCTGGCCGACAAGAAGACCTTTGTTAAGGATGTGTTCAGCTCCTTCCGCCGAGTCGAGCCGGATTTCAAGCGATGCGAATTTCCCTAGCATTTTGTCCTTCCTCTTGAGCCACGCCACTTCCTGGATTTGGAATCCCTGTCCTGTCAGGTCGTTTTCTTCCATGATCTTTCGATGGCCTGGGCGTTTGCGTTATCGAGGTCAAAAATCTTTTCCGTCGGTGTCCGGTGAACGACGATGCCGAATCGTGGCTTGACTAGCTTCGAATTGTTTCCTGGCTCGTTCAGCCATTCGGTGCTGTTGCGGGCCAGCTCGGCCGACTCGGTGTCGTTGAATCGAATCACGTAGCCTGTCTTGGTAGTGCTGATCCGGCGACCTGGGCGTCCTGGGTTGGTGGGAGCGTTCATCAGTGCGGTGCGGATTTGGATGTTGGCAGAATCTGTGGGGAGGTATCGGCCGAACGTGTTGCCGTCACTATCGTTGTTGTCTCGTAGGTCGACAAGCGACCGCTGGGTGTAGATGCGGACGCAATTCTCATCTTTTTCGGGTCGTTGGTGCGCCGGTTGGGTCGTCGTGTCGTTGCCACCGGCGGCCACTGCAGCCCACGTCCTGTTCGGCGGTGTGAGGGGGAGTTTCGACTTGTGTCCGCAGCGTTCGAACCTCCTCGAGAAGCTTCTCATTCTGGGCCAAGAGAACGTTCTGATTGTGTTTCACCTCTTCATTCGCTTGGATGGGGGTAGTCTGATAGTGGATGATCTCTTTTAGGTCGTTCGATGAGTTGGCGGGCCTCCTTGGTGGTCACTCGTCCGGTAGGCTCGCCATTACCAGCGAACTCGGGGTTTAACCGCGATGTGGAAGTAAATTCATCACCATGACGAGGCTGTTTTCTCTTGCGGGGGACGAGGGGACGGCTGAGACCCATGCTGACGAAAAGGGCTTGGTCGTTTTGGGGTGTTTGTGGGCGTGGCTTCGGAAGCCCCCGCTGGTGGGTCCGACATCGGTCTGGGGCTAGCTCCCGCTCGGTACACAATCACAATATTTATATAGAAGAAGATATCAACAAGCGCCCGTTCAAGATCGCTTCGACAAGATCCTCCAAGATACAGGGTAGATCGAAATTTGACAGCTACCGGATGGTACAGTATGTGTGTTTGTGTGTGTGTGTGTGTGTGTAAAATTCATTTACCCTGACCCCTCGCAATGAAGTTGGATTCTAGACCACAGCCCTCTATGCTGGGAACGGATTCGTATTTTGGTCTAGTTGGGAAATCTGTCGGGTTGACGGATACTGGTATGTGCTAGTATTGAGGTGTCCCATTGAGATGCCTTGATTGTTGTTCCCTCCGGATCTTGCTGTTGAAGCGTTATCAGATCTCAGGAGTCGTTCCTAGCGTGTTACGACGCTGGTATGCCGAGCGTACCCCGTTTACCATACAGAGACAAAGAGAGAATGGGTACTTGATGAATAAACCTGTCCTTAGTGGTGAAATAAAATACCACCCCTCAGTTCGACAAAGAGTTCCCAGGGCATGAACAGCTCCTAAAATTGATTTTGGCGTTTCCAGGATTAATATGTTTATTCGTAGAATCACGTCAACAGTGTTGGTTGATTAAATTTATACGCGAGCTAAGACATGAAACAAACTGCTAATAGCGTGTCTAGGTGCATAAACATGTAGCACTTGCAAATATGCAACGATCACGTACTGCGGTATGTCTCATTCCAGATCACTGCTGCTCTATTGCGACGAACATAAATCAGTGGAATCCTTGGCTGCTGCTGTGGGTAGCATAGTCGGCAAGCTTGCGGGTTGCCTATGGAAACTTCGATGTGCGTGTTGGGCTCTCATTCGCTTCAAGGAACTGATAGCTCTTGATGTACCATGTGGTCCGGATATCATTTATCTACACGTTGCGTATGCTTCATGTATAATCCTTTCCAATGCGACCAGAGCTCCCAGGAATTAACAACCTCTTTTCAGGAATGCGACGGGAATTTTTGGTGGTCAACTAAGTCTAGATTTCATTGCTCAGGCATAAAATAGGGACCCAGCGAGATGAATTGCCTGACTAGGTGCTTTCTCAAGCATCTATATACTGCACTCTTCCTACATGGTTACAGGTACCACTGAAGAATATAATTCTTCAGCCGAAAGACTATACCTCGAATATCACATCATCCCGAACGCATTTCCAGAAAATCTCCTCATCATGGCCTGGAACCCTACTAATCTCCAACGGGAATTGGGGCAAGTTTTGGGCGATCCGCTGCACCGTGAGCGGTGCATCTGGGTGGCAGATGACGGAAATCACTGTCTAAACACGGTGCCGATTGACTCTCGGATAAATGGGGTAATGTGCTTCCAGCCGTTCCAGAGCCCTCCTTTCGCATATCCACCAGCGCAGGGATTATCCTTGGCTGCAAAGCAATTGTTGTGTTTTCAGTGCAGAGGCCATAGCCGTCGACTAAAAGTGTGGGCCAACCGAATTTTGCGTTTGTTAAATGCGAGCCTGGATCAAGCCAAAAATTTCATAGGTCAATCGGAAACTCATGATTCGTCCCTTCTGGTACATCCATGGCCAAGCAGCATGTCCTACAGCGTTGGTGTGGCCATGTGTCCCGATGAGGCCTCAAAAACCAGAAGAGACAGCCCAAAGGGGCAAATATAGCGGCAAACCCCCGGGTGCACTTAGTCTGGCCAGATTCGTGAAAGTCAGTTGTTCGGATCTTCTCAAGACGACAAACCGCTTCAATTGGGCTGTATCTATTACATGCCTCCACTGATGACCATGGACTTCACCGATAAAGAAAGTTGGTACTCGGGCATGACATATGGCCACTTAGGTTCTCTCACGACTGTCGCATGGTTCGCACGAAAGTGGCCACCCGAAGGCTCTTGTTCTGTCATAACCGAGCCGCCTAGCTCGTTGCTCTTCTCGCAGGCTCTGGAGCTGAAGATCAGTTTAGTTTGAGTCTGCGCTGAGAACTCTTTCGTGGAAAATTACAGACCGATCGAGATCTCTGTTGTCTCCTTTTGGTGACATACTATCTTCGTTGGCGAGCACCTCTGGAGATGGGGCGGCTGATCGTCGTGTGCGTTCCGGTTCAGAAGAGATCTGGGAGAAATTTTGATCGGCTGGGAAAGAAGACTTGGATTTGATGTTGGAGCAGCCGCTTCAGCCTTTCAAAACGAGAGAAGAAATTTTGTGATCCCTCCACAATTCTTCGCGCTTTTGGTGTATAGAAGACTGAAAGAATGGTAGTTGTAGGAGATCGGTAGAATTGTTAAGTAACTATTTACTTCCGAATAATCACGCGAAAACGAAGTCTTGGCGTTGAATACAATGACATCGCCGTACGTCATGAAGGATATCGCCTTCTCAAGCCTGATTCTACTGATAAGACGGCTTGATTACTTATAAATGACCATTATAACCGAGCGCACATCAATGGTTCATACATAATAAGCACAAGCCTCAAAACCAATCCCCTACCAAACAAAAACCACTCAAAATGTCAATATTAATGCGCCTCAGGAGAACGCTTTCCAAAACCCCATACCTCTCAAACACACATCAACCTCACACAACCATTTTAGGCCAACCATATGGCACAAAAAACGACGGCAATTCATCCCAAACAACGCACCAACAAGATTCCCCCAACCACCCTATCCCGTCAAACAAAGCGGAGCCCACTCTACACGACGGAAACCAGTCACCATTCGCCGATCAAGATGGAAACCTGAAAGACGACTTGCCTTCCGATGTTAAGAAGCATAATCAGGAAATGGAAGAACGGTATGATAAGCCGTACAATCATACCGGGGATCAGGGACAGGCAGATCCTTCCTTCAAGAGCGAGATTTAGATCTGGTTTATGGACTTAGGGAGTCGACCTTGATACGATGCATGAGATGCTGCTGGCTCATTTTAGCGTCTGGAGCGCTGGAACGGATCGTGGCTGTTTGCGGAGTGGTTTCGGTATTGAACCTAACAAATGCGGATATGTATTTCCCAGCTTGTTGAGTAATCCACAAGAATCGATTGAATATGTACACATGGATAGAAGCGATTTATGCATATAGGTCAATCCCAATGTGCAAAACATCGCATGGCGAGCAAACGTTTATACATCTCTGCGATCGAAAGGACTAAGAATCACCGTCGAGACAGTAGGAACATGGTTTCGTGCTACGGTATTGAAGAACATAACTCCGGTCAAAAAATTTCAGCGCCGTCGCTGGAAGAAGCATGGGTAGTGGTCTGTAATAGCGAGTGATATACACTACTTCAACGTCTGTTGCTACGTCGCGATATTTGGAACGGAAATATTTGATATCTGCATCGCCACATTTTGGGTAGCTCGCGCCACAATAACTGCATCTCCAGCTTCAACGAACTCTACTTGATGTATAGCATTCAATGCATCAAAGTTACACATGTGAACCACTTTTTAGAGGTAGTTTCTGCAAGTCTTTGTTTCAAGGCTTCATCTGTTGCTCCTTTCCGCCTAACATTGGCTAATTCGGGGTGAGCAGCAGGTGAGATCGAGCGTCATCAGTTGAGGTAAAATTTCACTGACTCTTTTAAAGACGGTCGAAGTCAGACCAGAACGGTCATGGGTGGCAATGACAGCAGCCTTAGTGTGACCTTTGCCGATCTATAAAAGACCCTCGAGCACTATTTCTCTTGCATTTTATTCCAAATGCCACGATGGACCATGCCAGTTCGCCTTCCCCATGTGACCGGCCGGCCAAGAGACAGCGTCGAGTTTCCCATGACGCAGAAGATGAGAACAAGGCGCAAAGTCACCAACAGCAATCTTCATATGGTGCAACCATCGAAGCTGAGGTTATTCAGGCCCTCTTCGATTGCAAACGAACGAGATCACTAATACTACATAGGTTCCAGTGCGTACACGCGGTTCCCTTACGGCGGAGTTCATGAAACTTCTACACTACAACGACGCCCTCACTACACCAGCCCTTAAACTGCTCGAGACCTGTACTTCTGCCTGTGGGAATGCTACGTTGTCAAATCTGCCGAGAAGATACGACTCGAGGAAGAGCAGCGACAGCTTCAAGAGTCAAATGAGTGGCTAGCAAGCAACAGCGACATCCTTCTACAGCTCTGCGGTGAGCAGGCAGTGATATTGTGGGATCGAAAGCGAACAATTAGCGCACTGTGTAATGGCGTGGTTTCATCCTTGCAAGCGAGCAATACTCAAGCCTATCATGTTGATGGGCCTTGATGAAGTCTTAGTGTTGTCGAGCGCTCGTGAGGACAATAACTCCTGAATAGTTCTGCAACCTCTTTACCTTCTTCCTAAATATCATCCCTCTTTTTAAAACCTCACACCACCGCCCGTGAAGTTCCGTTGGGTTTGGTGACGGGTTGCCAACGTTTCACAGCCGTTGACACACCAAATGTTTGATTTTCGGGAACTTAGCATGTGGCCATAAAGCTTCCCTAGTCCGTGATGAACTAGCTTTAGAAGAAAAATTAAATTCCTGCTCAGCCTGAAGCATTCTTTCCCTACCAACCCTCGTCGAATTGCTACTTTATACACTTTGTATCTCACCACCACCCTTCGACGGCGAGTCTTGAACCAAAATGCACGAATCAAACAAGAACGGTCTGTGCCATTGTTTCAATGTGGTTTTGTGCTAACATCGGCAGACTGTGATTTGGATCTCGACCTTCACGCCATCTGGCAAGAGTCCTCTGGCATACCGACACCACCTCCCAGTCGCGCTACCGACTCCAATAATTCTCGGCAGATTCTCTCAGGTGAGAATGAGCCTACAGGATATGAGACTTCAGGGTCTTCCTCGATCGTAGCTTTTTCCATCCAACTTGTGACAATCTGTCGGCTTTCAAGTGGACTGGTCCAGATCCTCTGTCCATGTCTACTCAGTCTAGCGACTTGCTCCTCTACATGTCAGCTTTCGCTTTCCCTAAAGAAGTGCACTGCGTAGATTTTCGACTAGTCCGCTTCGACCGGAAATCTGGCGAGAGTACAGGAGAGCATCTTTTCTTCCTACCCCGAGTTGAGACGGCCACGTGGAATCCCCGTGGGATACGCGGACAATTGCTAGATACTATCTCTTGGCATGGTATTGGCGCCATAGGCACCAGATTCCCTCTGTCCCTTTGGCCTCGCATGGAGCCTCTACCACATCCCACTCACTTGACACTTCCTTCGCTAGTTGCGCTACCCACGAAGGTATCCCTTGATCCAATGTTTTCTGTGCATAACATAATGGGTAACTACAAGTGAGATTGGTCCAAAAGTTGCGTTGTGATTCAGCATTTTCCAGTGAGCATAAATTAAATGGGAGGCTATTCCATGCACTAAATTTTGCAAATACTTCGAATAGAACATGCCTTCTAAGCAGTACTTCTCCTTGATTCTAAAATTCAACTATAGTATTTCCATGCTGAAGTAGGGCACATCGCCTCGAATAGACAGTCCTTCACCCTTCTCTTGCATCGTTAAAGGACCCTGCGAGATTGAGACTGGAGAAATGATTCCAGTCATCGAGTACGCTAATCAGCTTCTCCCGGGATAATTCCAGTGCCTGCTCGAAAAAGCGTAGCCGAGATAGCTGCTTGTTGTGTCGAAGCTGAAGACCGTCCCTCTCTTTTCTCAGGTGCGTACCAGCCTCCTTCAAAACAAGGTTGCCCTGCTCCAGATTCTCGCCATCAATGTGCTTGGACACGCACGACTCTCATAGGCGTCGGTAGAGTCCGACAATTCGAGCTGCTGGAAAGGCGAACTTGGGATCGTCGCTCTCAAGGCCTCCTAGAACCTTCAAGATGGGTTGAAACGGCTCGGTCGCAAGGGTGTGTCTTGTTCCTGCTTCCTGCTGCGAAGGGGAGGGCTGCAATGGTCAGCAAAAGCGTTTGAAGCCGAATCATTTCACTTACCAATGGCACATGGTCAGAACTTTCCTGTGATTTGTCTTCCTCACCAAGGATGGGCAATTCCCTGGGCGGCTGATCTCCTTCTTTTTCCTGGTGTGGCACGCTGTTCAGGGCATCCTTTTTGTCCGCAGGAGAAAGTCAATGGTCTGGTTAATACAATTTCCATCGATCTTCAGTGTCTCTTATAGACTACGCAGATGTACGTGTATAAATTATGGGCTGGGTTTTACAATCACCACAACGGTCAATCGAAGCAGTCAAATTCTCACTGCAGTCGGTCTACTTTTCAGCGGGCTCCTGACAGTGTATTTAGCAATAGGGATATCAGTCGGGGAACTGATCAAGCCGCACGATTTTGAGGGCCAGAGATCAACGCTTGTTGAGGATATATATTTCAATCAGACACCTCTTTCCCTCTCGTTGGACGCCTCAGGAATCTGACAAATGGAATATTGTAGAACTTATCGTCATCAAACAAAGAAGTTCAGAAGAGAAAACAAAATTGTTTCTAACGTATTTTCATCGTCACAAGTTTGAAAATTTAGTGTTGACAACGTTGGGCTAAGCTTTAACGGGTTGATGGCCCGAGCACATCCTACTGTGACCTCGCTTTCCGCAGTCTGGTCGGACAGACCCACAGCTCAACACAACCAATACCACAATAAAGCGAGGCTAGGGAAAGAGTCCATGATTTCGAGCATGAAGTTGTAGGCGCTTTTCGGTGATTCAACGTTGAGTCCCTCACAGGTGAGGTATCAGAACAGGAAATATGAGCCTGTCATTGCGAATTGAATAGTACTCAGTGCCTCAATTTAAGAGGGTCGTGAAGGATTCAACAGTCAGCCAACGTTTCTTGACCAACTCAGCATGCTGTTGCTCAACACGACTCGTGCTCTTCTCTCTCGCTGGGCATCTAAAACATTAAAAATTTCGCTGCAAATAGTTGCGGTTGAAAGGAGACGTGGGTTTCAACAGGGCTCAATTAGTCCTTCAATGCTGCCTGTCTAGCTTCCAATTGACAGAAGCCGAGAAGCCTATAAAAACGTCCTCTGCCACCAACAATCTGCTCTACACTTTCTTCACTTGACTACACACAATCGAGCAAGCTTGTGTCTGAGCTACTTGATAAGTTCTCCCCCTTGACCCGGTACTGAAATTGCCACTGTACTGACATTCATTGAATACATCGGATGAGCAGGCCAGGCGGTGACTGTGAGAGATACAGGTATGTTTCCCACCAGATGCACTGCCTTTCACCCCAGCCGATCAAAGATACGAGTTTCGAGTTAGCTGGTCCAATTGTCCGTGCGACGAGGTCTCCGCCACAGCAGCCGACTGAACTCACCCACTGTACAGCCCGTGTGTGCATTCCCAAGAAAAAGCTCGAATATCCACGTCGCAGGTATGTGAACCTTAGCCTGACCTGTCTGAATTCTGTTGATCCTGAAGACGATGCGATTCCAATAGAACCGAGGACATTCGACCTCAATGCACGAGGGCAAGGACCACAGCTCTTTGCCGTCTCCTTGCCCCTAGTCTTGGCCACCAGAGCATGTGAGTCATGGATTATGTCGCCGATCTACAAGCTAATGAACGATAGTGGACATCGACATTGCACCAGAAGTCCCCGAGGATACAGCACCCCCGTTAGTGCTCTGCACAAAGCCACTGCCTACACACTATTCATGGCCCCGTCGCATCAAACCACGCAGCAAAGAATCAGGTGAAGAAGGAACGGGCTAATAACAGGTGCGGACATCCGATCGCGAGCTTCGCTGCGCAGAAGCTTGAGACGTCCATTATTCATGGCAATGTGAGTGATTTATCGCATCCTCTGCTGCGCTATATCAGTTGTTGCGAATTTTTGTGCTCCAAATCACCAATACCATTACTGATTTTTATGCCACTATAGGAGCAGCCGTCGCCACTGTGAAAGATACC